TTATGGTTATACATAATCTAGTTTCTCGGAAAAACCAACCAAATATAATGTATTTTAACCCAATAATACATAATCAGAGGTTATATAGTTCAATATAAAATGTGTTTAACTTTATATTTGATCCAGTTTTGGTTCAATCTAAACAATAAACACATTTTGTTTTCAGAAAAATCAACCAGAAAATAACAAGTGAGCTCATGTCACAATAAAGTCATGTTAATATCTTTATAATGTAAAAAACTATCATAAGGAAATCTCTTCTATTGTTTCAGCCCCTGATCGGTTCCTATTTTTTTAATCGGCCCCAGACCAAAAAGAGTTTGACACCATAGCATTAGGACATCTAAAAGTAGTAAGCAATAAGAGTTGACCTATTATTCAAGTTAAGGCGTTGAATTATTAAAAACGTGTGTTTTCAGCTGGTGGCCTCCGGGTGGCGCTGTTGGGACTGGGACTCCTCTGTCTTCTCCAGGCGGCTCTGAACATTGGCCTGCGTCTGTACGGTGAGGCTGGAGCAGATGTTTAGGGGTCCCAAAGTGTGGCCTGCGGCACGCCTCTCAAGAAAAGTCCTGGGTTTGAATCCCGGTCGGAACGTGGTCTTTCTGAGTGGAGTTTGCATGTTCTCCCTGTGCTTGCGTAGGTTTCCTCCGGGTACTTCGGTTTCCCCTACCACTAAAAACATGCACACTAGGTTAAATCCTCCAGCTCTGGTCCTGACCAAGCCAAGCATCAATGTCTGGAGATAAGTTCCCGGGCGCTGTTACTACGGCGACCACTGCTCCTGACTCAAGCCTTAAAGGCATCGGGATGGGACAAATGCAGAGGATTGAATTGCCCTACGGGGATTTATAAAGTGCATCTTTACCTTTAATTCAGTCCTGCAACAGGCACAATGCAGGCATTTGATTTTCGCAATCAGAACTGCTTAGGGCTCGTGCTGTAACCCTCCTCCTCACCATCGCCCCCTCCTCAGTGGGACTCTCTTCCACATCATCGGACATCACTGTAGTGTGCAGTGTTCCCTCTAAACTGGGCACCTGCAGTTGCTCTATTCCAGTGACATCACTTTGCCTCAGGCCTTGACCCTCGGTGCTGGTGTTTGTGCTCAGGGCTTGGATGCCATGAAAGGTGCCCCGGTGATGATCCCTCTGCAACCCCAGGCCCTGAACCAACAACAGCAGAGAGGGATGTTACAGGTACAGGTACACACATTGGCACGCGCACACGCGCACACACACACACACACAATCACATCGAGTGACCAGAGACGTCTGCAGTTTGATTTCTTCTTCCAGATTCAACAACGCTTTCATTCCTTTCCAGATTTTTTTTGCAGAAGTTGTACTTTTGAGTTGTACTTTCTAGACCTGGAACCAGAACAGGACAAAGAACAGACCCGAGACCATACCAAAACCAGAGGAATCTTGACCAGACCAGGACTAAAACCCAAACCAGGATGAGACCCAGACACAAACATCACTGATTTGTTTTGTAATACTCCCTTTGTGTTTTGTACAGAAGCTTATCAAACAAGTCAATGCACGTCGGCCTCCTTCACCACAGTCGACCCCTGGGTCTCCACCACCACCACCACTACCAAACCACCACCACCACCACCACCACCGCCCGCCGTCACAAGCCCTATCTAAGGTAAACGTCATTGTAAACATTTAAAAATAGGTTTCTGTTCAAAAAAATGAGCTGAAACCCAAAAACCCAAATAAACCTATGGATACTCTGTAATCTCCCATCTCTGAGCCCAGTTTAAGACAGTAAGGTCTATTAAAGTCTGTGGGTCAGTGGGAGCAGATTCCTCACTCAATGAGGGCCTCTGAGGTTCCGAGTGGTTCCTTTGCAGATGCAGAAGAGTCTAAGGACAGCCTCACAGACAGTGGTCCTCCTGCTCTCTATGGACCAACGGCTTCTAAGTCTTTGTTATTATTGCAATTCATGTGTTTGAACTGTTTGATTCTCTGATCTGTTGTTGGCGAGTCAACAACTTTGTGAAGTCTTCATAGACTATTGCTGTTGTGCTTTAGGGTGATACAAAAAAACAGATTAGATGGACTATATTGATTTCACACTGGAGAAATGTACATGTCACATTTGGCACAGACAGAATGACTCAGATTTGTGCAAAAGACAGAAGTGCGCAACAACCATCAATTTTCCTCCGCTTTATCCGTTGCCGGGTCGCGGGGGCAGCAGTCTAAGCAGAGACGCCCAGACTTCCCTATCCACACACACTTCCTCCAGTTCGTCCGGGGGGACCCCAAGGCGTTCCCAGGCCAGCTGAGAGACATAGTCCCTCCAGCGTGTCCTAGGTCTTCCCCGGGGTCTCCTCTCGGTGGGACGTGCCCGGAACACCTCCCCAGGGAGGCGTCCAGGAGGCATCCTGAACAGATGCCCGAGCCACCTCAACTGGTTCCTCTTGACGTGGAGAAGCAGCGGCTCTACTCTGAGCTCCTCCCGTGTGACCGAGCTCCTCACCCTATCTCTAAGGGAGCGCCCAGCCACTCTGCGGAGGAAGCTCATTTCGACCGCTTGTATCCGCGATCTCGTTCTTTCGGTCATTACCCAAAGCTCATGACCATAGGTGAGGGAGGGAACGAAGATTGACCGGTAAATCGAGAGCTTTGCCTTTCGGCTCAGCTCCCTCTTTACCACAACGGTCCGATACAGCGACCGCATCACTGCGCACGCTGCACCGATCCGCCTGTCAATCTCACGCTCCATACTTCCCTCACTTGTTCACAAGTGAGGGAAGCTCCTCCACTTGAGGAAGGGCCTCTCCACCCACCCCGAGAGGACAAGGCACCTTTTTCCGGTCGAGCACCATGGCCTCAGATTTGGAGGTGCTGATTCTCATCCCAGCCGCTTCACACTCGGCTGCAAACCGCCCCAGTGCATGCTGCAGGTCCTGGTTCGTTGGAGCCAACAGGACAACATCGTCCGCAAAAAGCAGAGATGAAATCCTGAGGTCCTCGAACCGGACCCCCTCCGACCCCTCGCTGCGCCTAGAAATTCTGTCCATAAACGCAGTGAACAGAACCGGTGACAAACAGGGACCGGTCGGCCCTCAGCAGAGGACCCCCGAGCCCTTACTCCTGGAGAACCCCCCCAAAGGACACCCCGGGGAACACGGTCAAACGCCTTCTCCAAATCCACAAAGCACATGTGGACAGGTTGGGTGAACTCCCATGAACCCTCGAGTATCCGATGGAGAGTATAGAGCTGGTCCAGTGTTCCGCGACCGGGACCAAAACCACACTGCTCCTTCTGGATCCGAGATTTGACCATCGGCCGTAGCCTCCTCTCCAGTACCTTGGAGTAGACCTTACCAGGGAAGCTGAGGAGTGTGATTCCATGATAATTGGAACACACCCTCCGGTCCCCCTTTTTGAAGAGAGGGGACCACCACCCCGGTCTGCCACTCCACTGGTACCGCCCCCAATCGCCACGCGATGTTGCAGAGACGTGTCAGCCAAGACAGTCCTACAACATCCAGAGACTTTAGTGTGCAACATGTTAAGGTAAAAAATATAGTCTGTGCAGGATATAATTATGTACAATGAAAAAGTGGAAATAAAAGAAAGAGTGGCAATAACAGTGCATGGTTTTTTCCAAATGCATGAAATGGAATTGTTTTATTTTAGGATTATTTCTCAGTTGTTCTTGCAGCTTGTTCTTAACACTTTGTATATATTTTGTTTTCGTCAAATGGGATGTTTCTGCTGTAAAACGTGTTGTACTTGTTCTGAAATATACATCTTGTTTGATTGAGTCTCAGATTTAATGATAATTGTCCAAGTTATGTGTGTGTTGCAGATGTGATAAGGGTTCAATCGTGCGGAACGTGTGTATAATGCCCCCAATGAAGAGGCGGAGGGCAGCAGAGCAGAGATAACTTTTACCAGGTGTTTATTAAATCTGGTAAAACCAAACCATTGTGAACAAATCAGACACCGATGGTTTGTGTCTTGTTTAAAATCATTTCATGTTTTTCACTTGAGTTTCTCACATTTTTCACCAGAAGGCGCTCCGTGAGTTTGTGACCACAGACTGTATTTAGACAATGCTAACTCTAGCTCAATGGAGACCAATAGGGAAGTGCTCATGGACAAAGTTTTGCTCTCACTCAGACTAGTCCTCATGTTCAGAGATCCTGAAAAACATGTCTCATACTAAAACATGTATTTCTGTGGAAGCCAAACACTTTTTATTCACTGTGAAATAACAAGATCAACACGTTTAGAAATCCAATACATAAAACATTAGACCTTTACTCAATAAATCCCATCTCTGTTAAACACAACCTGGACATTACTATCTAATACAGTTTACAAATAAATATCTAAACTCTACTACAGCATTTTTTTTCTGTCACTAGAATATACACTATTTTATTCCTGCTTCTTTATTGTGCTAAAGTTAGAGATTTTATTCATTTTAATATAGAGTTATTGTTCATTTATCTCATGCTCCTCATTCCTACTGTTCTGTAACTGGAGATGCAACACTGGAATTTCCCCACTGTGGGAGGAATAAAGGATCACTTCATCTTAATACAACTCTTTCCTTGTTTTTCTAGTTTGGGTTCATTTTAGCCAGACGGAAATGGAGGCACGAGAAAAAAGCAAAGTGCTCAGATAATATTTACAACATAAGCAATACAGGAAACAATACATATATGGAACATTGTAGAGAAACTGTTTTGGCTCTAATTAAAAACCTTTTTGTTTTTACTTCCAGTTATTGATCCAGGAGCATGTTCCGTGAGAGTTCTCTATCCACAGTTGGATCTTACTTTTGCCAAAACACATTTTCTGGCTGTGGAATTTTGATTTTGCTTATCAAAGCTAAATAAGATATTCTTACTCAAAGCAGCAACATAGGATGTGGTAAATCTTGTGATAAGAGTTTTGACTTCAGGAAGTCCACTGAAACTTGCCTCAGTCTCTTCTGAAAGAGTTTTATTTCTGAGTTTTCTTTGAGCCGCGATGGAACCGACTCCGCGCCAGCTCCGAGCAAAGAGACGGAGGGAAGCTGCAGGTGAGAGATTTAGATAAATTAACCTTTAACAGTGTATTCAACAGATAGTGTTCTCTGTTGCATTGGGAACAATAGTATTCTAAATTATAAAAACTGATTAAAAAAAAACAACATGAGCGATGATGATTGCATCTTTTCACTAATTCATATTTTTGTACAGCCCTAAATCCCAACAGCAGTCGTTTCGGAGGGCTTTACAACATTGTCGATTCCTCAACAACAGATCAGAGAACACAGGGAATGCACTATTAACGAAAACATAGGAGCAATTGGTCCATAAGGAGCAGATGACCACTGTCCATAAATGTTGATAAATGTCCTGGATCCTTAGGTTGATCCTTAGCTGAGGCTGAAACTATCTGTCAAAATGAGTTTTATTTAACACAAAAAAGACCACAATATACCAACAAAATAAGAATAGGTCCCTTTTAAGAACCAATTGTCTGAGAGGGATCCACTCCAACTGATGGACAGGCCGTAGATCCAGGACTGAGGCTGTAAATCCAGGACTGAGGCCGTAGATCCAGGACTGAGGCTGTAAAACAGAGACTATGATCACCACAGATTAACATGGTCCTATTTAAACATATTCATCAATCAACCCATTAGGACATGGGTGTCAAAGTCAAGGCCCAGGGGCCAGATCTGGCCCGCAAGACAATTTTTAGTGGCCCCTAAAAGGATTTTTTATTATTATTGACTTGCAGCATTGATGTAATGGGCAACTAAGATTATGGTTATACATAATCTAGTTTCTCGGAAAAACCAACCAAATATAATGTATTTTAACCCAATAATACATAATCAGAGGTTATATAGTTCAATATAAAATGTGTTTAACTTTATATTTGATCCAGTTTTGGTTCAATCTAAACAATAAACACATTTTGTTTTCAGAAAAATCAACCAGAAAATAACAAGTGAGCTCATGTCACAATAAAGTCATGTTAATATCTTTATAATGTAAAAAACTATCATAAGGAAATCTCTTCTATTGTTTCAGCCCCTGATCGGTTCCTATTTTTTTAATCGGCCCCAGACCAAAAAGAGTTTGACACCATAAAATTAGGACATCTAAAAGTAGTAAGCAATAAGAGTTGATTATTCAAGTTAATGCGTTGAATTATTAAAAACATGTGTGTTTTCAGCTGGTGGCCTCCGGGTGGCGCTGTTGGGACTGGGACTCGTCTGTGTTCTCCAGGCGGCTCTGAACGTGGGCCTGCGTTTGTACGGTGAGATAAGAGCAGATAAGATAAACTACTGCCCCCCCGCGACCCGGCAACGGATGAAGCGGAAGAAAATGGATGGATGGAAGATAGACTTTTGATCTCTGATGGAGAAATGTACAGGTCACATTTGGCACAGACAGAATCACTCAGATTTGTGCAAAAGACAGAAGTGTGAAACATGTTAAGGTAAAAATATAGTCTGACCAGGATATAATTCTAAGTCTTTAGAGCAGAAACATGGTCGATATACAGCAAATGAAATATTTACCATTAGGATGGTAAAACTGTAAAAACTAAAAACCTTTAAAGTGATTGTAAAATGTTTTCTCTCAAATTAATAAGTAAACTGGCCTCTTGCTGGGACTCTGAGGGCACCACTGCAAGGGTCTTTCTTTTTCATAATCTGTATTTGTCATGTGACATTTCTCACATTCTGGACAAAATTCTGTGAGTCTGAAACGGATCCATCGGGCTGTGATTATGGGGCATGTGAGTGTAAGTGAAAGTTTTAACCAGTTCTCCCCAGTTTCTTTCCTGTGTACAGTATAAGCTCTATTCCAGTGACATCACTTTGCCTCAGGCCTTGACCCTCGGTGCTGGTGTTTGTGCCCAGGGGACGGATGCCATAAAAGGTGCCCCGGTGATGACCCCTCTGCAGCCCCAGGCCCTGAACCAACAACAGCAGAGAGTGATGTTACAGTTACAGGTACACACACACACACACAATTGTTTGTTTCAATGTTTCTATAATATGTTAAACTATTTCCATTGAGTGACCACAGAGACGTCTGTAGTTTAGATTTCTTCTTCCAGTTTCATCTTCAGCACTTTCATACAACTGTTTTACCTTAACAAGACCAGAACCCTGAGTCTGGACCAGACCAGAACAAAGACCCAGAGACAACTGAATTGTCTCCTAATAATTTCATTCTGTTTCGTACAACAGAAACATATCAAACGAGTCAGTCCACACCAGCCTCCTCCACCACAGAAGACCCCTGCCAGGACTGCCCCTGTGAGGTTACAGGTACAAGCACACACACACATATACACACACGCACACACTCCTACGCACACGCATATAGACACAAACATACACACACACAAAACATGCGCACACACACATACTACACAATATTTGTTTGTTTCAATGTTTCTATTATGTTACACTGTTTCCATTGAGTGACCACAGAGACGTCTGCAGTTTAGATTTCTTCTTCCAGTTTCTTCAGCACTTTCATAGTAGTACTAAATTTAATATGCTGCTATCCAGAATATATAACTACAATATGTGTTTATAATATTTCGGGTGTTCATTTTGACATGTTCAGATGAATTATGGTAAAAAAAACTGCTTTGAAGTGGCACCTTTTAACAAACGCTAGGGGACGACAAAATGGCGGCGATGACGTAGGAGAGGGCCATCTCACAGCAGCAGCAGTCTGGTTGGAATCTGTAGGAGGTTTCACTGTCATCTGAACAAGGTATAAACATATATTCATCAGTTTTGTACATAATAGTGTGCAACTCTTTTAACCTTTTAGTCTTATTTGTGAGATTCAACCTAATTAGTATTGGGCAAGTTAGCTAACTCTACTTGAAATTAGGGCTGGGCAAAAAATCAAATCTAGGCAATTAATCGGCTTTTGAAAAAATCTAATTTGAGAAAAATGTGAAGATTGTGAAATCGGATGAAGGATATTGTGAGAGTTTCAGCAGCAGATGAATATACTTATAATAGTCTTGTAGAGACTGTGCTGATATTGTAATACGTATTGGGGGAAACAAATTAAAAATAGTTTTGAAATTTAAATATTGAGCAAAAAATCAAAAAAAAATGTAAGAGAAAAGCCTGTCTTTGGTGACTTTAATGAAAATCTATTTAAAATCAAAATCGTCCACAGCGGGAAATAAAATCGAGATTTTACTTTTTTGCCATATCACCCAGCCCTACTTGAAATCAAGATATCCTAAAACATGCTTACAAGGCTAATATTCGTTTTTACTTTATCCATCACTTTAGTTGCCTCAGATTTTATACAATGTAATATCCATAAATGCTAACACCTATTAACCTCTTAACACCCACCGGCGCGCCGGCGTGCCGTTTTTATGTTTTTAAATGTTCTGCTGGCAATAGCAGATGTATTTTGAACACCAAACCCCAAAAGCTGTATATCATTTTAAACTACATCAGACTTTGCATTCAAAAGATATAACACATAATGTGGGCACAAAATAAATCAATTCCGAAATAGTTTTTTACCTTTGGGCTTGTGCTGTACAAATAAATCAGCTCTCCTCCCAGCTTGCAATACATAATTCTCTCTGGAACAGTCCAAAGGAAAATTATATCCACTTGTATTTCCCAAAGTAAAATCCATTCTGCAGAAATAATCCAAAAATGTGCATTTATCTTTAGCGAAAAAGACGGAAAAAAGAGCACAGATGTTGCTCTTTCACTTTTAACGGACTTTTAGCTTTGTTTTTCACCCAAACATCTGTTATCTACGTGTTCCTTAGCTCCTTATCTTTCAAATGAGACTACTCCCGAAAAGCTAGACCAATTTTTGGGTCTGCAAGAGCTCCCGTGAGTACAGCTAGCGCTGCTGTTTGCGCATGGATCACTGATCTTTGTTGTGGTCCCTTCTTGTTTGCATTTACTTCCGGGATGTTTGATTGACATGTCCGTGTAGCCAATGAGGAAAGCTTTCGAGCAAGGGGTGGGACAATGGTGTCCTGTCTTATGTTGGGCCTGGACAATTGTGCGTAATGGCAGCCAAAAGACGCTCTCGAAGCTGCAATGAATTTACACTCATAAAAAAATAACTTTGACATTAAAAAAACAAACAAACACATAGATTAGTAACTTATAAGTACCAATAATAAAAAATATTGTTTTTATGATGATTAAATGTCAGTAAAGATATTTGGCACAATTTGGCACAATTGTGCCAAATGTATGCCTTTTTTAGGGCCTTTAGAAATTGAAAATGTTAGGCGAGCTAAAAAAATTGGGTTTTTTCCCAAACTTCAAAGGATGCAGAGGGAAATAGGAATGACAAACATTATTTTTGTGTTTTTTTACTTAAACTAGAAGGCTCTAGCTTTAAAATGATGCATCACACAAGCATGTGAGATGTAAGATGTGTTTTTAAATAAGCAAAGACATTTGGGTATGCCCAACTTTTGTGCACAAGCCAAAATGAGGCGGGTGTTCAGAGGTTAACGGTTTAATTAGCATGTTTATCAATGATTGCATCACATGTAGTCTATGTTTTCAACTTCTGCAGCTTTTTGTTCATAAAAGTAAAATATTTATTTAATTCAAGTTATTTTGATTAGCATTTATGGATATTGCAATGTACATTGTGGTAAATAAATCTAAGGCAACCAAAGTGAGACTGGCATAATGTAAAAACGAATATTAGCCTTGTTAGCATGTTTTATGATATCAAGTAGAGTTAGCTAACTTGCCCAACACTAATTAGCTTGAATCTCACAAATAAGGCTAAAAGGTTAAAAGAGTTGCACACTATTATGTACAAAACTGATGAAAATATGTTTATACCTTGTTCAGATGACAGTGAAACCTCCTACAGTTTCCAACCAGACTGCTGCTGCTGCTGCTGCTGCTGCTGCTGCTGCTGCTGCTGCTGCTGCTCGCCGCCATTTTGGCTCCCCCTAGTGTTTGTTAAAAGGTGCCACTTCAAAGCCGTTTTTTTTAACATAATTCATCTGAATATGTCAAAATGAACACCCGAAATATTATAAACACATATTGTAGTTATATATTCTGGATAGCAGCATATTAAATTCTAGTACTACTTTAACAAGACCAGAACCCTGAGTCTGGACCAGACCAGAACAAAGACCCAGAGATAACTGAATTGTCTCCTAATAATTTCATTCTGTTTCTTACGACAGAAACATATCAAACGAGTCAGTCCATGCCAGCCTCCTTCATCTCAAAACCCTGCCCCTCCTCCTACCAGGGCCTCTGCGTCCACGGTCAGTGCCGCGTCCTGAAGGACCTGGACAAGCCTGTCTGCAAGTGAGTCACACATGAACACCATACTTATTGTTTCACTTTGGTTCATTGTAAACTGCAACATTCATCTAAAACTGATCCACCAGCTTTTTTTTTATTATTATTATTTTTTTTAGTTATGCAGTCTGTGAGTCTGCATAACCCCAATCCAATCAATCTGGATTCAATAAAGTATCTATCCATCTATAAATAAAGAAAGTGGATTGATTGGATTGGATGATGCAGACTCACAGACAGTGGTCATCCTTCTCTCTATGAACCAATGGATCCCATGTGTTTGTCATGAATGCATTCCCTGTGTTTGATTCTCTGAACTGTGTTGGCAAATCAATAACTTTATAAAGTCCTCAGAGACAACTACAAGGTAAAAATAAATGTACTTGAAAGAAATGATAATTGTCCATGTTGTGTGTATGTTGCAGATGTGACGAGGATTACACAGGGGAGCGCTGTGAGATAGCGGTGTTTGGACTTTGATGATGACATCGGTAAAACCAAAACCTTTGTTTAAAATTGTTTAATGTTTTTCACATGAGTTCCATGAGCTCTGTGAGTCAGTATATACAGTCTATGTACATCTATAGACTGTATTTAGATGGACAATGCTAACTCCCTCATGGACGAAGTTTGGCTCCCACTCACTCTGGCAAAAACTCTCGATCTTAGAGGTGCGGGACCTTATTAGCCGAGAACCAAACACTTTCTATTATCTGTGAATATGTGTATGCATTTTTTCAATCAAGATCAGCACATTGAGATCAGCACAGTGAGATCAGCACATTGAGATCAGCACATTGAGATCAGCACAGTGAGATCAGCACATTGAGATCAGCACATTGAGATCAGCACATTGAGATCAGCACAGTGAGATCAGCACATTGAGATCAGCACATTGAGATCAGCACATTGAGATCAGCACATTGAGATCAGCACATTGAGATCAGCACATTGAGATCAGCACATTGAGATCAGCACAGTGAGATCAGCACAGTGAGATCAGCACATTGAGATCAGCACATTGAGATCAGCACAGTGAGATCAGCACATTGAGATCAGCACAGTGAGATCAGCACAGTGAGATCAGCACATTGAGATCAGCACAGTGAGATCAGCACAGTGAGATCAGCACATTGAGATCAGCACAGTGAGATCAGCACAGTGAGATCAGCACAGTGAGATCAGCACAGTGAGATCAGCACAGTGAGATCAGCACAGTGAGATCAGCACAGTGAGATCAGCACATTGAGATCAGCACATTGAGATCAGCACAGTGAGATCAGCACATTGAGATCAGCACATTGAGATCAGCACATTGAGATCAGCACAGTGAGATCAGCACATTGAGATCAGCACATTGAGATCAGCACATTGAGATCAGCACATTGAGATCAGCACATTGAGATCAGCACAGTGAGATCAGCACATTGAGATCAGCACAGTGAGATCAGCACAGTGAGATCAGCACATTGAGATCAGCACATTGAGATCAGCACAGTGAGATCAGCACATTGAGATCAGCACAGTGAGATCAGCACAGTGAGATCAGCACATTGAGATCAGCACAGTGAGATCAGCACAGTGAGATCAGCACATTGAGATCAGCACAGTGAGATCAGCACAGTGAGATCAGCACAGTGAGATCAGCACAGTGAGATCAGCACAGTGAGATCAGCACAGTGAGATCAGCACAGTGAGATCAGCACATTGAGATCAGCACATTGAGATCAGCACAGTGAGATCAGCACATTGAGATCAGCACATTGAGATCAGCACATTGAGATCAGCACAGTGAGATCAGCACATTGAGATCAGCACATTGAGATCAGCACATTGAGATCAGCACATTGAGATCAGCACATTGAGATCAGCACAGTGAGATCAGCACATTGAGATCAGCACAGTGAGATCAGCACAGTGAGATCAGCACATTGAGATCAGCACATTGAGATCAGCACAGTGAGATCAGCACATTGAGATCAGCACAGTGAGATCAGCACAGTGAGATCAGCACATTGAGATCAGCACAGTGAGATCAGCACAGTGAGATCAGCACATTGAGATCAGCACAGTGAGATCAGCACAGTGAGATCAGCACAGTGAGATCAGCACAGTGAGATCAGCACAGTGAGATCAGCACAGTGAGATCAGCACAGTGAGATCAGCACATTGAGATCAGCACAGTGAGATCAGCACAGTGAGATCAGCACAGTGAGATCAGCACATTGAGATCAGCACAGTGAGATCAGCACAGTGAGATCAGCACATTGAGATCAGCACAGTGAGATCAGCACAGTGAGATCAGCACAGTGAGATCAGCACAGTGAGATCAGCACAGTGAGATCAGCACATTGAGATCAGCACAGTGAGATCAGCACAGTGAGATCAGCACAGTGAGATCAGCACATTGAGATCAGCACAGTGAGATCAGCACAGTGAGATCAGCACATTGAGATCAGCACAGTGAGATCAGCACAGTGAGATCAGCACATTGAGATCAGCACATTGAGATCAGCACAGTGAGATCAGCACATTGAGGGTGTAACATTAGTCTCAGGCCGTATTCTTTGTTCCATAACATACTCAACGACATCCATACCTATTGTACAAACACATCTTGGACATTTTTATCTAATACTGTTCACAAATAATTATCACACTTTAGCCCTTTTTTGGTATTTATCAAGCATGTATTACTCCTTTTATGTTATCTATCCATCCATCCATTTTCTTCTGCTTTATCCGTTGCCGGGTCGCGGGGGCAGCAGTCTAAGCAGAGACGCCCAGACTTCCTCCAGCTCGTCCTCAAGGCGTTCCCAGGCCACAGAGAGACATAGTACCTCCAGCGTGTCCTGGGTCTTCCCCGGGGTCTCCTCTCGACGTGGAGTAGCAGCGGCTCCACTCCGAGCTCCTCCCGTGTGACTGAGCTCCTCACCCTATCTCTAAGGGAGCGCCCGGCCACTCTGCGGAGGAAGCTCATTTTAACCGCGATCTTGTTCTTTTGGTCATTACTCCTTTGTATTTTCTTAATTACTTTTTTAAATGTTTTTTCTATTTCTTGTAATCTTGGTGTGTGTGTTTTAATGCCCTGTGGAATTTTAATTGTGTCTTTTGTATATTTTAATGTTTGTTATTGATGCCTGATGTGATAGTGTGAGGATCTTTGTGTGGCCTTGTGTAGGAAAGACGCTCTAAAAATAAAAGTGGATTGATTGATTATTCTAGGCTAGGTTTAGGGCTATTATAATAGATCCATGGTTTAGGGTTCATCGATTAGCATTTGATTAGCTGTTAATAAGTGAGGGCTAATCTAAAGTGCTACCCATAGTATTTATTCACATCATTTTTTGTTATTTTTCACCTGTTTTCAGGGGTGTATTGATAAAGAACGAAACATTGAAGGAGCAGCAGAATGACAGCGACACGGTGGAAGACGACAGCAGCAGCGACTAAAGTCTGTCAAAACGTACAGTTCTATCAAACGACAACAATAATAATCAATAATAATGCATCGGTTTTATGTAGCGCTTTTTTGACACTCAAGACTCTTCATATGCATTTCATTTTATTTTATTTTATTGTGGAATCTAGAATCAAGGTTCAGTTGAATCTTTGGGTTTGATTCTGTTTCTTTCACAGAGAGAGAGAGCCTTTGTCTGGTCTCTCTCTCTGGTCTCTCTCTCTGTTCTCTCTCTCTGGTCTCTCTCTCTTGTCTCTCTCTGGTCTCTCTCTCTGTTCTCTCTCTCTGGTCTCTCTCTCTGGTCTCTCTGGCCTCTCTCTGGTCTCTCTTTGGTCTCTCTCTTGTCTCTCTCTGGTCTCTCTCTGTCTGGTCTCTCTCTCTGGTCTCTCTCTCTGGCCTCTCTCTCTGGTCTCTCTCTGGTCTCTCTCTCTGGTCTCTCTCTCTCTCTGGTCTCTCTCTCTCTCTGGTCTCTCTCTTGTCTCTCTCTGGTCTCTCTCTGCTCTCTCTCTCTGGTCTCTCTCTCTGGTCTCTGGCCTCTCTCTGGTCTCTTTTTGGTCTCTCTCTGGTCTACAGTATCTCTCTCTCTGGTCTCTCTCTGGTCGCTCTCTTGTCTCTCTCTGGTCTCTCTCTCTTGTCTCTCTCTGGTCTCTCTTGTCTCTGGTCTCTCTGGTCTCTCTCTTGTCTCTCTCTGGTCTACAGTATCTCTCTCTCTGGTCTCTCTTTGGTCTCTCTCTTGTCTCTCTCTGGTCTCTCTCTGTCTGGTCTCTCTCTCTGGTCTCTCTCTCTGGTCTCTCTCTCTGGTCTCTCTCTGGTCTCTCTCTCTGGTCTCTCTCTCTCTCTGGTCTCTCTCTTGTCTCTCTCTGGTCTCTCTCTTGTCTCTCTCTGGTCTCTCTCTGTGGTCTCTCTCTGCTCTCTCTCTCTGGTCTCTCTCTCTGGTCTCTCTGGCCTCTCTCTGGTCTCTTTTTGGTCTCTCTCTGGTCTACAGTATCTCTCTCTCTGGTGTCTCTCTGGTCTCTCTCTGTCTGGTCTCTCGCTCTGGTCTCTCTCTCTGGCCTCTCTCTCTGGTCTCTCTCTGGTCTCTCTCTCTGGTCTCTCTCTCTCTCTGGTCTCTCTCTTGTCTCTCTCTGGTCTCTCTCTTGTCTCTCTCTGGTCTCTCTCTGCTCTCTCTCTCTGGTCTCTCTCTCTGGTCTCTCTGGCCTCTCTCTGGTCTCTTTTTGGTCTCTCTCTGGTCTACAGTATCTCTCTCTCTGGTCTCTCTCTGGTCGCTCTCTTGTCTCTCTCTGGTCTCTCTCTCTTGTCTCTCTCTGGTCTCTCTTGTCTCTGGTCTCTCTGGTCTCTCTCTTGTCTCTCTCTGGTCTACAGTATCTCTCTCTCTGGTCTCTCTTTGGTCTCTCTCTTGTCTCTCTCTGGTCTCTCTCTGGTCTCTCTCTGTCTGGTCTCTCTCTCTGGTCTCTCTCTCTGGTCTCTCTCTGGTCTCTCTCTCTGGTCTCTCTCTCTCTCTGGTCTCTCTCTTGTCTCTCTCTGGTCTCTCTCTCTGGTCTCTCTCTGCTCTCTCTCTCTGGTCTCTCTCTCTGGTCTCTCTGGCCTCTCTCTGGTCTCTTTTTGGTCTCTCTCTGGTCTACAGTATCTCTCTCTCTGGTCTCTCTCTGGTCTCTCTCTTGTCTCTCTCTGGTCTCTCTCTCTTGTCTCTCTCTGGTCTCTCTCTGGTCTACAGTATCTCTCTCTCTGGTCTCTCTCTGGTCTCTCTCTTGTCTCTCTCTGGTCTCTCTCTCTTGTCTCTCTCTGGTCTCTCTTGTCTCTGGTCTCTCTGGTCTCTCTCTTGTCTCTCTCTGGTCTCTGTCTGGTCTCTCTCTTGTCTCTCTCCGGTCTCTCTCTGATCTCTCTCTCTCTCTGGTCTCTGTCTGGTCTCTCTCTGGTCTCTCTCTGGTCTCTGTCTGGTCTCTCTCTGGTCTCTCTCTGATCTCTCTCTCTCTGGTCTCTCTCTTGTCCCTCTCTGGTCTCTCTCTCTGGCCTCTCTGGTCTCTCTCTTGTCTCTCTCTGGTCTCTCTCTGGCCTCCCTCTCAGATACTGGTTTATTATGGGTGGGTTGCCGGATTTAGCTTGTGTTTTATTATAGAATGTTCACCTTTTGATGCTTGTGTAAACGTAAATAAAGAAAAATCGTGTCCACGATCTACTTTACACATATTTATTTCATCCCAGATCAAACATAGTGAAACACAGACTTCAGGACTCCTCCTTCTCGTCGCCGTGGGTGATGGTGTAGCACAGGGACTTGTAGTCGATGTTTCCGGTGGGATCGATGGGTGCGAGAGAGAAGGCCTGGTCTGCCTGGAGACATCACACACAAAATTTACTCTTTTCTAATTTGAGAACTTTCTAACTTTCTAACAACATTTGCCAAAGGGACAAACACAGTTATCTAGAAAGAAATGTCTCCCTTTGAATGAGGAAATACAGAAACAGTTTATGAAATAAGAATAAATGGATTTGTCCCATTGGAGAATCTTGTTTTAAGTCAAAATGTACTAATAATAAGATAAAAATCATTGATTTCAAGCAAATATTACTTCATATTTTTCCTTTTTGCAGTGTATACATTGGATTGTGGGAAAAATCAGTTTTTTAGATATGGTATTTGTATTTAAAAACAGATATAATGTCCATGTTTTATTTAGTAATGCACTGGTCATATATGTGCTTTTTCTCTCTCCTCTCCTCTCTTTGGTGGCTCTCTCTCTCTCTCTCTCTCTGGTCGTTCTATCTGGTCTTTCGCTCTGGTCTCTTTCTCTCTGATCTATCTCTGGTCACTCTCTGATCTCTCTGGTCTCTCTCTCTGGCCTCTCTGCTCTCTTTCTATCTCGTCTCTCTCTCTGGTCTCTTTGGTCTCTCTCTGCTCTGTTTCTCTCTCTTGTCTCTCTCTGGTCTCTCTCTCTCTGGTCTCTCTCTCTCTTTGGTCTCTCTCTGCTCTCTTTCTCTCTTGTCTCTCTTTGGTCTCTCTGCTCTCTTTCTCTCTCGTCTCTCTCTGGTCTCTCTCTGGTCTCTCTCTCTGGTCTCTCTCTCTGGTCTCTCTCTCTCTCTGGTCTCTCTCTCTTTGGTCTCTCTGCTCTCTTTCTCGTCTCTCTCTGGTCTCTCTCTCAGACACTGGTTAATTACAGTTGCTAGGATACAGTCCCAGATACTAAAGCACAATGCAGACTGAACCAGGTAGAGCCGAGTAGAGTCACGTGGGCTGCTGGAAACGGGATTAGCGAGTCTAGTTTCGACACTAGCTTTAGCATTCAGAACTATCGTGCAGTAAAACACCTCTTCTGCTGTGAACTTGTCTGCTTGATTCATCAGAAGTCTCCGGAACCTGGAACGCAAACGGCAACATTCAGTAATGCATCTGTTTTATGTTTACAAAATCCAATAAAAAAGGCATAAGTTCTTACTCGTCCTTGTTCACGAATCCAGTCGCATTTGGATCAAAAAGTTTAAAAGCAGCAAGTATTGTGTCCTCTGGGTCCGTGCCTGTGGTTAAGAAGAGTAAACGTTTAAGTATTGTTGTATAAATACTTTAAAGAAGAAACACCTTTAGATAATACAGTATTTGATGCAGACTATTTTTACCTTTTAACTTGTTTGCACTTTCTCTCTCTCTGGTCTCTCTGGTCTCTCTCTGGTCTTTTGGTGTCTCTCTGGTCATTTGGTGTCTCTCAGGGCTTTCTCTAGTCTCTGGATTTTTTCTGGTCTCTCTGATCTCTCTCTGGTCTCTCCCTGGTCTCTCTGATCTCTCTCTGGTCTCTCCCTGGTCTCTCTGATCTCTCTCTGGTCTCTCTGGTCCCTCTCTGATCTCTCTCTGGTCTCTCCCTGGTCTCTCTGATCTCTCTCTGGTCTCTCTGGTCCCTCTCTGGTCTCTCTCTGGTCTCTCTCTGGTCTCTCTGGTCTCTCTCTGGTCTCTCCCTGGTCTCTCTGGTCCCTCTCTGGTCTCTCTCTGATCTCTCTCTGGTCTCTCTGGTCCCTCTCTGGTCTCTCTCTGGTCTCTCTCTGGTCTCTCTCTGGTCTCTCTCTGGTCTCTCTCCGGTCTTCCCGTAGCCTCCATCCTGCTTCCTCTGGACTTTTGAACAATATACTTGTTTTTGGAATTCCATCTAACATACTCAAGTTTCTAAATTCCGACCTCATAGAAAGTTGGATTTTACTTCCAGAAGTTCCCCACTTCCTCATGTTTTGGAAAGAACACCCACCGTTGAGTTTCTCGCCGAACAGACTCAAGAAGACGGTGAAGTTGATGGGACCCTTTCCTTCATTCAGCATTTCCTCCAACTCCTCATCCGGAACATTTAGTTTTCCTAATAACGAACGGAGATGTATAACAGATAACATTTATTTATCTATAACATGATTACAACAATAGACCTCTGCAACACGTCCTATAAAAGATACTACGCCACCACTGTAACTACTGATCTACAGTCTCAGTACTGGATCTACAGTCTCAGTACTGGATCCACAGCCTCAGTCCTGGATCTACAGCCTCAGTCTTGGATCCACAGCCTCAGTCTTGGATCCACAGTCTCAGTCCTGGATCCACAGCCTCAGTCCTGGATCTACAGCCTCAGTCCTGGATCCACAGCCTCAGTCCTGGATCTACAGCCTCAGTCCTGGATCCACAGTCTCAGTCCTGGATCCACAGCCTCAGACCTGGATCCACAGTCTCAGTCCTGGATCCACAGCCTCAGTCCTGGGTCTACAGCCTCAGTCCTGGGTCTACAGCCTCAGTCCTGGGTCTACAGCCTCAGTCCTGGATCTACAGCCTCAGTCCTGGGTCTACAGCCGCAGTCCTGGATCTACAGCCTCAGTCCTGGGTCTACAGCCGCAGTCCTGGATCTACAGCCTCAGTCATGAAGCTCTTCGCGAAAGTTCACTGTGGTAGACCCGGCCACTGCTGCCAGATCTACAAGCCTGCTCATCCTCTACTCATTACACCAGCAAAACGCCCACATCTAATCCACCAATAACCACCAGGACAGCAAGTTAAAAGCCGGAGACGCCCACTTCCCAGCCTTCTGAAGTTTGCAAAACCTCCGCCGCCCCACCTCCTCCTTCTCTCATCGAAGCGTGCTTGCCTACTGCCTCTGCCGTCACCAGTGCCTAGGCCCCGGGGGGGATTATGCGCGCAAGCAAGCGCCGCACTCATCAGCATCTCTCCCGGGCCTAGGGCGCCAAACATACTCAATCAACAAACTTCTAACTGCATTTTCCCTCTTGGGTCTCTCCAAAGTGAACTGGGTCTACAGCCTCCTGTCACATGAACTAAATCCCGTTTTCTTACCGAGTTGTGAGTAGGTTTCCTTGAGGTCCTGCTTTTTGATGACACCGTCTCTGTCCTGGTCAATGCAGCCGAAAGCCTACGATAGTAAATGCATATAACACATAAAACACATACACCGTCGTTCCACTGGGTTCAGAGTGAGTGATGTCACAGTGAAGGCAGCAAAAAGAGAAAAAGATTATAAAAAATTATGAGACAAGAAAATATCCATAGTTTTCTCATTTGTGTTTTATGCAGTTTGATAACATCTGTTGTAAAGATAAAACATATGAAAACTACAGGAAGTAAAACCAGGAAGAATGAATCACACTGGGGATATTTACGATTGATGAAAATTGTTGGCACTAATTTATATTTAGAAAATTACACATCAGTATTTTTAAGACATTTTAAATTCTAAATAAAAATACAGGGTTTTTTTTCATCAATGAAATAATACGGTAAAGTGATCACCCTCCTCATCCTTTTTAACACTTATGAATTTGACTAATGTTTGTCAAATTTGAAGCAAAGTCTGAAATACATTAAAGGTAAAGTAACGACTGTCATTTAAGTTCCCATTTTAAAATAAGTGCGTTCACAGTAAAGTGTCAATGAAAGTATCAATACTTTAAAGTAGTTTACCATACTGCTATCCAGAATATATAACTACAATATGTGTTTAGAATATTTCAGGTGTTCATTTTGACATGTTCAGATGAATTATGTTAAAAAAACGGCTTTGAAGCATAGACTGTGAAGTCGCACTTTTTCACTTCCGCATAGAAACGCTAGGGGGAGCCAAAATGGCAGCGATGACGTAGGAGAATGACCTCTCACAGCAGGGTCGGCATTAGATCATATACGAATCGGGACGAAACCGGAAGTCACAATCCTACTTTAAAATTAATTTTAGACTAATTCGTCCTTAAGTGGTGACTGGTTAAGTTTTAGGTGTTTAAGTAAGATGGTTAAGGTTAGGGTTACGGCTGGGTTGGGGTTATTCTTTGGGAATGGCTGGTTAAGTTTAGGCATAAATAGGTAGTTTGTTATTTTTACTTCCGTTCCTATTCCGTTTATGATCTAGTGCTGACCCTAGCGTTTGTTAAAAGGTGCCACTTCAAAGCCATAATTCATCTGAACATGTCAAAATGAACTCCTGAAATATTATAAACACATATTGTAGTTATATATTCTGTATAGCAGTATGGTAAATTCTAGTACTATTTTAAGGTTATAACTCAAAAACTAAATTTACTATCATAGATTGGAAAAAAACACAGAAATATTAAAGAGATAGTGTGGAGAAAATCAAAAGGAAAGATTGACAAATATATTTTTGTCAAAATTTTAAAAGACCAAATCCCCCATATTCTCCACCTATTCCCATATTCGCAACTGTAACTGACCTCATGGACCTCAATTGTAAAGTATATATTATTTTAAAAGTGTAGGTGAATTTTACCTCTTTAAATTCTTGTATTTGCGACTGCTCGAACATGGAGAAGACATTGGAGCAGGACTTCTGTGCCGCTCGCTGCCTCTTGTTGGAAGCCTTCTTACTGGCCTGTGATGAGCAGCAGCAATATCAGCAAAACACATTAAAGCTCAGGTACCTAACTTTCAAACCTACAACTCTCTCTCTCTTTTTCTCTTTAGTTACCGGCTCTAAAACAGTTCTATCGCTAGTTTTCATGTGTCTGTCACTTCTTTGGATTAGCGTTTTCAGACAGAAACATTGAAAAAGTAATTACTACCTTAACTCGGCCAATCAGCTCTCAGCCCAAAGTGTCGAATTGTGACTCACAGGGCTCTTTTCTTACAAGTGTGCAAAAGAAAACAGCTTTCTATTGACAACAAATCAACATATTCTGGTTTGATTTGTTTACAACACGCTACTTATGCAAGGACAAAGTAGGTACACTGCAAAAAATGATTAAATATGAGGTGAGGTGATTTTTGCTGGAATTGAGTGGTTTTTATGTTAATTTGAGCACATTCTGACGGTGTTAAAACAATATTTTCCAATGAGACGAGGCCATTTAGTGTTTTTTCAAGAACTGCTGCTTTATTTTCTCATTTCAAGAGAGATGTTTCTTGTATCTTCATAAAACAAGATTATTTTGCTTGGTCCCATTGGCGAATCTTGTTTGAAGGCAGACAAAAATGTGCTCAATTTAAAATACATTTGTCTGAATTTTAGTCATTTTTTACTTTTTTTTTTCATCACCATTTACAGTTTTAGCAGCAGAACCTAGCTACACATTTACTTAAAGGTACACAGTGTAGTTTTTACTCCCATCTAGCATTGAGATCATAGATTGTAATTTGCGGTTAGCTTTGAAGGACAATTTGTCGTCTTTGACAGTGGTCCCTTTTTGTCCCTTATGGACCACTGTGTTTCAAGATGGAGCATTGATACAGAGAGTCCTCCAGCCTCATGAACGTTCATAAGTCAAATTCAAAGCCTATGACAACAATTCAAAAACATGGTGGAGGTAAATATTCTTTAACAAAGTCAGATTTGTTATTGGTAAACTGTATTTTTTTTTTCATTTGGAGCAACTGTAAAAATTACACAGAGCACCTTTAAAGAACTTTCCTGAGGCTGAATAGAGATGACAGAAGCAGGACTTACCATGTTGACGGTGGACTGTGGTTGGGCTAACCCTGCGGGGCGGGTGTTTTATGGCTGCAGTGTTATCGGCTGCTCTCTGACAATAGCCCCCTGGTAGGTTTGGTCCCTACATGGTCCTGTCTCTCTGGTGCCACTGTCCCGGGCTGATAAGGACCCGAGCCCCTGGATTCCTTTGGGTCCAGGAGACAGATATGAAAGCTTGTATCTCGCCTGTTGTTTGCTATCTCAGAGTGATTCTAAAATAGTCTGTGAGCCAGTTAGAATAGAGCTGTTGAGACTGAGAGGAGGGAGCAGCGTCTGCCGTCAGAGGTGTATGGAACTGTCATAGTGAAGAGGGAGCAGCGTCTGCACTCAGAGCTGTACTGTATTGTTGTGGTGAAGAAGGGAGCAGCGTCTGCCGTCAGAGCTATGGGACTGTTGTGGTGAAGAGGGAGCAGCGTCTTCACTCAGAGCTGTATTGTATTGTTGTGGTGAAGAGGGAGCAGCGTCTGCACTCAGAGCTGTACTGTATTGTTGTGGTGAAGATGGGAGCAGCGTCTGCCGTCAGAGCTATGGGACTGTTGTGGTGAAGAGGGAGCAGCGTCTGCACTCAGAGCTGTATTGTATTGTTGTGGTGAAGAGGGAGCAGCGTCTGTACTCAGAGCTGTATCAGACTGATGTGGTGGTTTCTATTGTTTTCATTTTTTTCATTTTTTTACTTTTAATCTTTCATGCTGAAGCACTTTGGGCAGCTGCTGTTGTTGGAAATGTACCATACACATAAAGTTGTCACTGACACTGATTTTGACAATAAGCTGACCAGATGGAGCAGCGTCTGCACTCAGAGCTCTATAGGACAGTTCTGGTGAAGACGGAGTTGAGTCGAAAGGCAAAGTCCTGTTAGTTATCGGGTAATGAGCTAAAGGACAAGATGGCGGATACAAGCGATCGGTCCAATCTGCTCTGACTCCAGGACCAGATTCAGAAGAAGACCATGGATAAAACTGAGGCTTTGAGACAGTGTTTTTCAAACAGTGGGCCGGGGAACCTTAGTGTGCCTTCAGATGTTGGGTAATGGTCTAATAACACCTGTTTGGTCAAAATAAAATGAAAAAAGAAAGTATGAGAAGATTAGCAATACTTCTTTTCACTTTTTTGATTTTCTATACAAGACACTTTGATATATGAGTTTCAGCTGGTGGTGGACTGTGCCATGGGATAGTTTCAAATGAAAAAGGTGTGCCACGGCTGAAAAAAGTTGGGGAACACTGCTTTAAGAAACTCAAAGCACTCATAAAACACTGCATAACGTTAGCATAGCATTTTGTTGCTAATCAGAATTTTGTTCGGTCTTCATAGTGCCATTTATAGTTCTTCCTTTGTCCCCACAACGGTGTAGTACAAGCACACGGGGCAGATGAGGCTGGGGTAGTTGTTGTAACATTATAATGACAATAAATCAAATCTAGTGCTAATTATGGTTCGTAAACGGGGCTGGGACTAAAAAAACTTCACAAATATAAGATTGGGGTCATTCTTTTATTTACAGATAACAAAGCATTTTATGATACAGTTAAAGTCTGTGTTAAATATACAGTTCCATTGCAAACATTTATACACAACTAACATCTGTTTATGTACATCATTGTCTTCTATTGGAGTATCTTACAGTTGTGTAGTTTTGTGTGAGATGGTTACAGACAGCACTGGTTTTTTAACCTTTCAGGCAAAGTACCAGCTGTAAAAGAATCATAATATTGTGTTTTTTTGTCCAGAACCACCAAACATGGTTGTTTAATAATTTTAATTTTAATTTTATTGAATCATATGTGTGTGGCTAAAATGGTTGTTGTATTGTAATTCACCTTTGGCTCGAGCCAGTCGGGACGGAGGGGGTTTTGTGTGTTCATCCATTTTGCCAGGAGGAAGCATGGGCCTTCCCTTTGTGTGTGAAGTGTGTTTGTGTGTGTCTGTGTGTGTGTGTGTTTGTGTGTGAACTATGTGTGTGTTGTGTGTGTGTGTCTGTGTTTGTGTGTGAACTATGTGTGTTTGTGTGTGTGTGTCTGTGTTTGTGTGTGAACTATGTGTGTTTGTGTGTGAACTATGTGTGTTTGTGTGTGTGTGTGTGTGTGTGTGTGTGTGTGTGAACTATGTGTGTCTGTGTGTGAACTATGTGTGTTTGTGTGTGAACTATGTGTGTTTGTGTGTGAACTATGTGTGTTTGTGTGTGAACTATGTGTGTGTGTGTGTGTGTGATTTTGTCCAGGTTTGACTGTAGTTTAAAATCAGCATTAACAAAGGTCTTTACAACCGTGCTCAAAAGAAAGTATGTTAAGAAACTACATCTGTGACATGTTAGAGCCAGGACTGGCCTCCTGCTGGGACTCTGAGGAGCACAGGGACTGGCCTCCTGCTGGGACTCTGAGGAGCACAGGGACTGGCCTCCTGCTGGGACACGGATGAGCACAGGGACTGGCCTCCTGCTGGGACACGGAGGAGCACAGGGACTGGCCTCCTGCTGGGACACGGAGGAGCACAGGGACTGGCCTCCTGCTGGTTCCAGAGTCAAGATTAAACATGTGGAGGCAGCAATCCTGATCTATCCATCTAAAAATCAGGAACGGTCTTTCTGAAGGAGTGAGACAGGCCGCTGCCATGGCTGTATTTAAGTCCAGGCTTTGAAAACTGTTTTTTTTTTTAGCCGTATCCATCACTGACCATCATTGAACTCATCGCAGTTGTTTTCAAATTGCCTTTTGTGTGTGTTTTATTGTGTGTTTTGAGTTGCCTTTTGTATGAACTGTGCTAAACATACAAACACATAATGATTAATTGATTGTCATTGCCATTTCCAAGTGATGTACCTTTGGTTGTGGAGAGTTTTCTATGTTTAAATCATAATACAACAGAAACTAACCCAAAATAACCTGGATCAGAAGCGAACATGTCTCGGTGATCCAGACAGAAGCAGGTTTGACTGGTAGTTTTATACCAGAAATGACCTGCAAGAAATGAGCCGTAAAATCCAAGAATGCAGCTTTTACCGCATTAAAGCTGGGGTACCTAACTTTCAAACCACAAAAAAATGTAATTGCATTGATTTGAATGAGCCTCTGAGCTAGACTCTTACTATAGCGACAAACAACCGGTGTTAAAATAAGTAAATAAGTTGTAAGTAAACTGTGTGTGGCGTGAATGGAAAAAAAATCTGTACTCCAAAAATGCGCTATATATATAAAAAAAGAGACACACTTACTGGCTAACCTGTATCAATAAAGTCAGGTACCCCAGCTTTATGAGTTAAGATTGTATTAGTGACTACTCAATATTTACTCAGTGCACTGCAAAAAATGATGAAGAGTAAGTCCAAAATGGCTCAAATTTGGCAAAAAAAAATGTATCTTTACTTGAGCACATTCTGACAAGATTTGCCAATGGGACAAAGCAAAATGATCTTGCTTTAGAAGGATACAAGAAATGTCTCCCTTGGAATGAAAAAATTAAGCAGCAGTTCTTGAATTAAAACTAAATGGCTTTGTCTCATTGGTAAATCTGGTTTTAACACAGTCAGAACATACTCAAAGATAAAGAAAAAACACATGATTCAAGCAATTATTACCTCATATTTTATCATTCTTTGCAGTATGATGTGGACCAGGAAGTCTCAGGGCCATGACGAGACGCTCTGAAGGCCACACTTGGACCCCGGGCCATGGTTTGGACAGCCCAGGACCAAAACAATGATTGAGGACGCAGCCACGGGTTTCCATTGTAACAGTTGAACAGATCCAGTCCAAACAGATCCAGTCCAGACCGGGGCAGGTGTGGTGTCAGCAGTGCATGCAGGCGGCCATCTTGCTGGCCACCGCCGAGATGAGTGCGGCCCCTCGCCCACTGCCCTCCTCTGATTGGAGGAAGCAGATCTCGCAGTGCGGCGTCAGCTCTCGCACCACTTTGTGAAACCGGTCCTGGAATCTGAAACGGGAAAAAGAAACACTCTCTTTAACAACGAGATTCAGAAAGATTTGACTCATCTTTTGTTCTCATTCATTCACGCCACACCGCCCCATTGATTTAAGCCAGAATCTATCAGAACTCTGAAGCTAAGCTGAGCAGGACCTGGTTAGTCCTGTGATGGGAGACCTCTGGGAACAGTGGTACTAGCTTCTTTACACTTTGGGCTTGTTTAACCGTTAGCTTTCATGACTCACCTTCATCTGGTTTGACAATAAACCAGTGTCCTGTAGCTGCTAAAACTGGATGGAGTCAAAATTCTACTCTACTCTGAAAACTCTACCGCAATAAAAATACATATATTAGCCGCATCGCTATATAAGCCGCAGGGATCAAAGTGCTAGAAAAAAGTGTAGCAGCTTATCGTCCAGAAATTAAGAATACTAATTACTAACACCATTGATTGCCGTTGCGGTCATTTACAGAGTTTATCAACATCTATAGACATTGGTCATCTGCCCCTTATGGACCAATGGCTCTACACTGCAAAAAAATGATAAAATATATTGGCTAATAATTGCTTGAATCGAAAGGTTTTTATCTTAATTTGAGCACATTCTGACTGTGTTAAAACAAGATTTGGCAATTTATTTTTAAAACAAGAACATTTTACTTTGTCCCATTGGCAAATCTGGTTTTAAGGCAGTCAGAATGTGCTCAGATTAAGATACATTTTGCCAATTGTGAGCATTTTTTGACATATTTTTCATCACTTTCTGCATGTGTTTGTCTTGTGCTTGAACTTTTTGATTCTCTGATCTGCTGTTGGTAAATCGACGGCTTTGTAGAGTCCACCAAGACGCCTGCTGTTGTAATTTAGCGATATACACAAAACACATTGAATTGAATTGACTTAAAGTTACTTTGGGTGCAGCTTGTAGACCGATCCGTCGATGCCCACGGTGATGTGCAGAGTGTCCAGGCAGCGGCGCTCTCTCATGCGGTTGATGACGGCGGCTAACCCGGCGGCGCACATGTGGGAGGAGCGCGTGGAGATGACCTCACACACCAACCGCACAATGTCACAGTCCAGCTCTGACGGCAGCACGCCCAGAGACGACAGGATGTTGTAGATCTGCTTTCTGTCCCCAGAGTCACTGCAGACGGAAAAACAAATAGTTTAGTGGAGAGTTGGCTTAAAAACAACCGAAACAAATGAGCCGGTCATTTATGGTTTTCAGTTTTCTGTAGTGTCTGTTTTGTTTTAATTAAATTTCAATTCAATTAAAATGTATTACTTTAGCTGTCTGTGGCCTCAAGGGAAACTAATACTAGATATATAATAAGAAAGAATGGAAACGACAATGCTTGAATGAAGGTCTAAAAATGATGTGAAATGTTTATTCAGTCTTGTGTTATTTTGTATTGTAAATTATTTTTATACTGAATGTTTTAAATGTGTTAATGATCCTTTGTGGACCCCAGGAAGACTAGCCACCACTTTTTTTCATTTCATTTCATTTTCAAGCCCTTTATTGTCCATTTCTGGGTCAGGGGGGTGGCAATGAGAGCTGCCACCCAATGCTCATAGCACCAGTCCCTCGCTGATCCTCTGCAGGTGGTGAGTCCACAGGAAGATGGCTGCTCTGTCAGTGATGAAACAGCCTTGGTCTTTCAGCGGGGGCTTCAGGCAACGTGGGGTTAAGTGTCTTGCCCAAGGACACAACGACAGTAGACATCAGTGGGAGCAGTTGGAGTAGGTCCCATGGTGGGAATTGAACTCACGACCTCCAGGCTCAAAGGCCACTGCTCTACCAACTGAGCTACTGTCGCCCCCTAGCCACCACTTGTGGAAGCTAATGTGGATCCAAATAAATAAATAAATAAAATATTACAGACTAGAGGAAGGTCCTGTTAGTCCCACAGTGGGGAAATTTCAGTTTGATAAATACACATAAACATCAAAGCATGCGGCGTACATTACTTCCGCGCAAAGTGGGTTAAGTGTCTTGCCCAAGGACACAACGGCAGCAGACATCGGTAGAGTCGGTGGAGAAGGTCTCGCGGTGGGCTCGAACCCATGACCTTCAGGTTCAAAGGCCAATGCTCTACCACTGTCACCATATTGGTCCAATTTAAAACATACAGACGGACAATCGGCCCCTGGACAAGTCTGGTGAACTAGACAGACCCTTTTACTATAAAGTCTGGACACCTCTGACATATATTCCATGTTGTTCCAGTATTTTCTCTGTGACACCCGCAGCGCTCACCTCTCCACCTGCGACACGTGGCGGGTCTCGAAGCTCCCCCGGCTCCTCAGCTGCTCCGACGCTTCTCCGTTGAAGAGCAAGTTCTCATTCACCAGTTTTATCAGGACCAGTCTGACCAGCTCCCCCATGTACTTCCCACTGATCAGCTTTTCATATCTGCAGAACAAAGGGAGAACTTAAAAGGAGGCCTGAGAAAATACAACATTTCTAAAGTAGCCTTTGGTGTGCCTCAGGGATCAGTACTTGGTCCGATACTGTTTATAATGTATATGCTGCCATAAGGACACATTATTACGCAGACGACAACTTTAATAATCGGTGAGACCAAATCAAGCCAATCCGATTGATAGACTTAGAAAGAAAAAAAAGAAAAAGAAAGAAAAAAAACACACACAAATGATGGAAACTTCCCAAGAGGCATTCTCTTGGAGACGATGTGATCCCCGAAAACAGCAGATATGCCTTCAATATAAAATATATAGTGAGGAGATGAAGGGTAAAAATAGGCTTTCAGCTTGTAATTCCCTATGCTACCACCAGAGGGAGGAGTTGAATTAGTTTTGCAATTGTAAAGAACGTCATTTCACCTGGGAAATTACCAAAACTGATTTATGGGCAGTACAATGAAACCAACTATTACAGGACTGAAACCCAAGCTTTTAGACAGAAGTAGTGGCACTGTGGCCCCTTCTGAATGTTAATACCAGATCCTGTCAGACCTAAGCAGGACAGGGCCAGGTTAATACTGTGATGGGAGACCTCTGGAAGCATCAGGTGCCACAGTGGGACGGCTGCGGCTGTAAAGTACCAAACTGTTGTTGTGTCCTTTGGTAAGACACTTAATCCCCTTTGCCTAGAATGAGTCTGGTGTGTGTGTGAATGGTTGGTGGTGGTCGGAGGGGCCGATGGCACAGACTGATTGCCTTCCTTCTGTCAGTGTGCCCCAGGGCAGCTGTGGCAACTGTGGTAGTAGTAGTTTATCACCAGTGTGTATGGAGTGAATGAATAATGGCATGTGAAGCCTTTTTGAGTGCCATTTAATTCAGATGCATATCATATAATTTTGTGTTTGTGTCAGAATTTCCTGATAGTAGCGTGGATGGATCAAAAAACAACTCCAGGTCTGTGACGAATGAGGGAACAACGTGACATGGTGAAAAGAGAGACACTTGCATGCAGTCTGTTGCGGTTATGACACCCTTCATTCTGCATATTTGTATTAAAATGAGTTCAATTATTGTAAAAGTCCATTTAAAAGATCAAGGTTCAGTGTTTGCTCTTGCCCAACAGTTTGTTAGAGGCTGGTTGTCAACAGTCATTAGGGGCTAAAGCGCCTGATGGCCTGGAGCCTGACGCAGAGGCATCAGTAAAAGCAGCTGGTCACTTAGTAACTGCACAGGGCCCTCAGCTGAGAGCCATCTGACCCGGGACCGGAGGGTCAGTCACGTTTTAGAGCGGCCCCTCCCTCTGCTGGACTCAAACATATGGTCGTACTTGAACGTTTACACACCCAGGCAGAAATGTTAAGTCTATAATTATAATGACAACAGAATCTCCTCATCTGACCCTGATCAGAAATCTCCATCCCCCAGTTCTCAGTAGCGTGTGTTGCCCTTTGACATCTATGACAGTACCCGGGCTGTGAAATGCGCTATATATATATACAATAAATAAAGATTCTCACTTATTCATTTTCTACTGGGGCGACAGTGGCTCAGTTGGTAGAGAATTGAAGGTCGTGGGTTCAAGCCCCCACAAGACCTTCTCCACTGACTCCCACTGATGTCTGCTGTCAATGTGTCCTTGGGCAAGACCCTTAACCCCACTTTGCCTGAAGCCCCCGCTGAAAGATTATGACTATACTCTCACCGACAGAGAAGCCGTTCACCAGAGTCCTGGATCTACAGCCTGTCTGTCGGTGGGAGTGGATCCCTCTCTCAATATGGGTCTGAGTGGATCAGAGAGAGAGCCCAGAGAGAGACTAGAGAGAGACCATAGAGAGACAAGAGAGGGACTAGAGAGAGACCAGAAAGAAAGACCAAAGAGAGAGACTAGAAAGAGACTAGAGGAAGGCCAAAGATAGAGACTATAAAGAGACTAGAGAGAGACCAAAGAGAGATCAGAGAGAGAGAGACCAAAGAGAGAGCAGAGAGAGAGGGAGAAGAGAGTGAGGATCCAGGACATTTAATGACATTTATAGACAGTGGTCTCTGCTCCCTATGAACCAATGGCTCCTGTGCATTTCCATGACAGTTCCATGATGTTCGAAATGTGTAACTCTCTGATTTATTCTTGGTGAATTGACAACGTTGTAAACATCCTCCAAGACGACTGTTGTTGTGATTTACAAATAGATACAAAAATACAATAATTTTAAGAAGCCTGTGGGACGACTTTTGGGCCTTCTCTATAATCTCATGTAGACTTTCCACACGGGTCACTCACAGCTGCTGTCCTGGGTTGGTGGAGGCCGTGTCCACCATCCTGTCGTACTCCAGCCTGAACTCCTCCAGCTCGCCGTTGTCTCCGAACGCCCCCCACTCCGTGTTCACGCACATGCGGCCCTCCTCGCCCTCCACCAGCTCCACGGTCCTCATCTCCTCCATGTAGCAGGCGTTACACCCAGTGCCTGCAGAAGAAGAAGAGTGTGTGGAAGAGTGAGGACTTCTGCACAGTGCGGGAAGTGGGAGCGAGGTGTGTGGTCAGAGAGTGTTTGGGCCTGTGTCTTACTGTTTGTCTGTGTGTGTGTCTGTGTGTGTGTGTGTGTATTTTGGGTTAGGGTTAGTGCCTGCAGTAGAAGAAGAAGTGTGTGGATGAGTGAGGACTTCAGCACAGTGCGGGAAGTGGGAGCGAGGTGTGTGGTCAGAGAGTGTTTGGGCCTGTGTCTTACTGTGTGTCTGTGTGTTGTGCTTGTGTGTGTGTGTATGTGTGCTGTGCTTGTGTGTGTGTGTGTTTTGAGTTGAATGAATGAGATGGGTTAGAGCCAAATAAGTGTCTTGTTTATTTCTGTTAAAATAATAAAATCCCTTCTACTATTCGTCGGTTATAGATTGAGAGTCTTCCTATTCACTGAAGAATAGAATTGATTTGAGGAAATGTCAGTGTTGCATCCGCAGTTACAGAACAGTAGGTATGACGAGCACACAACACAAGATAAATGAACAATAACTCTATACTCACCAACAATCATGCCGACTTCACAGCTGCGGTCTTCGTAGTAGCACGAGATCATGGTGGCGACTGTGTCATTCACCATGGCAACCACGTCCATCTCAAACTCCTGGAGATCAAAACAAGGACACGCTTAAAAAAACTGATAAGATAAAGTAAGAGAACCTTTATATGTGTGTGTGTGTGTGTTTGTGCGTGTTCTTGTGTGTGTGTGTTTGTTTGTGTGTGTGCGTGTTTGTGTGTGCGTGTTCGTGTGTGTGTGTTCGTGTGTGTGTGTATGTTTGTGTGTGCGTGTTTGTGTGTGTGTGCGTGTGTTTGTGTATGTGTGTGTGTGTGTTTGTGTGCGTGTGTTTGGGTGCGTTTGTGTTTGTGTGCGTGTTTGTGTGTTTGTTTGTGTGTGTGCGTGTTTGTGTGTGTGTTTGTGTGTTTGTGTGCGTACGTGTGTGCGTGTGTTTGTGTGTGTGTGTGTTTGTGTGTGCGTGTGCGTGTTTGTGTGTTTGTGTATGTGTGTGTGTGTGTTTGTGTATGTGTGTGCGTGTTTGTGTGCGTTTGTGTTTGTGTGCGTGTGTGTTTGTGTGCGTGTTCGTGTGTTTGTGTGTGTGTATACCTGCGTTTCTGTGTGTGTGTATGAGTGTGTGCGTCGTTTCCGTCTGTATGTGTGCATGTGTGTGTGTTTTTCTGTGTGCGTGTGTGTGCTTGCGCGAATGTGTGTGTGTATGTTTGTGTGTGCATGTGTTTGTGCGTATGTGTTTGTGTGCATGTGTGTTTGTGTGTTTATTTGTGTGTGTTTGTGCGCGTGTGTGTGTGTGCCCCCCGTGACTTCCGCATCGGATAAAGCGGAAGAAAATGGATGTATGGACCACACATTTTTGATCCGCAGCGGCTTGAGTTGTCTTGCAAAGAAGAATTGGGTTCACAATTCCACTTTGCAGTTCAATTAAAAAATATATATAATTTTCTTCTGCTTTATCTGTTGCCAGGTGGCGGGGGCAGCCTTTATACAGGTCAATGTATTTATTTGTGTTCATTTAACTTTTATGTAACTGATCCAATACACAATTTATTACTATTTTTGTTTCAATTTGTGTCCAACCAGTTCTTTCCAGAATCATGCATTACGAACTTTCTTTTCACATTTGTCTCTCGATGATAAAATAATGAAAATATAAACTTTTGTGATTGTGACAAAGTTCCAGGAGTATGAATACATGTCCTAGTTTCTTTTATTGGTGATTTTTTTGCAGTGTTGTTAATAAAAATGACTGTAAACACAAATAATAAGTACAGCAGAGTTTCTCACCCCTCGCCTCTTGATGGCGTCGCGGAGCAGACCCACCACGTTGTTCCCTTCGGCTCCGGAAGCTTTGAAACCTTTTGTCCAGTTCAGCAGGATTCCCTTCAGAGACACAACTGATTTCAAAACACAACTTTCATTTTTATTTTAATGTCCTTTTTGTTTAATAAATATATGTTTTTTTTAAATCAAAGTTAAATGTTATCTTATGTTTTATTATTATTTTTCATGTATTTGATATTGGACAATGAACAATAAACTCAACTCCATTAGAATGATTCCGAGAGCGATTTTTTTCCCTCTGGGTTTTTTAAAATGTGGAGCAAGTAAGTTAGGATTAATTATATAGCGCATTTTTTTCAGACCAACACAGTGATGACGGAAGCGAGACGCCGAACACACTGGACCATCAAAGCCTCCGACCAAACACCTTCCATTCACTCATTCATTACATTCAAACCTATTGTACATGTTTTTAGTGGTAGGTGAAACCGGAGCACCTGGAGGAAACCTACACAGACACGGAGACATGTAAACTCCATTCAGAAAGGTCCTATTCCGACCGGGATTAAAACTCAGGACCTACTTTCTGAGAAGCGAGAGGGCTAACCACTCAGCCAACGTGCCAACCAAGATTAGAATTAGGGTCTGAGAGCAGGGTCTAAAACAGGGGTGTCCAAACATTTTAGCATGAGGGCCACTTTAGTTAACCAGACTTGTCCAGGGACCGGCAACCCGGAATGTAAAAATATTTTGCCTGGATTATGAGTTTTAAAATGAGCTCTGACAGATCGGAAGAATGAGCAATGACCATATCACCAGCTACATTAACGCTACAAAAACAAATTCTAACACAATTCAAAGAAAATATCGGTCTCTAAATCAACGGCTGAATTCTAGTCTACGTCTGTCTAAAGTGTCAAAGGAGAAGTTGGCTGGATGACACTGGGAATTGGTGTGTGCGATCTCAAATACAACTTTGTTTTAGAAAAGGCAGAGGGCCACATGACATGACACAGAGGGCCGCAATTGGCTCGCGGGCCTGAGTTTGGACAGGCCTGGTCTAAGAAGATCCGGAACACTTATGCACTTTTATTATGGACCTTATTATGGACCAATGACGACAGATGTTGAGATTTAAGAAGATTGAATCAGATTGAGCTGAATTATTTATGATATTATTATTATATTGACGTGTGCTGCTGTGTCCCAGAGGTTTCTCACATTATCCTGGACGGAGCTAAAAACAACCCAAGTTTTGTTTTAAAATGATGTTTTGTGACATGGACAAAAGACGGTGGTGTCTAGTCTCTCTCTGGTCTCGCTCTGGTCTCTCTCTGGTCTCTCTCTGGTCTCACTTTGGTCTCTCAATGGTCTCTTTCTGGTCTCTCTCTGGTCTCTCAATAGTCTCTCTCTGGTCTCTCTCTGGTCTCTCTCTGGTCTCTCGCTGCTCTCTCTGGTCTCTCTCTGGTCTCACTTTGGTCTCTCAATGGTCTCTCTCTGGTCTCTCTCTGGTCTCTCAATGGTCTCTTTCTGGTCTCTCTCTGGTCTCTCAATAGTCTCTCTCTGGTCTCTCTCTCTGGTCTCTCTCTGCTCTCTCTGGTCTCTCTCTGGTCTCTCTGGTCTCTTTCTGGTCTCACTCTGGTCTCTCTCTGGTCTCATTCTGGTCTCTCTCTAGTCTCTCTCTGGTCTCACTCCGGTCTCTCTCTAGTCTCTCTCTAGTCTCTCTCTGGTCTCATTCTGGTCTCTGTCTATGGTCTCTCTCTGGTCCCTCTCTGGTGTCTGGTCTCTCTCTGGTCTTTCTCTAGTCTCTCTCAGTTTTTACCTTGTCCAGGTCTTCGTGTCGGACTGGGAACGAGAAAGTGAATCCCAACGGCAGCTTTTTGTGTTTGATTTGGTGTTTGCCCAAAAAGTCCGACATGCACTCGGCGACGTAGTCAAACAGCTGCAAACATTAGATTCAGATTCAGTTAATTTGCCATTTGCAGTAAAACCACATTGGAATCCCCCCAGTGCAACATCTATAGTGCTTTGTTCAGACTGATGACAATTTGTGGAAGAGGAAGCTGTTAGCATGTTAGCATATCCAGATGTCCAGCCTCTCAGCGAACGATATCTTCTACCAGAGGGAAGAAGCTGGAACATGGCTTTTCCAGAGACCAGAAGAGTCACCTCTTTCAGAACAGAGCACCTCTCTGGTCTCTCTCTGATGTCTCTCTTTGGTCGCTTTCTGGTCTCTCTCTGGTCTCTGTCTGGTCTCTCTCTGGTCTCTCTGGTCTCTCTTTGGTCGCACTCTGGTCTCTCTCTGATCTTTCTCTGGTCTCTCTCTCTCTGCTCCCTCTCTCTGGTCTCTCTCTGGTCTCTCTTTCTGGTCTCTCTCTCTGGTCTCTCTCTCTCTGGTCTTTCTCTCTCTCTGGTCCCTCTCTCCAGTTTCTCTCTGGTCTCTCTCTAATCCCTCTCTGGTCCTTCTCTCTGGTCTCTCTCTGGTCTTTCTCTGGTCTCTCTCTGGTCTTTCTGTGGTCTCTCTCTGGTCTCACTCTCTCAGACAAGTTGAGTGTGTATCTCTCGTACCATCTCTGCCGTCCCGGTCATGGCGTCTTCAGGGATGGAGTACATCTGGTTCTTGGTCTCGATTTTCCAGCTTCTGTCTTCGTCTGCTCCCACTTTCACCAACATCACGCGGAAGTTTGTGCCTCCAAGATCCAGAGCCAAGAAGTCACCGACCTCTGGGAACACATACAGTAGGAGACTTTCACTGGAATGGATCAAAAATATCTGTTAATGCATGAAAATATCTCAGAAATCCTACACAATCTGTCAAAGGCACATCTGAAATGTTCTCTGTTTTTAACCTGTCTCACATTTCCAGATTTGAGCTGCATGAATCTGAAACGCTGCCTCCACATGTTTAGTCCTGACTCTGGGACCAGCAGGAGGCCGGTCCCTGTGCTCCTCAGAGTCCCAGCAGGAGGCCAGTCCCTGTGCTCCTCAGAGTCCCAACAGGAGGCCAGTCCCTGTGCTCCTCAGAGTCCCAACAGGAGGCCAGTCCCTGTGCTCCTCAGGGGACAGAATTTAGAATAAGACGCACGCCAAAACATGATGTAAAGTAGTTTCAGTAAAGGACTTTAACATTTATCTTCAGAGCCTTAGATCCATTGCTTCCTCTCAGTCTTGTCTGGTGTTTATCTTCCTTGCCTTTATCCTCGACGAGTCACATATATAAACTTGTACACATGCATAAAGCTCGGGTACCTAACTTTCAAAACAAAAACAATCAAACTATGTGGTGAAATACATGTATAGACTCTCACTCTCACAAACACACATTCATTCACTCTGAGTAGGGGAAGCCCGGAGCACCCGGAGCAAACCTACACAGACATGGGGAGAGCATGCAAAATACAATCAGAGAGGCCCTGTTCGGACTGGATAAAGTTAAATAGAAAAAAAAAAAAAAAAAAATCAGAAATATTGGATGAATGGAATATGAGATAATGTAGTAGTAATAATTACAACGGGTAAAGCGACTATTTTTATGATTTTTCTTTTCATTTTGACTTTATTAAGGACTCATATGCAAGCCAAGGACCCAGAGCTAAGAATAATGAAAGAAAATATCTGAAGAATGGAATATGTCATAAAGCAGTAGTGTTTATGAGAGGTGGGTGTAGCAGAGGTTGTGGGTGCAGTTACCGGATCCCTCGGGGGTGGAGCAGACGTAGGTGGGCAGCATCTTGACGCTGGCCTCCTCGTGGGTCTCGATGCGGAGGCCTCGGTCCATCTCCCGCTGCATCCTGCTCATCACCTCCTCCAGCTCTTCTCTGGGCAGACGGAATTTACACAGGACTTCCTCTATCTGAGAAGAGAGGAACCAGAACCGTGAGCCCGGGCCTGGGACTGTTGTGTTTGGTGCTTTTCAATCGTTGTGTTTCTGGAACTTTAGGATGATGTATTTGTTTGTTTGAATGAATGGATGTTGTTTCTGCTGCAGGAGATTTGGATTTCTCCGACGGGGATCTATAAAAGTATCTATCTTTCTCTCTCTATCTCTCACTGTCTCTTTTTCTCTCTCGCTCTCTGTGTCTCTCTCTATCAAAAGACACTTCACCCACATTGCCAGAATGAGTCTCTCTCTGTGTGTCTCTCTTTCTCTCTATCTCTCTCTTTCTCTCTCTGATTCTCTGTCTCTGTCTCTCTCTCTCTCTCTCTGTGTCTCTCTTTCTCCTTCTGTGTGTCTCTCTCTCTCTCTCTCTGTGTGTCTCTTTGTGTCTCTCTGTTTGTCTCTCTCTCTCTCTCTCTCTCTGCCAGTGTCTCTCTCTTTCTCTGTCAATGTCTGTCTCTCTCTCTCTGTCAGTGTCTCTCTCTCTCTGTCACTGTCTCTCTCTCTCTCTCTCTGTCAGTGTCTGTCTCTCTCTCTCTGTCAGTGTCTGTCTCTCTCTCTGTCAGTGTCTCTCTCTCTCTGTCAGTGTCTCTCTCTCTCTCTCTCTCTGTCAGTGTCTGTCTCTCTCTCTCTCTGTCAGTGTCTGTCTCTCTCTCTCTGTCAGTGTCTGTCTCTCTCTCTCTGTCAGTGTCTGTCTCTCTCTCTGTCAGTGTCTGTCTCTCTCTCTCTGCCAGTGTCTCTCTCTCTCTCTCTCTCTCTGTCAGTCTCTCTCTCTCTCTCTCTGTCAGTGTCTCTCTCTCTCTGTCAGTGTCTCTCTCGCTCTCTCTCTGTCAGTGTCTGTCTCTCTCTCTGTCAGTGTCTCTCTCTCTCTGTCAGTGTCTGTCTCTCTCTCTGTCAGTCTCTCTCTCTCTCTCTCTCTCTGTCAGTCTCTCTCTCTCTCTGTCAATGTCTCTCTCTCTCTCTCTGTCAGTGTCTGTCTCTCTCTCTCTCTGTCAGTGTCTGTCTCTCTCTCTCTGTCAGTGTCTGTCTCACTTTCTCTCTGTGTCAGTGTCTCTCTTTCTCTGTCAGTGTCTCTCTCTCTCTCTCTCTCTGTCAGTGTCTGTCTCTCTCTGTCAATGTCTGTCGCTCTCTCTGTCAGTCTCTCTCTCTCTCTGTCAGTGTCTCTCTCTCTCTGTCAGTGCCTCTCTCTCTCTCTCTTTCTCTCCCTCTCTCTCTCTCTCTGTCAGTGTCTGTCTCTCTCTCTCTCTGTCAGTGTTTCTCTCTCTCTGTCAGTGTCTCTCTCTCTCTCTCTCTCTCTCTCTCTCTCTCTCTCTGTCAGTGTCTGTCTCTCTCTCTCTCTGTCAGTGTTTCTCTCTCTCTGTCAGTGTCTCTCTCTCTCTCTGTCAGTGCCTCTCTCTGTGTCCCTCTCTTTGTCTCTTTCTCTCTCTCTCACAAGACACTTCACCCACATTAGAATGAGTCTGGTGTGTGTTGGTCGGAGGGGCCGATGCACAGCAGACAGGTGGCCTCGCTTCTGTCAGTGTGCCCCAGGGCAGCTGTGGCTACAGTAGAAGTTTATAACCACTGTGTATGGAGTGAATGACTAATCAAATGTCAAATGAATCATATCACATACCGATGCGTTAGTTTGGGCAATTTTTGTGTGAAATAACAAACTAATCGCACACAAAAATCCTTCCTCTGGTTGCAGAATTTTTGTTTTTTATCTTTAACATATTTGGCAACAGATGTGTCAAAGATAAAAAACAAAAATTCTGCAACCAGAGGAAGGATTTTTGTGTGCGATTAGTTTGTCATTTCACACAAAAATTGCCCAAACTAACGCATCTCTGTTTGGAATGGCAACAGTAAAAATCTGAATTGTCTTCTTTATTTTTTGGCAGGGACATAGCACAATAAATGTACTGTTCAGACCGGATATAAAAGCTCCTTTTCATCTGTAGTCCCTGAGCAGAGGTTTCTTCACTGCACAAAAGTTCACAAATGGCTTAAAAAAGGATACATTTACCATGATTTTTGTCCAATAATCACCAAAGGAACCAGAAAAACATTTTTAAATCATGTTTTGACCAATCTTGTCATAAAGCAAATCAAATTTCTTTTGGTCTGTTTTGGCGATGCCTATCACCCAAGACAAAAAAGTCAGCAGAAAGATAAAAACTCCCAAAAAATCCAAAACATTTGCATTTTTGTGGGCAATATTACACAACCATTTAACATATGACTGATTAGCGACAAACACATTTTAAAGCCACACTCTTGCTCTAAGTTTTACTCGACTCTCGACACATTTGGCTCAATTCAAACGATTCTTCAGTCTCCTGCGTGTCTCAAACTGAGGTGAGTCTTACCGTGAGGATTCGATCAATGATAGACGTGTAGCTGGACTTTACAGCAGCAGTGAGCGACGGCATCTTTGTGGAAGTCTGTGGATCTGTCTCCAAGTCTGAGTCTGAGTCTGAGTCTGAGTCTGAGTCTGGATCTGTCTGAGTCTGAGTCTGAGTCTGAGTTTGGATCTGTCTGAGTCTGAGTCTGGATCTGTCTGAATCTGAGTCTGAGTCTGAGTTTGGATCTGTCTGAGTCTGAGTCTGGATCTGTCTGAATCTGAGTCTGAGTCTGGATCTGTCTGAGTCTGAGTTTGGATCTGTGTGAGTGAGGCTCAGGACTCAGGGCTTTTATTGCTACACGATCGTGGGCCGGTCGTCTCTGCAGATTGCCTCATCTCCAGCTCCGAGGTCAAACACACCTCTTTGTAAACACAGGACTGAGAGAATGCAGACGGTGTAGAATGTGTTACATCCTGCAGATTTTATAGTTTGAATCCACAGTTTAGATGTCAGGCCTCTCAGCAGGAGCCAGTATGTGATGAAGTAAGATTGTGTTACTGAAAACTGCAAAAATGACAAAAAATATTCGGATATTGCTTGAGTTTGGCTGCATTTACTCCAGGAGATTAAAAAAATGCCAAAGGAACAAGCAGCTTTTGCCTTATTTTAACCTCTGAAGCGTTAGTGTTTTCTCAGTCTCCAAGTGAGAAAGTGCTAGTATCTTGTAAAATGTGTAAAAGGACTTGGTTAACTCAAGAACTCCCAGAGCAGTCAATTTGACGGCTTTTAGTTTTGGAAGTGTAATTACTCAGAGTATGTACGTTTTTGGTCTTCCTAAAATTGTGACTTTTCTGTGTCTGTCTGTAGTTTATTTCTTTGTCATTATTTGTTATGAAAGTATCTTAATTCATTTCATTAATTTATTTTGTCCCGGACTGGCCCCAGACTGGTTCTCGTTCAGCTTAGCCTTTCAACAAACTGTTTTTTCTGTATTTAAAGTTATAGTCATCAGTTTTAGAACTGTTATAAATGACTTACTCTAAATAAATTTGGTAAAAAAATTAATCATTTTTGGGTCAATATCTCAGAATTCTATTGGTTTGAACGGGAGCAGTGAAACACGAGGCTCTGCGAGTTCCAGTTGTTTAACAATTATGGGAGTGTTAGGCAGTTTTATACACGATGAAACAGGAATAAACAATCTCCACATGGTATGTTTAATGAATGTGTTTTGTCCTTCACACATGGTCTCACTGGTCTCAGTCTATGGTCGACAAACAACAACATTGTTTCAGATTTGCAGATTCGCCAACAACAGATCAGAGAATCAAACAGCTCAAACACAGAAAATGCAAGAATAACAAACACATAGCAGCGATTGGTCGATAGGAGCAGAGACCAATGTCTATAAATGTCTCCTGTCGAAACACATCAGGACTTCATGAGGACCGTCCCATTTGGCGAGCAATGTTGGTGAAGTGTCTTGCTTAAGGACGCAACCAGCCGCAGCTGCCCCACTGTGGCACCTGGTGTTCCCAGAGGTCTCCCATCACTGCAGTGACCAAACCCCACCCTGCTTTGCTTCTACAGTCCGACAGGATCTGGCTTTCACATGCAGGTGTTATGCTCCTTGTAAATGGAACGCTGTTTAATGACATCAAATGGGCTGCGACCCCAGGAAGAAACTAGACTCAGTTCATTCTAGGCTAAACTAAAGACTCAGTTGTTTGTACAGTATTTCTTCAGACCAGACATGACCAAACTAAGGCCCATGGTCCAAATACAGCCCACTGTGTCATTCTACATGGCCCACATAAGAGCACCATTGCACGGCTTCCACAAACTGTTGTCGTGCTGCAACCCTCCTCCTCCCCGTCGCTGCCTCTTCAGTAGAGAATCACCAGCTTTCTTCACCACCAGGGTTTGGACTCAGGGTTTCTGCCGAGGTCTAATCACCAAATCTTATCCACCACTTCATGTTCAAATGCCATAAATATATTAGAACCTCCTCATACGTCTTGCACTAAAATATACAGCTTCTATTTTGCTTCTATATAATTCTGAAGTAAGAGATTGTAATTAATTTTAGTAGTTTTAGTCTTTCCAGATTTAAATAACCTTTTTTACTGGGTTTCTGTGTCATATTTTGAACCATGACTCAGAAACGGGTTCAAGACCTGTGTTAAAAATAGATCCACAACGACACACACACACACACCAAAGGGCCCACGCATACACACACACACAGACTCGCACACACACACACACAGATTTGCACAAACACACACACAGATGTAAAATTAGCAACAGTTCTAAGTTTAGCGCAGGTGAAGGTTCAACGGCCGGTTTGAAGATAAAAGGTGAAGGCCTCTCTCTGATAACGGCTCGGCTTTAATCACATATGACCTGACCCGTTTACAGAATAACCTCGAAAAGAGTAGGTTGCGAATACCGGTAGGTTGCGTTCATGCGACATCACAACGTGGCAAAGAGACTGTAGTTTAACATTGTGATGGAAGGAAAGTGAACAATCTATGGCTCAATTTAATTCAATTCAATTCAATTCAATGTGTGGTCTTCTCTGAGATCTTTATAAAGTTGTCGATTAGCCAACAACAGATCAGAGAAACTAGTAACTGTCAAAAGTTAGATTCCAGTCTTAGTCTAGAGCTAATTTCTCTGTAATCCCAATCTACATGAAACAAAACTGTCCATAAATTCGACATCTACTTTGTCAGCAAATATCAACCAAGCTCTCAGAATCTTAAATGAAGCTAAAGCCGAAATTCAGAATGGAAGACAGGAGAACTAAACTCACCAGGCTCAAAGACTTCCTGCCGTAGCCCACAGCTGCAACCCTCCTCCTCCCCATCTCCGCCTTGTTCTAATCTAATTTCCCCTTCTGTAGTCGTCCAGGGCTCTGCCGGGGTCTAAGCGCCAAATCCTAACCACATTTCTGAACAGCAAGAATGAATGTAATCTTGGAAATGTTGTTCTCGGAGTCATATGTGTCAAATATGTAGGGTCAGATTACTGCCAAACAATATACAATTCTAATACTCCATGTTTTGCCTGTTTGAGCCTCTCCTGAATTGTTTTTACTGCCATCGTAAGTAACAGAAGTCACAAACTAGGATCCTGCCCAGGTAACGCTTTGGTAAAATAATGTTCTGACCATAGTTGATTATTTGTGGTTTTACTGAAAATGGAAAATTAACTAAAGCTGAAGGACACGGCAGCAACCACCGGCGGGACCTGAACCCGTGACATCAGGAGCAGGATTCAAACAGCTGAGAGAGACACAGATTCTACCACTGACATACTTTACAGACAGAAAAGTGAACCACCCTCACTCAGCCAATCAGATCTCAGCCCCTAAAGCGTCAAATTCAATCTGGAGAGACTTGAGACAAAGATTGCATTAGCATATTTATTGTCGGGATGCATGAATAAACAGCAGCTTAAATTCAGTACTAATATATTTGTTGCATTAGGATTGGTGATTAGACCCCGGCGGGCATACTGCGTGACATATGCAGAAGGGAGTTCTGTAGAAACTAGAGCTTGCGATCCCCCTGTGGCCGAGACCCTGATGTCAAAGAAGCTGAGCCATGATACTCCACTGATGAGGCGGTGATGGGGAGGAGGTGGGTTGCTGCTCGAACAGCTGCTTGAGCTGCAGAGAACTGAGAGGCTCTGTTTAAATGCAGCCCTGAAGTGGTGAGCACAGGTGTGTAGAGGGAGGAGTCAGTGTAGAGGGAGGAGTCAGTGAAGAGGGAGGAGTCAGTGTAGAGGGAGGAGTCAGTGTAGAGGGAGGGGTCAGTGAAGAGGGAGGAGTCAGTGTAGAGGGAGGAGTCAGTGTAGAGGGAGGGGTCAGTGTAGAGGGAGGGGTCAGTGTAGAGGGAGGGGTCAGTGTAGAGGGGGATGAGTCAGTGTAGAGGGAGGAGTCAGTGTAGAGGGAGGAGTCAGTGTAGAGAGAGGGGTCAGTGTAGAGGGAGGAGTCAGTGTAGAGGGAGGAGTCAGTGTAGAGGGAGGAGTCAGTGTAGCGGGAGGGGTCAGTGTAGAGGGAGGGGTCAGTGTAGAGGGAGGAGTCAGTGTAGAGGGGGAGGAGTCAGTGTAGAGGGAGGGGTCAGTGTAGAGGGAGGAGTCAGTGTAGAGGGAGGGGTCAGTGTAGAGGGAGGAGTCAGTGTAGAGGGAGGAGTCAGTGTAGAGAGAGGGGTCAGTGTAGAGGGAGGGGTCAGTGAAGAGGGAGGAGTCAGTGTAGAGGGGGGAGTCAGTGTAGAGGAAGGAGTCAGTGAAGAGGGAGGAGTCCGTGTAGAGGGAGGGGTCAGTGTAGAGGGAGGGGTCAGTGTAGAGGGAGGGGTCAGTGTAGAGGGGGATGAGTCAGTGTAGAGGGAGGAGTCAGTGTAGGGGGAGGAGTCAGTGTAGAGGGAGGAGTCAGTGTAGAGGGAGGAGTCAGTGTAGAGGGAGGAGTCAGTGTAGAGGGGAAGGAGTCAGTGTAGAGGGAGGAGTCAGTGTAGAGGGAGGAGTCAGTGTAGAGGGGGAGGAGTCAGTGCAGAGGGAGGGGTCAGTGTAGGGGGAGGAGTCAGTGTAGAGGGGGAGGAGCCAGTGTGGCAGCATGACGTCTCTTTGGTCTTGCGCTTAAGCTTCATCAGTGACTCACAGGGCTCTTTCTCACATGTATGCAAACATTTGTACATGTTTTCTGGATGAAGACAGTTTGTTGTGGACTGACACATTCACAGGATTGTACTTAAACACAATTATTTTTTCATGAGGGTTAGGGTTAGTATTGTCTGTGTCTAGTTGTATTATCTATGAAAGAATAAAAAAGGTTAGGTAGCCCAGCTTTAGTGTTTACTCTTGAAGTCATTTCAATTCACAGGGATAATGCTTTTGCGATGAACTGTTGAGGCTGTAACAAAATAAAACCTAAATTGTCGATGGGACTGCTATAATTGCAACAAAATTCTATTATCTTTACCTATAAAACATTTGTAAGGAGGCCATACACTTTTACTAATTCATCATTAATCATTAGCTTATTGCCAGGGAACATTTGGCCATCTTTCAAGCTACGTATGCTATTGAGTTTATTCTGATTTATGTGAGAAAATACTACTATTGACAAATATAGTTTTACGTCAAAATTGATTCAAATTAGTATAAAACGACTCCATTCAAACCCTTGTCAACTTTTTTGTCAATATTTTTGTCTGGTGTGAGCTTGATTTTGTCTTTATGATTATGTTTATCTTCTTCTAACACAACTTTTTAACATGTTTTATGAGGTTTCACAAGTTTTTCTCTCCAAACACATGTCATTGCATTTTGTGTGTTGACATAATGTACATACCTATATCTACACTTTAGATTGGCCCTCACTAATTAGCAAGTAATCAAGTGCTAATTCGTGTATAAATTATGGTTAATTAGCTTTTAATTAGTATTTATTGAGCACTTATTAGTCCTTATTCTACAACATCTAAATAACTAGTAACTGACTGATGTGACAGTGGCCAAAAATACATGCGTGTGAGAACCATGACGGAAGAAAGTGAGGATGCATGTATTTTACTACAGAGTTAAAATGTATTTGTTTTGAAAGTTAGGTGCCCCAGCTTTAAACAACAAATAAGGGCTATTAACATAAATAATAATAATATAGAAATGCAGCAAAAATTCCATTCAAGAATCCATTCAAACCCTATTTCTACTTTATTTCAAGATTATTTGTGAACTTGAAATTAAATTATTTTGTATACCTTCCAACACACATTCTTTAACAGTTCTTCTCCTCTTAACTAATCTAAAGTTTTACTAAACATACGAATTGCTTCACAAAACACCTTTTTTTAGCCAACGTTCCCAGTCACAACCGCAGCTCTCACCTTGTCCATGGGCTCAGGGAGATGACCGTCCATGTGTCCTGCAGACCATCAGGGCTCGTCAGGCGTCGTCAGAAGTACTCAACAGCAAATAATCATCAAATATTGAGAGAAATCCAGAAAAAAAGAATGTGTTCCCAGGAAAAAGTGCTATTTGGGTATTTAATTCTATAAGTTACATAGTGTCGCAATGGTATCTCCTTGCACTGGTCAAAAGCAGCCTCTTTCTTCTTTGGAAGCGGAAAAATTATGCAAAATCTTCAATATCAGCAGGTTTTTTTCCGAGTTTGACCTGCAAATGTAACTAATCAAAATATCCAGGTTAGGTTTTGGTGAAGAGGAGCCCAGTGGTTCCAGGAAATGAAAGCAAATCTGGTGTGTGTGTGTGTGTGCGTGTGTGTGTGTGTGTGTGCGTGTGTGTGTGTGTGTGTGTGTGTGTGTGTGTGTGTGTGTGTGTGTGTGTGTGTGTGTGTGTGTGTGTGTGTGTGTGTGCGTGTGTGTGTGTGTGTGTGTGTGTGGCAGAGCAGGGAGACAGCTGCACCTGAAGGAGCGCTGGTTTCCATGACAGTCAATTACCGCACGTCTCTGGTCCATGGAAAACACTTATCCACTGAGTAAAGCAGCCAAAGCCGATTTGTTAAATGAACCGAAGTTGCCACAAAAAAACCATGACAAAGCAGGCCTGCCAAAAGGTAAATGGTGGAGCTCGATACAAAAACAAAAGAGAGAGAGTCAACGTGCAAGAATCAAGGCTTTTAACAATGCTTTTATACACAGGCTGTTTTCAGAATGCTTGGGTCTACACCGTACTCTTGACAATATTGAAATAATGTCAGAATGTGCTATACATTTTCCCACTGTGGGACGAATAAAGGCTCTCCATCCATCCATTAATTTTATACCCCATGGGAGGGTGGCCAGAGATGCCACCCAGTACACACAGTACCAGCCCTACACATAGCAACAGCCCCATGAATAAAGGCTCTATTATTTTAAATAAAATACCGAAGGACATATTTAAAGTAGATATATTACATAATCTACTTTGTCATTTCATTTTTTTTTAGAATCTGACACACAAAAAAAATCATGATAGAATCAAGTGTAAAAATAAAAGGCTTTCCGACTGTAGCTCACCTATCTTGCCACTAGAGGGAAGTGTTTAGTCAGTTTAGTTATATATTTTTCTTCAAAAAAATCAGGCTGCAAACATGTAATTGCAAAGGACATTATTTTCACTGCTCTGAGTGTAATGTCATAGTTTCCTGACCTTAGCTATCCGTACACTCTGGTCAATTATTATTTCCCTACGAAATGAAATTTGTACGATGGTGTGGTAAGACCAGACTAATTTCATAGTGGTACAATGACATTATACTACAGGACTGTAGTATATAATGTGCTGCATATGTGTGTGATATGTGTATGCATATTGTGTGTATGTTTGTGCGTGTGTGTGTATGTGTGTGTTTATATTTGTGGCACTATATGAAACAAAAGCATATTTTGTATTTTAGTTGTGGTTACCGTAAATGTGTGTGTTTATATTATTATGTTGTATTCTATATAAACAAGTTAATAATAAACAATGTGGTGAATTTGTAACGTAGGGCCATGGATGTATTATCTGTAGGACTAACATAAAAAATATGACATATTTGTAATTCTTTGGAAGCGGCACTAAAGGGAAGCACGCGTGTTTCTCCGGATCGGTTTAAGCGCAGCACCGTATACATCCCCGGCCGTGACGTGGTGACTGGCGAATCTACAAACTGTGAACATTTAGGTGTGTACGAACGCTGACTTTGGAAAAATGTGGTTTTATTTATTACTGTCGCTGCTAAATGAACTGAAAAGTACAAACGTATATGTAGTTTTTGTTAAAATGAGTTATTTATAGGTGTTTCTGGTCAAGCTAATTTGGCTAAGGCCTTAAAAAGTAGCTCGTGATGTAGATTATGAAGGAGCTAGCAAACTTTTGTATACTGCTTTTAGACCGCTTTGGTTTCAGAAAGGCTTGCGTATTATTCTGTTTATTGTCACTAATTTTGAGTTTAGTTTTTGAATTAACTAGTTAGCAATCCTAGTTTCTTAGAATGCTAACAGGCTAATGCTACTTGCACTTGCGTTCTTCTTAAGCAGCTGTGTTCTGTGAGGATTTGCTTTCGTTGGCAGAAAACAAGGAGAATAATCCGTGTGTGGATCAGTCCAGTGTTTATGCTGTTGTATTTGTGTTCACAGCGCCTCACCATGAAGCTGTACAGTCTTAGTGTTATTTACAAAGGGGCCACGAAGTCCAACCTCCTCAAAGCAGCATACGACCTGTCTTCTTTCAGTTTTTTCCAGCGCTCCAGGTAAACACACACATGTATTTGGTGTTGTTGTAACAGTCCAGTAATAAGTGATGCACACCCTTTTAATGACAAACTTCAAAACAGGGGTCTCTCAAACATACTGCCCCTTCCATGTCGCTCACCAAAGGATTTAGAAGAGAGAAACACAAAATTACTTCAAGTTATGATTCACATGTCTGTAACTATTAGCTACGCATGCGGTTTCTGTGTGCACTAAAATGTGGTTATTATGTTTAATGGGAGTCTAGCCATGCTCCATCTGAGATTATATCACCTGTATGATGACTAAATAAGATTAAGATTACATGTTGCACAGAAGTTCACTGACCAGAACCAAACCTTACTTAGTCATTTGATGTTCTGTCGAGGGCATGATTTACATTATATGCACAGTATCAACAATTTAACAAAGAGTTTATTAAACCCTAATGAAATCATACATGATCATTTACATACACTGAGGAGTCAGAGATATAAAAGCTCTTTTTTTGTTAATGGAATATCATAAATTAAGAGGTGGGTTGTCAAGGATAAAAACAGTTTCCATGTATGGATTTCAACTGTTCCTAATTCATGTTTCCCTCGATCTTTACATGCTTTTTTAACTGCATTTACAGCTAGTTTAGAAGCATTACGGCTACTTATCCATGCATATTTTGTGTGCTCTTACTACTGCCCAGTTTCCATGCTGCAACAACATTTCCCCACTGTGAGATAAGTGAGGGGGGTCCTCTCTTTTTCCCTGTTTGAAAAAGCTGATCCAAACATGTGACAAAGGCCGAAAATAAAATGAACGTGGTAGAAGAAAAGTGAGGAACTAGTTAGACTGGGTTAATTTCATAATATCATCAATTGTAGATACCCCAGTTTTAACTTGTTTACCACAGACAATTTGACCAGGCTGATGGTGCAAGAGACTGGGAACATTGGGGGCATGAAGCTGCAGTAATCAAGGGTTATGGTGTGGTCTGATGCTGGAGGACCACTGGGCTGTGCATGTCAGTAATGGATACATCCTCTTGTGTTTTTGTTCAGTGTTCAGGAGTTTATGACCTTCACCAGTGCCTTGATAGTAGAAAGGACAACACCGGGAAGTCGAGCCTCTGTAAAAGAACAAGGTAAGGTTCTCTACACGTAAAGTTGATTGATTGATTACGGTGAATTTCCAACTGCAGCTCACACATGTTTAACACAAAACCATATGGATCTGTTTGTGTCTTCTAGAATACTTATGTCATGTTTATGTAAGAAACGATAACTTAGGGGCGGTGGTCATAGCAGATACAGAATATCCTCAGCGCGTCTGTTTCACATTATTAGACAAGGTGAGAGTCATTTGTTTATCATTCATATGGCTTCATTAGAGATGGAAGGTTCTCAACTCACCGCTGGCGCCCTCTGCAGGTTTTAGACGAGTTCTGCAGACAAGTGGACAGTATAGACTGGCCTTCAGGAAGCCCTGAGACCATCAACTACAAAGCTCTAGACATTCACCTGGCCAAATACCAGGTGTGTGTGTGTCGCTGTGTGTGTGTCGCTGTGTGTGTCGCTGCATGTGTGTCGCTGTGCGTTTTTGTATGTGTGTGTCGTTGCGTATGTATGTGTATGTGAGAGACCGTGTGTGTCGCTGTTTGTTTGTGTATGTTAGTGTGCATGTGTGTCGCTGCATGTGTGTGTGTTGGTGTATGTGAGAGAGTGTGCGTGCATCTGTATGTATGTGTGTGTGCGTGGCTTTGTGCTCTTTGTGTGCGTGTGTGAGAGAGATTGTGTGTAATGTATGGTTGTCGGTTTGAGTATAATATTATTATGAATGTCTTCTGTCTCTGGTAGAATCCCAGAGAAGCCGATGCAATGACCAAAGTGCAGGCCGAGCTCGACGAGACAAAGATTATTTTGGTAATTTGTTCATCTTTTTATATAATATATATATATATATATATATATATATATATATAAGCCACATCCGGGCCCGCTATTATGGCAAAATGAATTGTGATTTTTCTGACAATGCATAAATTAGATATTAAAATACAAGCTATGAAAGTGTCTGTTGATTTGATTGTCGTGAATCGTGCAGCCCAAATGAATTCAATATTTTGTTTATTCAGCACAACACGATGGAGAGCTTGTTGGACCGAGGGGAGAAACTCGATGACCTTGTGGCAAAATCTGAGCATCTGGGAAATCAATCCAAAGCGTTCTATAAAACTGTAAGTCTCTTTGTTTTCATAGTAGCAAGTTCAAGACAAGATTCAGACTACCAGTTATAAATAAATAAATAAACACAGTTGAAGGCAAGCCGCAAGATTTGATGTTGTCAAAGGTATATCGGAGGATTTTCGCTAATTTAGAAAAATCACGAGACGGAACGCATTCTCCTCGTGCACGTGCTCTGTTTACAAGTCACTGTCGGCATCTCTCGCTTTTTCCACAGTGTCAGACAAAAGAGGCGTAGATAACTTTTACTGCAAGTGCTATGACATGGGTTTCTCCAAATAGAATCTTATATATCTCTCTCTCTCTGTCTCTCACTCACTCACTCGGTCTCTCTCTCTCTCTCTCTCTCTCTGGCCTCTCTCTCTCTTGTTCTCTCTCTCTTGTTCTCTCTCTCTCTCTTGGTCTCTCTCTCTCTCTCTCTCTCTGGCCTCTCTCTCTCTCTTTGTCTCTCTCTCTCTGGCCTCTCTCTCTCTTGGCCTCTCTCTCTCTCTCTTTGTGTGTCTCTCTCTCTCTCTCTCTCTCTCTGGCCTCTCTCTCTGGTAGAAATGTTGCTACTGAAGCATTAACCTGGTCTTTCAGCGCTCACCAGCCTGGGAAAGAACCCAAAAACACTCTGGTCTCTTGACGAGCACGTACGACGACCTCTAGTCACTATCACCAGAATGACTGACAATTCGGAGAACCCAGTGTTTGTGAGAGAATTTTTATTTTTATTTTAGTCCCCATGTATTGCGCTTTGGACACTCAGACGCTTCACAAGTTTTATTTATTATTATGATTGTTATTATTATTATTATGATGTATCTATGTGTTTAACCAAAGTCCATGCTCCCTCCTGACAGGCGCGGAAACAGAACTCGTGCTGCGAGATCATGTGACGCCGTGGCCCTGCTCTGCGTTTGGCCTTTCTCTGCCTTTCTGCTCCTCCCATCATGCACCGGGCTCCGGCCTCCGCGGTGCTTTCAGTTCGCGCTGGACGAACAGGTGTGTGTGTGTGAGGGGACCGATCCGAGGAAGACGATAAAACTTGGGTGTCTTATCTAAATATATATGTGCCGTGGATTCAACCAGCTGGAGACCTTTTTAAAATCTCTCTCAAACTTTCAACGTTTGTATTGGTTTGTGAGGAAAGTGTGGAGCGACGAAATGATGTGGGTGGAGGAAACATTTGACAATCTTTCTTTACTGTGGGCTGCATTAAACGGGTGAAACTCGAGAAATTAGGCCCTGTCCAGACGGAGACCAGTGTTATGGTGCTCTCAGCAAAAGTACAGTGTGTCATTGGTTCTTTAGTAAGCGCTATGTAAGTACAACTTATTATTGTTATTATTATTACTAATTACACTCTTTCTGATCTTCCTTTCACTGGCCCCTCTCTTTATCTCTCTCTCTGGCCTTCCTCTTGCCTCTCTCTCTGGTCTCTTTGTTCTGTCTCTCAGGCTTCTCTCTGTCCTCTCTCTCTCTCTGGCCTCTCTTTCTCTCTCTCTGGCCTTCGTCTCTATCTTGCTTCTCTCTTTCTCTGTCTCTCTCTGTCTCTCCAGCCTTTCTCTCTTCTCTCCCTCTCTCTCTAACCTCGCAGAGTTTATGGATTTATTATGGACACTTATTGTCAAAACAGATGAAGGTGAATGAGTGACGGAAGCTAACTGTTAAGCTGCTTAACATATTGTCATTAAATCATATCGTGTCCAGTAAAAACAGTCGTCTCTCTTGCATTACAACAATAAAAACCTGCAGCTTATATTCAAGTGCAGCCTATATGTGTACAACAGATAATGAAATCAGTTTGAATGAAGAAGTCCATGTGAAATGTTTCTCATTTGAGTCAAATCTGAAGTAAAAAGCAGCGTCTTTTCTTCACCTGCTGTGTATTGAACTTCAAGCTCTTAGCGTAGCATTAGTATTAGCCTAGTTATTTTATTTTCATTTGCAGGGGAAGGGGGGGTGTGTCTTGATTTGGAGCGTCCTGTCGCAGCCTCACAGCGCCCCCCTCAGGCGTGGCAGGCACATTACAATTCTCTCGGGTGAATTGGATTAGTCTTAATCTTTGTCTGGACGGATACATTTAAGTAATAAGGTTTCGAGACCTGGACAGGGCCTGAGAATATGGTTCCAGTATCGTTTGTTTCTTTCTGTGAATCATCTTAACAATGTGAAACTAATATTCAGATTTTTCAAGTTCCACCTGACGACCTTGGTTTGAAACGCTGAAATCCCCAATGGCTTTCCAGTTTCAGCCAATCATTCACTCACTCCTGTCTCTGTTGATCCGTTTGGTTTTTTAACTTCAAATCTACCCACACACGTCGTTCTGACATGACTTGTTGGATGTGCATATCAGTGGAACTTTTACACCATAGCGACTTGGTTTTAAACACCTTTTTTATATAATCCGCACTAATCTAATTTAAATAATCTCATACATTCCTAGTTTGAGAGTTTGCAGAATTTCTAATAAAGGTATTTGTGTGTTCAGCTGTAGCCTTACGACACGCTCTGCTCTCGTCTCTCTTAGCACTTCGAAAGATCGTCGTTTGGTCATTTTAACACGTATTGTTGAAACTATAGACTTGTATACACTTTAATTTTGTTTTTTTTCTGTGGGAGGAAATGAATAACCCTGTCCCTGATGAGATTTAAATTAAAGGTGCAATATGTAACTTTTTATGTTGGTTTTCTGCTGGAAACTAAATTGCGATATCGCTAAGACTGTATTATCAGTAATGTATTGCCCCAAACCCTAACTTTTTGTTTTGTTCTCACTACTCCACTGAGGGGTAATGTGAGCGCCTCCGGGTGTGTGTAGGCAGGACTGCGTAAAGATAACCAGACAGATTGAGCTGAATGGACAATGGGACAACTGGTGAATAGCAATGAACAAACTACAGTCAAAATCATAGTATTGAAAACGGATAAAGAAAATATGTAGTGATGGGAATCCAATCGCAGAGCACAGACCTCCACCAAGAGGCATTCAAGACTGATCTGGATCCCCATACAAACTTTTTAGACCATAATTTGGGGTCTAAAAGAGACCTTGAATCACTGTGGTAATTTGATTCTGTTGCACTGGATCAGCTCTCCTCTCCACAGACCTGTTTTGTAACTTGGCTTCGGTGAAATGTCAAAATGAGGACGATTCCAGACAAAACCACAACATTTAGGACCAATCGCAAAAGCAGAGCCACCACCAGGAAAAGTTACATATTGCATCTTTTTTACAGAAGCACATTTAATGATAACTTTATAAACTCCCAACTAAATAACATCTATTCTCAACTCTGCAAAGAAGATGGAATAAAGGCCTTGAGTTGCTTCTTCTCTGTATGAAGTGTGTGTTGTATATTTTGGCCTCACTCATGTGTTATCAGGGCCTCTTCTTCTCTGCTTTTTATAGTGTAATCATTTGTGCAATATTCATCTCTCTTTTAATGTGAGGGACTAAAAATAAAACTATTAAACTTTTTTTTCTTCTCAACGACATAATCCACATTGTTATCTCCCATTTGTTTATGCGACCTGACGCATTGTGTCTGTGTGATGCTTCATGTGAGTAATGTGTGTTTGCAGCTCGGCAACTGAAGTGTGTCTCTGTGAGAAAATAATAAAATTGGTTTAAGAAACTTTGATGTCGTCCTTTTTAAAGGGGAAGTGTGTAATATGTGCACCCCTAGTGGTCTATACAAGTCATTACTATCACTTTGCACTTTTATTGCTAGAATCTTCCTTTTGTGCTCCTAAACTTTGATTACTAATGCAATCCACCTGCTGGGGTTTAGCTAAAAACAGTAAAAACGCTAATGGGTGACTACTTATTTTTGGCGTCTGCTTTCATTTAAGAATTCTGAGACGGCCAGAACCCCCACAGAGCAGTCATTTTGGAGGCTCCCATTAAAATTAATGGTATTCTGAATTTCACTACTAGTGCAATAAGCAACCAAGTAACCCTTTTTATCTTTTAAAGCTGGTGAATATAACTTGAAATACAGAAAGGCTAATAAGGGCTAACTGCTTTCAAGTCAACAGTGTGTTGCTATGGTAACTAGCATTGGTGGAAAGCCAGGACCAGCACCTCGAGAGAAGTGTCTAACTGCTATAGAATGTTGGTTGCCAAGCAACAAAAATGGCTACAAAATAATGGAGCTGTTAAAATGACTGCTAAGGGAGTTAAAGGTATAATTGTTCACGTTTCAATTTCATACAAATGGGCGGCACGGTGGCAGAGTGGATAGCACTCTTGTCTCTCAGCAAGAAGGTCCTGGGTTCGAATCCCGGTCGGACCAGGGCCTTTCTGAGTGGAGTTTGCATGTTCTCCCCGTGTCTGCGTAGGTTTCCTCCGGGTACTCCGGTTTCCCCTACCACTAAAAATATGTACAATAGTTCTGGCATGCGCCTCCTGTTCGGCGACCCCGCTCCCATCTCTGTGTGGAGTGAGAGGACAAGTGCCCAAGAATAATAACAATTGTAAACCGCTTTGTGACTCTGGTCTATGAAAGGCGGTATATAAATAAACATTACTTACTTACTTACTTCCTACAAATGAAATAACATTCTGAAACCGAAAAGTCAGACAAATGGACTTTGTAAGTAAGGTAAACGTAAAGGTGCACTTCATCGTTCTAGTGTGATTTTTGGTGCTATCTTAATCTATTTCAGCCATTCCCAAACTCAGTAACACCGAGGCCCCCTTAAAAATCTGACGGGTCTGCGTGGCCCCCCAAAATAATAACCAAGAAGACAACATTAAGAAAAGGCTCTTCTGGTTATTTTATTTTGGGGAAATAGCCTCTGCTACAAACATTGTAATACAAAAATGATTACAGTGGCTTATTCAAGTCAAATAATGAACACAAATATTTTAATATTACAAACAAAACATTATAAATTTAACATTAAATAATTATACTATTTTTTTTTATTTTTTTTATGACCTCCCGCGGCCCCCCTGCAGTACCCTCGCGGCCCACCAGGGGGCCGCGGACCCCACTTTGGGAGACACTGATCTATTTCATGAACTTTCAACAATAAAAAAGCCCAAACCAGCTAACTTTCAGGCAAGAAACTGGCAACCCAAAGTCCGGTCGATGACGTCACACACGCAGACATGCGCACACATCCGCCATGACGGCAGGCAAGATGGCGGTGATTTGAAACTAGCTCGCAGTAGTAAGCGGAGTAAAAAGCCAAACAAACTAAAATGGTTGATTCTTGTTGTGCACCGGGATGCACAAATCGGCGAGGGGTAAAGAAGGGCAAAGCCTTTTACCGGATTCCCCACGATCCAGCCCGACGGGAGAGGTGGATCTCTGCTATCAAACCTGCCCGTAGCAACGTGAAGAAATCCGAGCGCTGGAACCCTTCAAAACATGGATGTCGTCTGTGCTCAGACCACTTCATCTCAGGTAACGTGACGAAATGCATTCAGTGAGGCTTTGTAATGCAGGCACTAATAAAAAAATAGTTATTTAAGTTACTTGTTTTATGGTGTGCTGGGTGTAGCTTGGCAGCTAGCCTTAGCTACGCATCTGTAGCTTGTTTTCCAGCCCTGGAACCCCTTGTTTATTTCCCCCTAGAGTGTTACACTGGAGTTGCTCATTACGTTAAATATGTCTACAATTATTCAGCAATACATCCTAGTGTTACTAACTTAACCAAAAGCGTGCATTTACGACCTGCTCCCATGTATTTTCACATAGCCGCTGGTGGATGAATCATTGTCTTTCACAAGAGAATAATATATAATATATATATAATAATAATATATTTTTTTAATTTGTTGACCATGGTCTCCGAAACTATATATTTCTAAATAGACAATTTATTCTCTGGCTATGATGCTATAAATTAATATTACTTTATTTACTTAATCTTAACAGAAAATGACAGTTCTGTTAATTCTGTTTTAATAATTACTCATTTGAGACTTATTTATTTTGAGATTTCACAATGCTTCTAATAAACATTTGCTTTACTCTGTGCAGAACAGTGATGAAAATGGTTCTTCTTTGGTAATTATAATTATTATTTTTATTCCCAGGTAAAAAAAGTGATAATCCGCTTTCTCCGGATTACGTTCCTTCTATCTTCAATCATGTCTCATCACCAATGAAGAGAAGAGGACAGCAGCAACTGGATATTTTTAATAGAAGGCAAGCTGCGAAAAGAAGAAGACTGGAAGAACAAACAACTAAACCAGATGACATGGCAGCTCTTGAACAAGACTCATCTCAAGCTGATGCAACTCCACTTGTCGTCACTGATGCAGGCACAGGCCACTTAGACCATAACTATTATTCATTGGAGGCAGGTGATGATGATGATGATGAGGAAAGTAGAAATGAAAACAATTCTCTGGAGTTGGAGGTGAATACTTTACGAGCGGAGAATATGTTTTTCAAGGAGAAGATTTCAAAAATAGAACTGAACGTATCATCTCTAAAAGACGATAACAAAAAGGTTGTCATGCTGACGGGAGTGCAAACCTTTTCTATTCTGATGACACTTTTCAATGCAGTTTCCCCTCATCTCAAAATGAAGTCTAGCCTCTCATTGTTTCAACAGTTCATGCTTACACTAATGAAGTTAAGAATGAATTTTAGCTTTGACTTTTTGGGGTTTTATTTTGGGATTGATTCACGTTGCGTCTCAAAATTATTCAAAAATTGTATTGATGTTATGTTTTGCAGATTGGTTCCGAGTCTCTTATTTTGGCCTGAGAGAGAAGTTTTAAGAACAACCCTCCCAAATAAGTTCCGAAACAAACAGTTGAAAAACACCGTCTGCATAATTGACTGTTTTGAAATATTAATAGAAAAACCAAGTAATCTTTTAGCCAGTGCCCAATGTTACTCTACATACAAATCGCATCACACAATGAAATATTTAATTGGAATAAGCCCACGCGGCTGTATTATTTTCATTTCTAATGGGTGGGGAGGTAGGACAAGTGACAAGTTTATCACAGAAAATAGTAAATTTTTATCTCATCTGCTTCCAGGGGACCTTGTTTTAGCGGATAGAGGGTTCAATGTAAAGGAATCTATTCAGGCTTTTCAAGCTGATTTAAAAGTTCCAGTATTTACTCGGGGAATGAAACAGTTAGACCCAGTTGATCTAGAGGACACTAGAGCTCTTGAATCCCTGAGAATACACATTGAAAGGGTAATTGGAGTGGTTCGCCAGAAATACACCATTTTACAAAGTATTGTGCCTATAACATTCATGAATAATGACAGCAACAGTGATAACCTAATGTACCTAGATAAAGTTGTGAAACTATGTTGTGCTCTGACTAATGTATCTGGATCTGTTGTACCCAGTGAGTGATCCACTCAAATCTAATAAATGACGCAAGTTGCTTTAACTTCATTTTGTGAGTGTTTAATGACCACGCTTCATGATAAGACCACTGGTGGATTCACAGAGTCGTGTCAAATCCTACGCTGGGACGCGCCCCTGAACGCGCCGTAGTTTAGAGGGAAGAAGCGTAGAGCGCGTGGGACGATCATTACTACTATTGCTTCTACTCAACTACTTCTGTGCGAAATGTGAAACAGCTGAAGACATGGACCAGAGCCTCGCCAATGTCTCCAGAGTGAGTGGAACCAATTTATTTATTATTATGTTTATTATTATTTTGAGTTCGTTAATGTTTACATAGGCACGCGCTGGTTGCTTCACGAGGACACAGTATCAACACGGTATTAACACAGTATTAACACAGTATTAACACGGCTGATTAATTTAAAACTCTTTATTTGTTTCACTCAAAGTTTCAGCCGTTTTTAATGATCTTCGGGAATCTTACACACTTTAAACTGCTTTTGTGGTGCATTCACACGGATACATTTGAGCACAAACGCAAACATGTTATGGTAGGAACTGCCTTTTTCAGAGAGAGACTCCAGAGAGAGAGACTCCAGAGAGAGAGACTCCAGAGAGAGAGACTCCAGAGAGAGAGACTCCAGAGAGAGAGAGACTCCAGAGAGAGAGACTCCAGAGAGAGAGACTCCAGAGAGAGAGACTCCAGAGAGAGAGACTCCAGAGAGAGAGACTCCAGAGAGAGAGAGACTCCAGAGAGAGAGCCCCAGTGAGACCAGAGAGGGAGAGACCCATGGATCTATAATAATAACGGAGAGACCAGGGAGAAAGACCAGAGAGAGATGGGATCAGTTTCTATTTTCGTCATTTCCAAATGGAACACATTGATTTGACTTAAAAACAACCACAAACGAAGGATCATTCATAAAAAGCCTGTTCCTGGTACTTTTAAAGTAAACTTGTGACAGTCTCTCTGATGCGACACATTGAAACACATTGAAACATTTGCATGAACAAAACAAGCTGAACTTGTAGAAAGATGTCAAAGCTCTAGCTGTTTTTAATCTATTTTGGAGAAGCCACTTTTAGCCGTTATTGTACCGTAAGACATATTGAGGTCTAAATCGGAATTATTATGATTTACCCTTTTAAATGTCTTGTGATTATTTATGATTTAAATGCCTTGTGTGTGTGTTTTGTTCATAACTTTGAGTTGCCTTGTGTATGAACTGTGCTATACAATTAAACTTGCCTTGTCTATTATAGGAATCATTGCAGAATAGCTTTGTTGTTATCTATTCCTTTATGCTTCTTTTGATTACTGTGTCACATGACTGCATTTCTCAACATGCCCTAACAGTCACTGGGAAACTGCTGCTTTGACACATTTCAGTTTCATAGTTGAATCTTGTGTCACTCAAACAAACTGTAATAAGTTGAATAAAAAGTCCAAGTCTGGAAATGTACTTTTTACTTTATTATTTATGATTGATCCCTCGTTTGTGTTTGTGTGAAGCCAAAAAACATGTTCTGTTTTGAAACGATGACAATAGAGAGTGATCAGAAGTCTCCATCCCACAGAGGCAGTGTCTGATGGTCTAAGATCCATGAAAGCTTGAAGTTTATGGTAGTTGTGGATGAGGCTCTGTATCCTCTCTCTGGTCTCTCTCTCTGGTCTCTCTCTGGTCTCTCTTTGGTCTCTCTCTCTGGTCTTGGTCTCCCTGGTCTCTCTCTCTGGTTTCTCTCTCTGGTCTCTCTCTCTGGTCTCTCTTTGGTCTGTTTCTCTGTAAAGTGCCAAACTGTCATTGTGTCCTTAGGCAAGACACTTCACCCACATTGCCTAGAATGAGTCAAGTGTGTGTTTGTGTGCAGTTAGTGTGTGTGTGGAGTGTGTTGTAACACGTTTGTTTTGCTCAGGTGGAGGACAACCCACTTCTGACATGGCAACCGGCCGACACACTGCAGCTCAGGAAAGGTCTGTTCGTTTTATGCCTTTGGTTTTTATACAAGATTAGATCAGATTTATTTAAAACGTGTAACTGTTATTTCATTACAAGCAACAAGAGCTGTAGACCCAGGGCTGAGGCTGTAGACCCAGGGCTGAGGCTGTAGACCCAGGGCTGAGGCTGTAGACCCAGGACTGAGGCTGTAGACCCAGGGCTGAGGCTGTAGACCCAGGACTGAGGCTGTAGATCCAGGACTGAGGCTGTAGATCCAGGACTGAGGCTGTAGATCCAGGAGTGAGGCTGTAGATCCAGGACTGAGGCTGTAGCTCCAGGACTGAGGCTGTAGACCCAGGGCTGAGGCTGTAGACCCAGGGCTGAGGCTGTAGACCCAGTACTGAGGCTGTAGATCCAGGACTGAGGCTGTAGACCCAGGACTGAGGCTGTAGACCCAGGACTGAGGCTGTAGATCCAGGACTGAGGCTGTAGATCCAGGACTGAGGCTGTAGACCCAGGACTGAGGCTGTAGATCCAGGACTGAGGCTGTAGATCCAGGACTGAGGCTGTAGATCCAGGACTGAGGCTGTAGATCCAGGACTGAGGCTGTAGATCCAGGACTGAGGCTGTAGATCCAGGACTGAGGCTGTAGACCCAGGACTGAGGCTGTAGACCCAGGGCTGAGGCTGTAGACCCAGGACTGAGGCTGTAGACCCAGGACTGAGGCTGTAGACCCAGGACTGAGGCTGTAGACCCAGGACTGAGGCTGTAGACCCAGGACTGAGGCTGTAGATCCAGGACTGAGGCTGTAGATCCAGGACTGAGGCTGTAGATCCAGGACTGAGGCTGTAGATCCAGGACTGAGGCTGTAGATCCAGGACTGAGGCTATAGATCCAGGACTGAGGCTGTAGATCCAGGACTGAGGCTGTAGATCCAGGACTGAGACTGTAGATCCAGGACTGAGGCTGTAGATCCAGGACTGAGGCTGTAGATCCAGGACTGAGGCTGTAGATCCAGGACTGAGGCTGTAGATCCAGGACTGAGGCTGTAGACCCAGGACTGAGGCTGTAGATCCAGGAGTGCGTCAGAAACTACTGTTTAACTTCTTCTTCATTTGTGGAAAACTTTCTTTCACATTTCCAAACATTAACTAAAGTCACTCTAAACTCTGCTGAGAACACGACACTGTGTAGATGATTGTTTTAGCCACGTTTGCCATGAATAAAACGTGTTTTCCTTAAATAATACAAATCAGACCAGAACCTGCTTCATCTGAAAGAAAACCGTGTGAGTCATTATTTGACGTTTTGGGCTTTGAATGATTTTGTCACTGTTCAGATGGAGCCCTCACTCCCCTCACGGACCCCTCCGAGTCTGAGAGGAGTGGCATCGTCCCAGGTACAAGACTCTCTCTGGCCTTTTTCTAGTCTCTCTCTGGTCTTTCTCTGGTCTATCTCTCTCTGGTCTTTTTCTGGTCTCTTGCTGGTCCCTTTCTCTGTGGAATCTTCTGATGGTAAAGCTGACCGTTTTTCTTGGCACTAACCCTGCAATTCCTGTACATTTCTGGGTCGCCGTGCATTGATGTTGTAATTTAAATAAAAAATTGAAATCAAGTTTATTTGGCTTCTCCTACCACAATGTTTCTCTGGTCTCTCTCTGGTCTCTCTCTGTGGTCTCTCTCTGTGGTCTCTCTCTCTGGTCTCTCTGTGGTCTCTCTCTCTGGTCTCTCTCTCTGGTCTCTCTCTCTGGTCTCTCTCTGTGGTCTCTCTCTCTGGTCTCTCTCTCTGGTCTCTCTCTCTGGTCTCTCTCTCTGGTCTCTCTCTCTGGTCTCTCTCTGGTCTCTCTCTGGTTCAGTAAAATAAAGCTTCATCCAAAGTAAACAAGTGGAAAGTGTTCAGCAGTGAACTGCACACGCCACAAATGAACATTTATATCGACTTGTTCTTGTGCTGAGAAGATGTCTGCTTTCAGACTCAGAAGAGTTTAATGTTCAACCTCAGGGGACGGTGCCCTTAAAAGAGCGTAGACTCTGTGTGTGTTGTTATCATAGATCCATGGTGTGTTTGTGCTGGAGCCGTGGTCGATCACATGACCACAGTTTGAGCCATATATGACCCGAGTGACCCCATAGACTGTAAATATTAACGGGGTGGCATTGCAAGCAACTCAGTGCACGTGATTTTGGACAATTTTGAGCCGTGATCATGGATCTATTATAATGTCGGCCGGGGCCCGCCCCCACGGGCGTACCCCCTTGTAAGATGTTGTAATCCCAAACCCAACCACTTGAAGGCGCTCTAACAGGAATGTCCAAACAGTCCCATAGGGCTGTAAAGCGGAAGTGCGAGATTTTGCGAGATTTCCACCCGTGGATACAAACAAACCACACGTGCCAGTTGTATGGTGCGGAGATCGCCGACTTCTTCCTCGTTAATGGACTTTCCTGTGTTATTTTGGACACATTTCGTCTCTGGGACAGAAAAACTGAGTGAATGGTCAGAATTAGCTGTGAACTGACCATGTCCTGACGTTTCCATATGACGGGGAGATGAGAAAGGCACAGGGCCGTGTTCAAACATACAGTCTATGGTTCAAACTCATTGTATTTTAATCCACTATCACGCATCAGAAAGAAAATATAGAAACACTATTCCTATGCAAATAAATTGATGTTGTCCCATACAGCTATCTTTGGTTATAAGCCAATGTATATGAATGATCAGTTTTCTATCTGTTCATCAGCTCCATCTCCACTTCACACTCACTGCAGCTTCACATTGGGCCTTTTTCCTTTTTGCTGTGCTGTCAAAAATAACATGATGTAGTTGGGTTACCTATTCTTTTAATACGTATGATTGTCCGTTTTCTGTTATATTTGAACATTTGTTAAATGTTATTTAATACGTGTTAATATGTTCCTCCTTTATCTCTAAAATAAATAAATGTTTGAGAGACAATATTTATCCTGTGTGACATCAATAAAGTTTCTTATCTTAAAATACAAGCCACAATGAAAGGCTTGGCTGCGCACTATTACAGGTTAGCATTAGCTACAAGTTAGCTTGAATACATGTTCAAGTTAACTGTCTCTGAAATCAGACAAAATATTTTATCAGAACTGCATAGCTTTTCCCACAGCTTCAGTTGGTCTTTGGGAAACCTAAAGAATGAGCATGTGTCGCGTAAACTGTGATGATTACAGCCGAAAACAAAGCAGAGCATTTTGCACCATTCACTTAAACGCCTCTTCGAACAGCTGACGGTTTGTTTGTATCCGAGCAATGAACCGGAAGTGCTTCTGGGACGAGACTTTCCAGCCCCATTATAAAGTTCTGCTCACTACTTCCTCTGTGGTCTGTGCAAAAACCTCGCGCTCGTTAATAAGCCGTTAATATACATGTCTGATTTATGCACCGAGGCCGATGTTATTATAGATCAATGATCGAGACAGAGACGAGCAAATGCATTCTGCGTATCTTAAAGGCGCTATACCCGTTTCTACAATGTTTGAATGTTTAGCACCGCCCCCAACTCGCTCACAGGCTTCTCATTTCCCCTACGCTCTCATAACACGGAGCCACCTAGTTTTATTTGCAATCTGATATGTATGCTAACATTAGCATTAGCACAACTTGTAAGCTGTGCAACAATCACTGATGAAATGGTACTAAAGCAATGCACTGCTAACACAATATATAAGTAAAAGAATACCATTAGTTTCGCGTCCGGATGTATTAATTTAAACATTAGAATATATTCTAATGTTTAATTATAATTTATTATACAGCTCCTCACAGCAGCAGTAGAACACTCCAATGACTTGAATGCAATTCTTCCGATCATTTTTTCTTGATAACAGAACTCTCAAACCAATAATGACCGAAGCCCCAATGCAATCTCTGTTTGTAATTCAGGTGTGTAAAATACTGCCATTACTTTACTTTCAGCGCCTGTCACTACATTGTCCAGTTTCTCTGCACACTTGTCTGTGTAGAGATGCTAGCCACACTCAATAAACAACTACATATCTATCAATCAACACCATTAAACGTTAATCGGACAATACAGTATACATATACATCCTTAACACACATGCACGGACGATTTCAGAATTTGCTGTCAACGTTTTCATGACAAAAATACTGTTTTAAAGTGACAAAAAGCGATCGCGAAAAACCCGGAAGTTACCATGGAACAGCTAGCTAGCTTAGCTGTTACCTGCCTAGCACGTCCAGGTGAAACCTTTGGGAGCTAACTATTTTATTTGCAGTCATTAAATACATTTCTAATTATAAGGGTTGTCTAATATTTGTTCAAATATGTATATATTTTTTATTTTAGAATTATATTCAAATTATGAAGTTGAAGCCCTGGTGTTAAGCAGCGCTGTAGAGACTAGAGGACGCAGGCTGGTCGCTGCTCGTTCTGTGAGTGGAGGAGAACGTCCCGCTCAGACTCTACTCAGCACTTTTCACTGCATAAATTTCATACATAGTGGAATCAATGACCTCAAGTTTTCAATTAAATTATGTATTATGATACAACTTGTATGTAGTAAAAAGCATTTTTATGAACTACTTAGAAAAAAAATCGGGTATAGCTTCTTTAAGTTGGAGGTAGAAGCGCAGTCTATGGTAGAAGCAGCAACTCGCGAAAATCTTGCCATTTCGTCCCGGGCGAGTGAGAGAATCCACCTGGCTCTGGACGAAATACCAAGATTATAGAGAAACGTGTTGATGTTGGAAACTCAGTTCAATAACATGTTTCTGTTTTATATATTTATCGATAGGCAAACACAAATATACATTTACTTGCTCAAATATCAAAATGGACCATATTTGCATATACCCTTTTTTTTCTCCACGCATTTTTATAGAAAACACAATTAAAGAAAACACAACCTCAGATGTCACAAAGTGCAGTAGATGAGACAAAAATATCTCGGCCTATACAGCTGATAGATACAACAAAATAATAGATTATAATAGTACAATAGTCAGCAGTAGTACAACCCATTGCACAAAGGTATAAACACAGCAACAAAAATGCCATGATAAACGAATTAAATAAAAGTAGAGCAAAACAAACAAACAAAAATAATTATGATAATAAAACAAAAAAGGGGGTGGAGATTAAATCCTGATATATTCAAAATAAATCAATAAACGATTGCCACTTTTTATAAAAATCTGTTCAGGCTGCCATGTCTAGAATATCGATTAGTGGATTTCCAATTAAGGAGGAGATGGCGCCTGGCCATCAGAGACGTAAACGCCAAAACCTCCAGCTGTCGGGCAGGAGAAGAACAATAATGTGTTTAACTTGTGTGCAGCTCTGGTGGCGGCAGGTCTGTTCATCACCCTCCTCCTGGCTCTCTACACGGTTCTGTGGAAGTGCATGGACTCCAGGATCCCAGAGAAGTAAATATGAACGCTCTACTCACACTTGATTAGTCTCAGTGAGGAAATTACAGAAAGTCACTGGTCAGCATTTTTTATCACCTCATATATTTACATTTAAACTCCTAGAAATCATACTTTTTCTATATAAAAAAAAAAAAAATCATCCGTTTTTACAGTCTTAGAACGTACAACTGCTACTTTTAGTATAGAATTCTTATTGGTTTACTTCTTTCTCCGTGTATAGATCGGTTTTCTCCAATGTACATATATTTTGCACACACAGGCCAGGCTTAAAAGGGTTTTAATGGAACCTTTTTGACTGAATATTTCTGGGACTTTTTATAAAGACATACATAATTTATCCAGATTACATTAGAAAACCGTAAACTTTCCTTCGAACCTTTTGAGACTAGACCTGTGATGAAGGGTTGAATACTAACCTTGGGATGTTTCCGTTAATGATAATTTTAGCTTCTGCACATATTTCTAACTGACTACATTCACAGCAATGGAAAAACACTTGTTATGAAAGTCTCATTTGTGTTTCAGAAAGAAGAGCAGGTCCAGATGTAGAGCTGCTCAGACCGACACAGTATGAACCTGGATCATTTCTGCGACGGCTCAAACATATCGATCTGGGGTCATGGTTCTCCACTTTTACTGTTTTTTTTTTCTGGTGGAGACGACAACAAATCCCAGATTTCCTTTTTACCCAATATTTTTTCTGTTTGGATGTTGTTCTTTTGGCTCCTCTGTTGTGAACAATTCTTCCAGGAGCACCTGAACCAATCTATTGAAACATAAAAATAGTACATTTTCTTTGTTGTCGCTAGCGTTCGCACACGCTCTTTCTCCCTCTGACGTGAAATCATGTGTATATAACATTGACCACTGTATATATTTCTTATTGTGTGATTTTTACATTAAATGATTGACAAGTTACTCTGGGACTGAAAAGTATTTATGCATTGGTTTTATATAACGCTTTTGAACTGGTACCAGGTCCCTCTTGGCCCTGGTTCTAACTGGAAGCCATGGTTACCAAAGAATTTCCCCGGATATTGTTTTTTGTGGGGATAGGTTGCTTGGATACTAAAAAGCATTTGGAGTAAGAGAAAGACTTTATCTACATTGTCACTGATTTTTGCCCAAATTCTCCCGATACTAGACACTTCCCTTAACACAAACCAGCCGTCCCGTCCCTTTGCAGAAAAGCAGCCCCAGATAATCATGTTTCCACCCCCATTCTTCAGTCCTCACATGTTTTCTCATCTGATAAAGGCGGCATATTCAACATATTTTTGTATAGCCCTAAGTCAACAGCAGTTATCTCAGAGGACTTTAAAAAGCTTTTGATTCACCGGCACAGATCAGAGAATCAAACATTGGTCCATAAGGGGCAGATGACCAATGTCCTTGAATGTGGAGTGTTTTGGTTCATCACCACAGTCCTTAGACCAGGAGTCTCAGACCTTTCTCAATTGAAGAGCTACTTTTACACCACAGAAAAAGTGGAGAGCTACTCCCTTTTGCATTCTAAATAATAACTACCACAAAACATGGAGAACCCAGATGTAATTTATACCATAATACTGTATAACCCTAAATTTGTACTTAAAATAGATATGTAATGATCAAAAATATAATCATTCAGAATGATGGGTTAATCTCTAAATCCTTTGGGGAGCTACCTGAAAGAGGCTGGCGAAGCTACTGGTAGCACCTGAGCTACAGGTTAGACCCTCCTGCATTGGATTTATTTTGTCACATTTTACTTTGACAAGACTTTCTATTGAGAGAAAAATGTTTAGTAATCAGAAAGTTACATTAGAGGCCCCAGCTTTAAGACATTTCTCACCATTAACCCACAAAATCCCAAAGATCATGTTCCAGGGTCAACATTAACACAAACCAACCAACATTCTGTCTCTTAAAAACATGTGTATTTTGTTCGCTGTGTTGTGTAGATTAAGTGTGAGGTCATACATGGGGAATGTGATCTGATTGAGAAAAACCCAGAGAGATTTTCCCTTAAACGCTCTCAAGGATCCAGGAACCAGGTCCAAACCAGAAAACCCGGTTCTCCCAACTGTAACAGATCATGTCTACATGTTCCTGTTTCTTGTGTTTCCTGTAGACTTAAAGGGGAAGTCTAAACATGTTCTGATGATCTGAGATGTCATTGGATTTGTTAGAGTCCTCTTACACACGGTTAAATACTGAATTATGTATTTTTCGTCTATTTACTTCCTGTTGTTGCCCTTGAAGGCTGTAGTCACGAAATCAAATCAAATCAAATCTGTAAAATGTGTTATTTTAATTCATAATTGCTGTCTTCCCCACATCACCACTCGGGCAGAATCGAGAGAAAACTATAATCAATCAAAAAACTATAGTGAGAAAGTTCTGGATTGTTTCAAGGAGAAAATTCAGATCCATAACACGGTTTGTACTTACTATGTACATGTATGTAGAAGTAATTTTAAGAAAGGTATTTGTACGCATGCCCGGGAATTGGTGACTTCCTGTTACTGACAATGGTAATAAAACCAATTCTGAGTCAGGGCGACAGTAGCTCAGTTGGTAGAGCATTGGCCTTTGGGCCTGGAAGTCGTGAGTTTGATTCCCACCATGGGACCTACTCCAACTGCTCCTACTGATGACTGCTGTCGTTGTGTCCTTGGGCAAGCCACTTAACCCCACATTGCCTGAAGCCCCCCGCTGAAAGATCAAGGCTGTTTCACAATTGACGGAGCAGCCATCTTCCTGTGGACTCACCCCCTGCAGAAGATCAGCGAGGGACTGGTGCTATGAGCGTTGGGTGGCAGCCCTCATTGCCACCCCCCCCCCCCCCCCCCGAAAATGAAATGATTCTGAGTCAGAGTGAAATATGTCTGTATGACGTCAGTTTCACATTCTGAAATGGTCTGAAAATGTATTAATATGTTTTTTACTCTTTCCACAATATCTTGGTCTTAGTATAGAAGTGACCGTAATGTAATGCATAACAACTTCTTCCACGTAAGTAAATAAGTACATCATTGAGGATTTGGTGCCGTTTAAACCTCATAAAATGTAAAGCAGAACTGTTTACTTTTAATGCGTGGAAGATTTGGAACCGTGTTAAAACCCAATGGTAACTAGTCCCTGTACTACGCTGACCTCGGCTCAGTCAAAGCATCAAAGTGTTAAAATTCTGATATTAACAGCAGCTTATTGTTGTTATATTAGATCCAGGACAGACAGACACTAAAGAGTTCAGTCTGCTGTAAATCTTGCTGAATGACAAAGTCGAGCAGCTGGTTTGTCCACATTTATACAATCTACAACAAAAACCTGTAGAGCAGTAGTAGTAGTGGTAGTAGTAACACATACAGTAAGAAGTACTGTAGGGGCGGTGTGTAATTGATTAGAAAAACACCTTTGTTGCCGGAATCTTCCTCCTGTGACACATGAAAGCGTTGATCTGCTTTCGTTTTAACACGTGTGGTGCTATGGTTTCGTTTGTGATTTTTTTTTGTAGACATTTGTGAAATAGATCCATGACCAGCAAAACTTCACCTAACAAACTGGGAACCCACATGGAGAATTTTTTCTAGTGTTGGTAATGACGTTTAATGAGTAAGGATTCATTGTAGTATATCAGGTTTGATATAGTTAGTTTGTACATTGTCCCTTCAAATAAAGAATAGAGACATTAAGCTCAAAGACAGATATGTTCTGCACCAGATTGTAGATAAACAGCTATTTAGACAGAAGGGGTAGGGGGACGTGTTTGTGTCAAGACTTGGCTCCGGACTGGACTTATGACCTGAACCTCCTTCACCACCTGGGAGCCTCAGTCCTGGGTCTACAGCCTCAGTCCTGGATTTACAGCCTCATTCCTGGATCTACCGCCTCAGTCCTGGATCTACAGCCTCAGTCCTGGATCTACCGCCTCAGTCGTTGGCGAAACAACAACTTGGTTAAGTCCTCAGAATCGTCTGCTGTTGTGATTTAGAGCTACACACAAATACATAGAATGGCTTCATCAAATACACTTTAAAGACTAAAAAGTGTGTTGTTGAGGACACTTTAAAGACTAAAAAGTGTGTTGTTGAGGCCACTTTATCTTAAGATTTATTTATTAAACACACACTCAGAGATACAAAAAGCGCGATCGCAGAATAATTTGACAGTGCATGGAAAAGAAATAAATTATTATAAATCAACTTTGTCCAGAATTTTACAACCATCACTTTCAGAAATGCTTTGGCACTTTAAAGACACAATTACACACACTGGGATCTGTACAAGGACAAGTATTTATATATAGTTGTGTGTTTTGTCTGTACAACTGTCATGGCTTTTACATTTCAAACATAAGTGCTACTTGTACAAAAAGTTTAGGCCACAGCTTCTTGGAAAACAGAAAACATTTTTATCAGTTTTGTCCTCTGCTTCTTCTGACCGTTCGTAAGGCAAAATGGAGATGTAAATGACCCTTGAAAAACGCCTCTAATGTATAAAATGTGTTGCTGAAGTACAGATAAGTTCTCCAAATATCCAGCTTGATTTCAGCCAAAACAGATGAGCTTATGAAGTTGACTAGCGCCCCGTTTCCACCACACTTACCTTACCATTCCCTATTCTACTCTACTCTACCCCGATTGGGAGCCTATTGAACCGCAACCTAGTTTTTATTAGTCCCTTCAGTGATTGGCCGGAGAAGACATGATTGCCAAGGAATTTCCCACGGATACGGTTTTGTTGTCGGTAGTTTGCTAGGCTAGGGTAGCAGTTACTAAAGCGTTAAGGAAATGCAGGGCAAGGCAAGGCAAGGTAAGGTAAGGTGAGGTAAGGTGAGGTCGAGTAGAGTGGATTAGAGTAGATTACAGCTGAGTAGAGTAGAGCTGGTGGAAATGTGACCCCCGCTGTCAGATCAAAGATGGTATTTTCCAGTCTGACTTTGCAGAGGAGAGACACCCACTGGTTTTGGTTTATTCTAACATTAAACTCAGTGGGGAAAAATTCTGCTCGATTTAGAACGGAAAGATTAATTTCCCCGTTATGTTTTGTAACAAAACCAACCTAAACTTAAGGTCACAATGTGTCGGAATCCTGCTTCATTCTGAGCAAAATACTGAGTGAGTGAAATGAAAGTGAGCAGAGGCACTTGGCTGCTGAAGGCCAATGGCACTTTTTAGCCTCTTGCATTTTTCCCTCTGTACTAGAGGTGCTGCTTCTGGACTAATCCTTGTTTTTTTTACATTGATTTGAATGCGAGCCGCCAAAATGACTGCTCTGGAAGTTCTAGTAATCTCAGTTTCCTGGCAGTGTAGGTGTTAGAACCATCCTGGGCCGTTGTAATATCATCTCCATTGTCCAGTAGAAAGGTTGACAGTGAACCTCCTCAGATCTTTCCCCTGCTCTGTATCGCCCTCTCGTGGAGCTGATGCTTCACAGATACACAACGTTCTCCTCCCCGCCCTCGTCCCCGTTGGATCCGTCCAGGGAGAGGTAAGCCTGAGGGGGGAGGAGGGGTGTGAGGGAGGGGGAGGAAGAGTAGTCCTCCTCATACAGGCCGTCTGACGTGGCCTCGGACCCCCAGGACTCCAGAGACTGTCTCCCGCGCGGAGGACTGAAGCCTGCGGACAAGGACACACTCGATGTGGGTGTGGTCAGGTACAAGTGGGTGTGGTTAAGTACATGTGGGCGTGGCCATGTACAAGTGGGCACATTGTATATACATTTTGCATATTTTATGTTTGAACTTGAGTGAGCTAAGAGTCTAGTCATATGTTAGCTTGTCATTTGCCTGTAAAAGCTAATGCCACATTTTTATTCAGTTTCCTGGTTGGTCTAAAGTGGACAGTGGTTGTACAATAAATCTGCAAAAAGAAAGTCTAGCCTTGCAAATGTAACGCTATGCGGCCAAGATACTGAGGCTTTATCAGGCTTTTCTTTAGCAAGAAAGAAAGTGTGTTCTGGGAAGGCGACAGAACAGTAATCGTAAATGGGTTCACTAGAAACACGGCCGTAACAGTGATCGGCTCGGTTCACATGTAGTTTCAGGCTTGTGTCAAACGCCACAGCAGGAGCTATATGACACTAGTTTATTGTTAAAATAAGAAGTCGCCAATTGGGAATTTGCTTTGGCTCTTGGTGACCGATGGATGGATTGATTGTGTTTAACAGTTTAACCGTTAGCTTCTGAGTATTAGCACGGAAGCTAACGGTTAAGCCATGGGTTAAAGTTGAAAAAATTCCTGAGCCTGAACCATCTATATGAATCATAGAATGATCACTAATAAGCGTTTTTTATAAGCGCCTTTATACGCTCATACATATAATTTATATCTATTTATTGCCAACAACTGATGTTTATTATAAACATCAGTTGTTGGCAATAAATACATCATCTGACTATTGAATTGTTACTTAAATGTAAAGCCTCACCTTGCCAAGACCTTTCTGCAAGTACCCCTAGTTTGGATTTGTGTGATAATGTAAAAAAAAAAAAAAAACATACCACATCACAGTAAGTGAATATACTATTTTCTTTTTTTTTAATTATTTTGATGTTATTACTAACATTTTATGTGTAAACTGTAAACTGATTAAACATCCAAACTAGACATCAGATATGACATACAAAAACTAAAAACACTGGATCAGGCAACAAGAACACTTCCAGATTCAACCTTAAATATATAAATAAACCTTAACTTTTAAATTCTACTTATTAAACATTTAGCTTTCAACACAAATAAATGAAACTAAAGTGCAAATGAGCTTTGTGCTGTGTGTCTTCATAAAGCACCTGTGTTAACTTTCAATAGACTTTGATTTGGTAAAACATTACAAAACAACACAAATGCTAACAGTACTGTTTGAAATATTCATTTCTTTTTCTTTTGTTTAGGGTGTGAATTATCTGTATGCTTTCTTTTTAACATGTTGGGCGGAGGGTTTAATGAGGAGGCTACTTTGTCTGAACAATTAAATAGAGGGAAAAAACCGCATGGTCCAGAGGAGGAAGCAGCTGGTGCAGAGGAGAGTTGTCTGGCTGGTCCAGAGGAGTGGGCAGCTGGTGCAGAGGAGAGTTGTCTGGCTGGTCCAGAGGAGGAGGCAGCTGGTGCAGAGGAGAGTTGTCTGGCTGGTCCAGAGGAGGAGGCAGCTGGTGCAGAGGAGAGTTGTCTGGCTGGTGCGGTGGGGCTGCAGCCTTTTTATCATCTCCTCTGGACCAGCCAGACAACTCTCCTCTGCACCAGCTGCCTCCTCCTCTGGACCAGCCAGACAACTCTCCTCTGCACCAGCTGCCTCCTCCTCTGGACCAGCCAGACAACTCTCCTCTGCACCAGCTGCTTCCTCCTCTGGACCATGCGGTTTTTTCCCTCTATTTAATTGTTCAGACAAAGTAGCCTCCTCATTAAACCCTCCGCCCAACATGTTAAAAAGGACATTCAAAATTCTGTCCACATTTGTTTGTGGACACTCAATGTTTAAGAAAAAGGTTTCCCTATCAACTTGGTGCTAGTGCACAGCGCAGTTTTATCAACTGCAAATGATTAATGATAATTAAATCTACCAGCGGTAGTGATGGTTCTGAACGACAGGTTATTTTCTGCGATAAAGCCACAGATAGTTTTAGGTCACAGACACAGTCCACCAGAGCAAGCCTAGTCTCAGTTGTCGCTGAATCTGATGCACCAGGTAAAGAAGTGTGGGAAAGTGCACGGACAGCTGCCAAGTGCGCAGTTTTGAGCTGGTGGTGAATCCAAAGCTGTTTGATTTGTTTTCTCATTACTCCCATATAAAAAAATAATAATAGCGAAGTACGAACAAGCACCGGACACCTTCATCTTTTTGCACCATGAAGCAACAGAATCCCATCGTCTCCACCTCATCCAGCCATGCCCACCTCCATTTATTTTTCACTCCGTTATCAACAGCAACTTATACTGCTCCTTCTTCCATAAACAACGATCCATGATTGTGATTGTGCGTGCATGCTAGGCTAGCTTTGATGAATGAATATAAGACCTGCTAACACACACCTTTCTTCAGCGAGTTTCTTCCGTTCGCTCTCGTTGATTTGCTTTTTTATCACGCAGTTTTGCATGGGGATCGCCACCAAGATATTATCAAAAGCTCACCAAGACATGCTTGTCCCCATTCCCAGTCACAGCAAAGTACATATTGTACATTCCGTTAAATAAAAAAGCATTGCGTTTGGTAAACGTTAATTATGTCCTACCTTTCCTCTGATAACGCGCCCAGTTTACCGGTCCGCGGGCTGCTGGCTGTTATTGCTCCGTTCGGGATTACATTTTCCTTGTCCTCTTCTCCTTTTCAAAAGCTCCGTGCACTTTTCAGAAACTTTCACCTCCGTGTTACCATCGCTAACTTGGCTACGTCCCATTGCCTTGAATCATTTACGGAGCGCTCATGTAGCTAGCCACGGCACGTTCAAGGCCCACTCGTGATTATATTACTTTTTATTTCTATATACATATAAATACAATTATATTCAAATTATTAATATATATCTAGATATATACAACAGATTCACACGTATTACTATATATTTTGTTATAATTAACCATTTCATTGTGTGTATTATATTATTATTATATATTTTGTTTTTTTTTCAGACCAATTTCATTTGACGGAAATCCGTCACTTAGACGGAACTCTTTAATCCCTGCGCTATACACATGCAATCCTTTCATACAATTGGTAGAACACACTTGAACCTTTTTCAAATGACAGCAATCATTATTTATTTATATATATATTTAAAAAAAAAAAAAAGTGTTTTTTTTTTTTTTTTTTTCTCACGCCGGATTTCCGGCACGGTGCCGGAAAACTTTAAGCCCTGTTAAGCTGTTAAACACCATCAATCCATCCATCCAAAAAGCTCACTTCTTTTTAAAAATATTCCTGGTACAGCTTATATACAGATGCGTCTAACAGTCTAACAGAACAGAAAGACCACGGCTCTATCCCTGAAGCCTCAGAGTTGGTTCATACCTGTGGGTTTGTTAGCGGAGCCGTAGCTGCAGTCGGAGAAGGGGATCTGGCGGCTGTGGGCCTGGCTGAGGAGGGTGTTGAGGCTGTTGTAGAGGCTGGCGCTGAGGCCCATGTTGGCGCTGAAGCCGGAGGAGCTCAGTGGGACGGCCTGGATCCTCTTGGGGGCCGTCAGCAGACTCTGGTGCTGATTGTTGGCAGAAGTGAAGACGTGGTTCTGCTGCAGAGTCGTGAGAAGAACGCTTTCATTCTCGAACATTGTGCCGTCTAAGCTGCTGGGGTGACTGTGGCTGGGAACCTGAAATTAAATCAGTTCAGTTCTATTTAAGTTTTTCTGAAACTAACCTGTACACGGCAAACAATGATATAATAATTGCTTGAATCTGGACCAGAAAGAGACAAATTATTTTAATTATTGCTTTATGCTCCTGCTTGGAATAAATTAATTCCCTCTCTCTCACTCTGGTCTCTCTCTTTGGTACTCACTCTGCTCTCTCTGGTCTCTCTCTCTGGTCTCTCTCTATGGTCTCTCTCTATGGTCTCTCTCTATGGTCTCTCTCTATGGTCTCTCTCTTTGTTGTCTCACACTCTGGTCTCTCTCACACTCTGGTCTCTCTCACACTCTGGTCTCTCTCACACTCTGGTCTCTCTCACACTCTGGTCTCTCTCACACTCTGGTCTCTCTCACACTCTGGTCTCGCTCACACTCTGGTCTCTCTCACACTCTGGTCTTCTTGTAGACCTGGGCCTTGGTGTGACCATTCTGTGGATGGAATCATTATGGCGCTGCTTTGTCGCCCTCTTGTGGTTTGGCGAAAGATTGCTCTGCTCAATTAACTTAACTGCTTTGTTAAAATGCCTTTGAATAAAAAATAATCATAACAATAAAGAATGTGTTATTTAAATGAATAGATCGTAATTTAAAATTAAATGTGCCTTTTTATCAAATGGGACAAGAGGTCAACATATAAAGATCATATCCGGCTCTTTTTGATCCAAATTATACAATTTTTATTGATATTTCTTTAAACACATTTACAGTATTCTGGGCGGAGGGTCAGTGTTGGTACCTGGTAGTGCTGTGGAGCGATGGTGATGGGGAAGCTGCTCTGCCGGTGCTGCCTCCAGCTTTGCAGCAGTCGTTGCTGGGCCTCCATCTGCTCCCTCTCCCTCTCCACGCTCCTCTGACCCTCTTTGAGTCGGTCCATGTTCTGTTGAAAGTCCAACAGCTGCAGCTCAAACTGCTCTCGCTCGCAGCGCAGCCTCTCTGCCTCCAGGTGGCACTGTTGCTCTCGCTCCTTCAGCTCATTCTCCTGGTCGCTCTGAAACAAGAGCGAAAAGTGATTCTGTGTTCATAAATATAGGGCACATGATGCAAATGTCTCTCTCTGTAAACCAGGTCACGACATTGTTCCCTCATCAATAACAGATTTTTATTTAATTTAAGAATGCTCGAACCACCTCAACTGGTTCCCCTTAAGGTGGAGAAGCAGCAGCTCTATTCCAAGCTCCTCCCATGTGACTGAGCTCCCTCACCCTGTCTCTAAGGGAGCGCCCAGTCACTCATGTGGACCACTTGTAGTGAAATTATTAGTCTATAGTCCTGGATCCACAGCCTCAGTCCTGGGTCTACAGCCTCAGTCCTGGGTCTACAGCCTCAGTGCTGGATCTACAGCCTCAGACCTGGATCTACAGCCTCAGTCCTGGATCTACAGCCTCAGTCCTGGATCTACAGCCTCAGTCCTGGATCTACAGCCTCAGTCCTGGATCTACAGCCTCAGTCTTTCTTTTTTCGTACTGGGTTTTCAAAGTCGCCCCCTGCTGATTCAGGAGGGTCTAAGGACACAGATGAGCCAGGACATTTATTAACATCTATGGACAGTGGTCATCCTGCTCCCAATGGACCAACGGCTACTATACATTTGTTATCATTGCATTTCCTGTGTTCGAACTGTTGGATTCTCTTTCTCAGAGGCCACTGCTGTTGTGATTTAGGGCCATACACAAACTAAACCCTGTCCTCTGACCTGCTGTTTCTCTCTGGCCGCACACTCTTTGTCCCAGCGCTGTTGCTCCTGCTTCAGCCTCAAGTGCAGCTTCTGGACCTCGGCCGCCTCCTTCTTCTTCTCCACGTCCTCCTTTCTCTTGTCGGAGGTTTTCTGCTTCTCCTGCTCCTATTTTACGACATCACACAATCTCTTTATTGAACTGTTTTGGTGTGTGTTGTGTTTGTGGTTGCAGTCTCACCGTGCTCAGAGGAGGAGGAGGCAGAGGTCGCAGAGGCAGCTCTCCCCCCTGAAGAAGCAGTTTGTGGATCTCACAACTGGAGTCCTGGAGGCTCACTGTGGCCTGGAACCAGCACAAGCATTACTTATTTAGTTAATTATTGATTTATTTGATTGGGACAAGTGTAGTCAATCAACATGTGAAACACTACTACAACATTTAGAGCCAAGGCTAATTTGCAACGTCCGTCCCTAGAATGGCTTTTAACTCGGGATGAACCGATTGCAAAATTTTGGATACTGATGTTTAACATGTTTTTTATATATATATATATATGTGTGACTTTTTTGAGAATGTCGCATGTGCCTACCATCGGCAAATATCATGTGTTTTTGCAGATGGTAGTTAACAAGGCAAACAATTAAATACACATTATATAAATGCAGGGCTCCAACTCATTTTTCCAACAGTTTTTTCTTTATCGTTTCAGTTTGTGTTTAAAACTGGCCCAGTCCAAGTTCAGTTTAAGCTGAGGACTTAGAGAGTTCCAGACCGTTGCCCCCTGGATGGAGAAGACCGACTGTCCAAATGTAAACTACCACTACAGAATGAATGAATGAATGAATGAATGAATGAATCTACTACTACTACTACTACTACTACACATATAGGGACCCGTCTATATGGACACTGTGTGGTACCTGCAGACTGTAGAGAAGCTGCGTCAGACTTTGAACGCTCTCTGCCACCTACAAGACACAATCATTAAGATTAAGAGATCCTTTATTCGTCCCACAGCGGGGAAATGTCAGTGTTGCATCACCAGTTACAGAACAGTAGGAATGAGGAGCACACAACACAAGATAAATTACAATAACTCGATACCAGGTGTCAAACTCATTCTGGTCAGAGCCTGAAAGAATAGAAGGGATTGTCCTTTTCTTACAATAGTTTTTTACATTATATTCTTTGACATAACTTTTATGTGACATGAGTTTCACTATTATTTTCTGGTTGATTTTTCTGAAAACAAAATGTGTTCATTGTTTAGATTTTACCAAAACTTGACCACATATGAAGTTAAACATAGTGTTCTATATTCAGCTATTTAACTTCCAATAATGTGTTGGATTCAAATATTAGAATAAAATGCATTTGGTTTCCTGAGAAAATAGATGATGTATAACATGCCATGGAAGCCCATAACTATCAAGGCAGAAAGTTATTAATAATAATTGAAAATGATTTTAGAGGCCACTAAAAATGACTGAGTTTGACATGCCAGCTCTATCATAAAAAAAAAAAATTAAATCTCTAACTTTAGCATAAAAAAGAAGTAAATTAAGGTAAATCAAAGGCTACAATAAAGTCTGAGGCTGAAGGAGTCCTCACCTTTGTCAGCGTGTTTTTGGACTCTGCTCTTCTGGGCTCCGGGCTCCAGTCGTCCGTCAGATCACTGTCCGATCCCACGCAGAAGGAGCTGTTACTGAGCGTGCTCAGATAGTCCGCTGCAGACAAGAGAATGCGACATCACAACATTTTCTTATGGATGTATTTAAAAACTGATCTGCTGAAGATTTGACGCCAGAATTTGCTTTTAGCCCTGAACAAGTGTAGATGTGTTTTCTGATGGTGTGTAAATACTGGGCTCATTCACAATAAACTAAAAATGGAATAATGGTCAAAGAGAACAGAGAGAAACAAGAGAGAAGAACCAGAGAGAGACCAGAGAAGGACTAGAGAAGGACCAGAGGGAGACCAGAGAAGGACCAGAGAGAGACCAGAGAAGGACCAGAGAAGGACCAGAGAGAGACCAGAGAGAGACAAGAGAGAGACCAGGGAAGGACCAGAGAGAGACCAGAGAAGGACTAGAGAAGGACCAGAGGGAGACCAGAGAAGGACCAGAGAAGGACCAGAGAGAGGCAAGAGAGAGACCAGGGAAGGACCAGAGAGAGACAAGAGAGAGACCAGGGAAGGACCAGAGAGAGACAAGAGAGAGACCAGGGAAGGACCAGAGAGAGACCAGAGAAGGACAAGAGAGAGACCAGAGAGAGACCAGAGAAGGACAAGAGAGAGACCAGAGAAGGACCAGAGAAGGACCAGAGAGAGACAAGAGAGAGACCAGGGAAGGACCAGAGAGAGACCAGAGAAGGACAAGAGAGAGACCAGAGAGAGACCAGAGAAGGACCAGAGAGAGACCAGAGAGAGACCAGAGAAGGACCAGAGAGAGACCAGAGAATGATCAGAGAGAGACCAGAGAAGGACCAGACAGAAAGACTAGAGAGAGACCAGAGAGGGACCAGAGAAGGACCAGAGAGGGACCAAAGAGAGACCAGAGAGAGACCAGAGAGAGACCAGAGAGAGACCAGAGAGAGACCAGAGAGAGACCAGAGAGAGACCAGAGAGAGACCAGAGAGGGACCAGAGAGAGACCAGAGAGAGACCAGAGAAGGACCAGAGAGAGACCAGAGAAGGACCAGAGAAGGACCAGAGAGAGACCAGAGTGAACAGAGAAGAACTTAATCCACCACTACCACAAGACTAAAATCTGTCATGGATAATAAAGGGCCTCACAGACTGAGAACTGGGGGATGGACATTTCAGTTCGCTCGTTTACACAATCACTGAAAGTTTTCCCCTGAGCTTGTGTCTAAATTTAGTTTTGCTGCTTTGACTCACGCTCAGGGGGAAAGTCCTGGACGCTGTCGTCGCTGTTGGACTCTTGACCGGAGCAGATCTGGTTCTGACTGGTCCCATCGCGGCTCTGCAGGACGCTCATCAGGTTTTCAGCTGAAACAAATAAAGATTCATTTTGCTTTTGAGGAATTCTTGAATCTCTACTTAGTATTGTCACGATACACATTTAAAACTCAAAATTGATGCTAGAAGAAATACTGGACTGAAACAAGTGAATCGATTACTTGCAACTTATCAATTACTGAAATAGTTTTTAACCCTCATAAACATAAACCTCACCCTGAATTATTATACATGTTTTTAGTAAACATAGAACCGGAGCACCTGGAGGAAACTGATGTGCATCTGTTAATGACATTGTTTGTTTGACATTGTCGATGTGTTTTCATTGACACTAACCCTGTTGTAGGAAATACAGAAGACTGCAAACAGGGACCCCCAAAAAGAGTATCTGGACATTCTGAAGATAAATCAGCGTGTTTGTATACATAGCTTGGGTTTAGGGGACAGGGCAGGGAGAAATGATCTTATCAGCATATATTGTAACAGTAAAATAAATGTATTAATATAAAGTTTGGATTTCCTTGGTCTTACTTCGTGGTCAAATTTGAATTATGCAACAAAAGCTATGCAGACATGGGGAGAACATGCAAACTCCACACCCAATCCTGCCCAATTTCTTGACGATGCAGAAGTTTCCAAGGACAGAGGTGATGATCCAGGACACTCGACATTTAAGAACATATATGGACATTGGTCTCTGCCCCTTATGGACCATTGTCTATATGTTTTTTATCATTGCATTTCTCGGGTTGGTGCATTTCTGTTTGATTATCTAATCTGTGTTGGCAAATTCAGTTTTGAGTCCTCCGAGATAACAACTGTTGTGGTAAGGGCTATACAAAAACAAAATACATTAAATTGAACTGTACCTTCCTGTAGTGCAGCAGTGAGCAGTGATGAAGCCAGCCTGGGAGCGTCGCTGTCTGTTTGCACCAGTAGATGGCGCTGTGGCACTGCTTCAGGAGAGCCGAGGCTGAGCTCCGTCAGTTCTGCATAAAGCTCCAACTTCTCCTCCAGAGAGCTGCAGATCATCTGGTCCTGAGCCAGCAAGCTCTCTGTGTCACAAACAACACAACATTCAAACTCTGCCCAAACGTAACAACAACAACAGAAGACCACGTCCAGACCTTGAAATTGTGCAATTTTCTGGATTCGTGCTTCGGCGGCTCGTTTAGTCTCCTCTGATTCCACGCTGCGTTCTTCTTCCTCTTCCTCCTCTGGGCAACTGGAATTGAATGTGAATGATTATCCCCATAGCAACAAAATGTACATTATTTTCTAATATTAGTACAATCCTAATATAGACTGTATATCAGGAGTGGACTGTCTAAGCTAGCTGGAGCCAATTTCCTTATATGGGCATTTGTTATGATGGCGTTTGCTTTGCACCGTAAAGACTTGTTGCTAAGATGGTTGCTAAGGCAAACGCGAATGAAAGCATCTAATCGGTCATTGGTTGAATGGCTCATGTGGATTGGGCAGCACGTGGTGCAGTGGTTAATGCTTGAAATTCACAGCAAGAACTTTGAGTCTGATTCCACCTCCAGATCTTTCTGCGTGGAGTTTGCATGTTCTCCCTGTGTCTGGGTAGGTTTCCTCTGGGTGCTCCGGTTTCCTAAAAACATGTACAATAGATATGGCATGTGACTCCTGTAACGATTTTATTTTGACTTCTGTTCTCTGTGGTTTCATTTTTACTTCCTGTCTTGTTCCCCTTTCTTCATTGTCTGCTCCGCCCTGATGTGTTTCATCTGTGTCTTTTCGTACCTGTGCTCCTCTCCCCTTGTTGCTAATTAATTGCGTTGTCTCTATTTTTGTCTGTCTATGTTCCTGAGTTTTGTTTGGATTATCGATTCCTTTTTACCCTGGACTTGTATCTATTATCATCAAGAAATATACATTTTTGACATGAGTGATGAACGAGGGCTCAACCTCCTTCATCTCACCACATGACAGTGACTCTGGTCTGTAAATAAAGATTACTTATTTACAAAGATAAAATCAAAATAAACTCCTGGATCATATTAAGTGCACAACCACAGATTTTTTAAGCCCAAAATGGAGAGTGTGAGACTAACTGTTATGTAGGGCGGTTTACCTTTCTAAAGCAATACTAGGTGAATGGGCTTCATCGAGCTAGCATGTTAGCATTGTCCATCTATATATAGTCTATGAGCACAGCACTAATGTAAGCACCTCTCCACTGCTTGTCGGATTTGTCTCATCCATGCGTTCCGTTCCTCTCTGGTGTTGGTGTGGACCTCGTACATCTCTGGACCCACGGACGAAGCCGAGATCAGGAACATTCCCCTTTCCTCGTTAGCGACCTCCCTGACGATGAGCTTCTGTAGTGGGATAACCGGAGGCTTCTGGTCCTGGGAAAGAAAAGAGAAATATTACAGAAATGGCAGTATGTAAGATTTGCATTTGCCTTAACAAAAGCAAAAATTTGGGGGCAATTCAAATATCGATATGTGAAAAGCAAAATTGAACAATACGTTTTTTAGGCAAATTCATTATTATTTTACCATATAAAAATTGTACAAATTGTCCAATACATAATAAAAATATTCTATACATCGTTTCTGTTCATATGTTCATTAAAGCTGGAGTGCATAACTTTGAAACCACAAAAAAAATTCTGTGTAATAAAATACAATAGTTCTTTGCTCAGTTTGGTTCTATCACTGTTTTTCACACATGTACTGTATTTTGGCCTCTGTCACAGTTTTTACAGACAGAAAAGTGACAAAGAGAGAACCACCCTCACTCAGCCAATCAGCTCCCAGTATGTAAAAGATAAATGTGTTTTTATACGATGAAGACAAAATGCCATGGTTTGTTTTGTCCATAAAATGAGTTGGGACAAACAAAAGACCATGATTTATGAATAAAAAAGTGAAGTACCCCCGTTATCCAAAACTCACCACAGCAGCAAAGGCAAAGCGCTGGTCTTTCTCTTGTAGGAAAACCAAGACGTCAGTGAGAAGGAGAGCCAAGTTATCTGCAACAAGAAAGCACTGTTGACAAGGCTGCTGGGAAAAACAAGAAACAAAACACTAAAATCACAGAATATCATCAATACAGTACGTTCTGGACTATATTGAATATAAGCTGCAGGTTTTCATGTTGTAATGTAGCAGAGAGAGACGACTGTTGACCCTTTAAGCGCCAAAGTCGCAATATTGCGACAAGCAACATTGCTCACTTAAACAGGCTGTATGTAAAAATGTGGTGCAGAATCTTGTTAATACTTTTCACCAGGGGTTAGTGGACATGTGTGCCTGTAATATGAGCAACATTTGTGGGTGTAGTTATATTGAAAGTTTTTGAGTAAATTGAGTTCGTAAAACACCTGCGGCGCTGCAGCGCGGAGGCGAAGCAGCAGCGGTAGAGCTGAGAGGAGCGAGAGCAGAGCAGAGGGAGAGAGTTTTTTATTTTACTCACGAGGTCTTCAGTACCAGAGAAGTACTTGGTCTGGTACTGGCTCACTCAAATTCAGAGGAGGAAGACACGCAGGTGTCCAGTGAAGCAGACACGGACATTATTGGTGACGGGGAGACAGCGCTCCATAGTCCACAATCAGCCCCAGTACAGCGGCTGCTTGTCCTCCGTGTGGCCGCGGTAGAAGCATTCTGTGAACGCCAAGCAGGGGCTGGGGTCGAGGGGACAGGGGGATCATAACACCGGGCATGTGGGAGAAAGTAGTGGGGGTAGACATCCACGGGGAACACGGGAGACGCGGGAGAAGTCGCGGGAGAGCCGCGGGAAAAAAACACATCGCTAATCGCGTTCACTGCCTTTACCAACAGCGATGATGAGGATGAAGACAGTTCTTGAGAGAAAATAATCCACAAAAGTGGATCAGAAGTGTTGAAGAGCCTGTTGTATGTTGTTGAGACGATCTGACAAGTTCTGAGCCCATTCATTTCATCTCTCAGTTTCTAAACGGTAAATCCTGGAACCTCATTTCCACTGAGAAAAATAGTAAGCCCACTACTTCTCTGAAAGGGAAATATTGAAACCAATCTCAAGATTTCATGACTGTAAACTATAAAGAGTGCTGTCTTGATCACTGAAGGTCTTTGAAAATAATACAATTCCATATGGCTGCGAACCAGTGCTAAAACATTATCTATAATCTGGATCAGGGAATTTATTTCTATCCCAAATTCATTTCATACTAAAGATATTTCACATTGACTGTTTATAGTATTCCCTGATCTCAAATAACTCCCAAGCTACAGCTTTTTGAAGTCTTTATACAATAATTAACATTTTCCAAAATGGCCGCCACCTTGATGACGTCACAATATGCAAATTAGATGACGAATCAACTTCCATCCCAAAGTTTGGTTCAAACTGAAGATATTTCTAATTTACAGTATGCCTTTATCTCAAACCATTTTAAAGTTATAGCCTTTTGAAATCTTGAAATCAAAATTGTATATTTTCTTGAAAAAACTCTGGCGCCTAAAGGGTTAACTGGACACAACATTATTTAATAACGAGGTGTTAGCTAAACCGTTGGCTTCCATCACTCATTCACCTTCATCTATTTTGACAACAGTATGTGTCCTATAGCTACTAAAACTTGAGTCAAAATAATAAGTCCATAAACTCTGCTCCGACAACTCTACCACAATAACAATACATATATAAGCCGCATTGCTATACAAGCCACATCGCTATATAAACCGCATCGCTATATAAGCCGCATCGATATAAAGCCACATCGCTATATAAGCCGCATCGATATAAAGCCACATCGCTATATAAGCCACATCGCTATATAAGCCGCATCGATATAAAGCCACATCGCTATATAAGCCACATCGCTATATAAGCCGCATCGATATAAAGCCACATCGCTATATAAGCCACATCGCTATATAAGCCGCATCGCTATATAAGCCGCATCGCTATATAAGCCGCATCGCTATATAAGCCGCATCGATATAAAGCCACATAGCTATATAAGCCGCATCGCTACATAAGCCGCATCGCTACATAAGCCGCATCGCTACATAAGCCGCATCGCTACATAAGCCGCATCGATATAAAGCCACATTGCTATATAAGCCGCATCGATATAAAGCCACATTGCTATATAAGCCGCATCGCTATATAAGCCGCATCGCTATATAAGCCGCATTGCTACAAAGCCGCATTGCTACAAAGCCACATTGCTACAAAGCCGCATCGCTATATAAGCCGCATTGCTACAAAGCCGCATCGCTATATAAGCCGCATCGCTACATAAGCCGCATCGCTACATAAGCCGCATCGCTACATAAGCCGCATCACTACATAAGCCGCATCGCTATATAAGCCGCATCGCTATATAAGCCGCAGGCATCAAAGTACTAGAAAAATGTAGCAGCTTTGTCTGAAGTCTGTCTCACATTCTCAGGAAGACTTTAACACAATCACAGTATAAAGAAAGCTACGGAGACCTTTGAGGCGGCCGGTGGCGGTCTTCCAGTAGACGAGGCCTTTGTGGTGGAGGACCCGGTGTGGGCTGCAGAGGTCGTTCTTGGTGAACACTTTCCCGTTCTTGAGTTTGGCGATGGTCTTGTTCTCGAGGCGACCGAGGACTTCCTGCAGCTCTTGGCTCTTCTCGTAGCGGTTCACGGTCATGTCCACGGCTGAGATGATGTCCCGGATCTGCACCAGTGCGTTCGACAAGTCCCGGTACTCCTGACTTCCCTCTGGAACAAGTGTAGAATTATAGAATTATCAACGACATATACATATTTTCATTGCATTGAGAAGATTAGAGCGCTGTTTGTAAAGTACTAAAACAGACATATGATGTAAAATCATGATCGTGTGGTTAGGCCTGTCGCGATATTCAATAAATCAATTTAATCGCACGATAATTAAAATTAGCTTGATATTTTTTCTGGCCGCTACTTCCGGCGGTGGTCTTTAAAAAAAAAAAAGTTAATTCCTCTATGAAAAAGTGTACCTGCATCATTATCATTGTATAGATGAAAATGATCTCAGAACGGCAATATTATCGCTTATCAAAATAATTTCTGAGACAATTAATTGTCTAGCAAAATTTGTTATCGTGACAGGCCTATGTGTGACTTCAATCCTCATTCTACAGCCTGAGTCCTGGATCTACAGCTCACGTCTTTTGGAGCGGATCCACCTCTAATTATGGGCCTCCCTGGGGTTTTTCACTTTTCTCTTCCTTCTTCCTGCATCGCAAAGAAAGGACAATGATGTAATTTTAAGAAATGTTATGATGTTTTCATGCGTGCCTTTACCGTTTACTAAAAAGAACTACAAAAAGCAAATTCCTTCATCTTATTGACTTGCTGTTACTCACAATGGCAATAAAAATGATTCTGATTCTTATGTGGGACATTTATGAATAATGGTCAACCCACTCTCTATGAACCAGTGGGTCATATGTGTTTGAATGGTTTGATTCTCTGACTGCTGTTGTGATTCAGGGCTCTACAAAAATGTATTGAATTCAGCCAGTGTTGGGACATCTATAAGCACCGCTGTCTCTTCCTTCTTCCATCTTTGTCGTTTCTGTCCCATACCTTTAGTGTAGAGTAGAATCCTCTCCAACAGAACCGGGTACTTAGTGATGCGCTGCGTGACCAACAAGATGAACTCTGGGACCTCTCTCCTCTTCACCAGGATGTTGTTGCTCTGTTGCTGTGGTGATAATATCCGTCACATACAATTAACACATAATTCAACCCAATAATCCACAAATATAAACATGAACAGGGGTTTCCGCAAAGCTGGTACCTTCACAAAGTTCTGCAGTTTTTTGTTTTGTTGCTGTAAGTCTTTGAAAATGTTGACGGCTTCTTTGTGATGACTGCAGAACTCTCCGTACATCTGCTTCATCTTCTCAGCGTTTTCATCTGAGAACTGAAGACAAAAGGCCACGTGACCAAAAGAGCATTTCTTACAGAAGACAAACTATGCAAAATACACTTTTTTGAAAGCTTTTTTAGACAGAAAGGAAAAGACACAGAAAGACAAAGAAACACAGACACAGAGACAGACGGAGAAAAACAGAGATACACAGGGACACAGTGACACAGAAACAGACAGACACACAGAGACAGACAGGGACAGACAGAGACACACAGAGACACAGACAGAGACAGACAGAGACAACAGAGACAGACAGAGACAGACAGAAACACACAGAGAAAGACAGAGACACACAGACAGACAGAGACACAGAGACAGACAGACACACAGGGACACACAGAGACACACAGGGACACACAGGGACACACAGAGACACACAGGGACACACAGGGACACACAGGGACACACAGAGACACACAGACACACACACACACAGAGACACACACACACACAGAGACACACAGGGACACACAGGAACACACACAGAAACACACACAGAGACACACACAGAGACAGAGACCTGCTGCAGAAGTATATCTCCGATGTTGTGGATGACGTAGTTGCGCGGCCGGTGTGTCTTTGCCGACGCCTGCCTCCGTTCCTGCAGCGCTCCGAACAGCTGCTGGTGGAAGAGCATGAGGAGGTCCAGACACGGGAACATCCGACCCACACAGTCCAGGTCCAGCTGCAGCTCCTCCAACATGCCCCTGCGGAACACCTCCCACATGACCGTCAGCGTCTGGATGTGGTGCAGCTCCGTCTGAAGCAGCTCTAAGATCAACAACACAGATATCGGAGGCTTAGGGCAGAGGTCTCTAACAAGCAGCTCATGGAGAGGTTTTTTGTGGCCCCCTAGTGGACACAATTTGGCATGTTATACAGCAGTGGTGTCAAACCCGAATAAAAAGAATAGGAAATGGTCGAGGGCTGAATGAATATGTTATAATTGTTTTTTTTTTTACATTATGAAGGTATTTTGAATTTTTTCTGAAAACAAAATGTGTTTATTGTTTAGATCTAACCAAAACTGGACCAAATATAAAAGGTTAACACATTGTTTTATATATACAGTGCCTTGCGAAAGTATTCGACCCCCTTGAACCTTTCAACATTTTGCCACATTTCAGGCTTCAAACATAAAGATATATAAAAAAAATTTTTGTCAAGAATCAACAACAAGTGGGACACAATTGTGAAGTGGAACAAAATGTATTTGATAATTTAAACTTTTTTAATAAATAAAAACTGAAAAGTGGCGCGTGCAAAATGATTCGGCCCCCTTGCGCTAATACTTTGTAGCGCCACCTTTTGCTGCAATTACAGCTGCAAGTCGCTTGGGGTATGTCTCTATCAGTTTTGCACGTCGAGAGACTGGAATTCTTGCCCATTCTTCCTTGAAAAACAGCTCAAGCTCAGTGAGGTAGGATGGAGAGCGTTTGTGAACAGCAGTCTTCAGCTCTTTCCACAGATTCTCGATTGGATTCAGGTCTGGACTTTGACTTGGCCATTCAAACACCTGGATACGTCTATTTGTGAACCATTCCATTGTAGATTTGGCTTTATGTTTTGGATCATTGTCCTGTTGGAAGATAAATCTCCGTCCCAGTCTCAGGTCTTTTGCAGACTCCAACAGGTTTTCTTCCAGAATGGTCCTGTATTTGGCTTCCCTGTCCCTGCTGAAGAAAAGCAGGCCCAAAGCATGATGCTGCCACCACCATGTTTGACAGTGGGGATGGTGTGTTCAGGGTGATGAGCTGTGTTGCTTTTACGCCAAACATATCGTTTTGCATTGTGGCCAAAAAGTTCGATTTTGGTTTCATCTGACCAGAGCACCTTCTTCCACATGTAAGTAAGTAAGTAAGTAAGTAAGTTTTTATTTATATACCGCCTTTTCACTGCAGATCTGAGTCTCAAAGCGGTTTACAATTGTTATTTTTGGGCATTTGTCTCTCACTCCACACAGAGATGGGAGCGGGGTCGCCAGTAGAGGAGGCGTATGCCTGAACTATTGGACATATTTTTAGTGGTAGGGGAAACCGGAGTACCCGGAGGAAACCTACGCAGACACGGGGAGAACATGCAAACTCCACTCAGAAAGGCCCTGGTCCGACCGGGATTCGAACCCAGGACCTTCTTGCTGAGAGGCGAGAGTGCTATCCACTCAGCCACCGTGCCGCCTGTTTGGTGTGTCTCCCAGGTGGCTTGTGGCAAACTTTAAACAAGACTTTTTATGGATATCTTTGAGAAATGGCTTTCTTCTTGCCCCTCTTCCATAAAGGCCAGATTTGTGCAGTGCACGACTGATTGTTGTCCTATGGACAGACTCTCCCACCTCAGCTGTAGTTATCTGCAGTTCATCCAGAGTGATCATGGGCCTCTTGGCTGCATCTCTGATCAGTCTTCTCCTTGTTTGAGATGAAAGTTTGGAGGGGCGGCTGGGTCTTGGTAGATTTGCAGTGGTCTGATACTCCTTCCATTTCAATATAATTGCTTGCACAGTGCTCCTTGAGATGTTTAAAGCTTGGGAAATCTTTTTGTATCCAAATCCGGCTTTAAACTTCTCCACAACAGTATCTCGGACCTGCCTGGTGTGTTCCTTTGTCTTCATGGTTCTCTCTGCGCTTTAAACAGAACCCTGAGACTATCAAAGAGCAGGTGCATTTATACGGAGACTTGATTACACACAGGTGCATTCTATTTATCATCATCAGTCATTTAGGACAACATTGGATCATTCAAAGATCCTCACTGAACTTCTGGACTGAGTTTGCTGCACTGAAAGTAAAGGGGCCGAATAATATTGCACGCCCCACTTTTCAGTTTTTTATTTAAATTATCCAATAAATTTCGTTCCACTTCATGATTGTGTCCCACTTGTTGTTGATTCATGACAAAAAATTAAAATGTTATATCTTTATGTTTGAAGCCTGAAATGTGGCGAAATGTTGAAAGGTTCAAGGGGGCCGAATACTTTCGCAAGGCACTGTAACTATTAAACTTCTAATGATGTATTGGGTTAACATTTTAAAATAAATTAAATTAGGTAGTTTTCCTGAAATAACAATCTGTTTATTGTAATGATTATTATTGTAACAAAACAAGCTGTAAATTATTAGTCAAGTGGACCCATAGATTATCATTATAGGGGGCCACTAAAGAGTTTGACATGACTGTTATATATAATTATAGAAAACAACCACACCATTTATATTATAATAAACACTGAACTCTGAACACAAAAAGGGATAATTAAATGTAAATATTATTCGGCCCAACAGTCCACAATACTGAACCTTCACTTTGGGTCCAGTTTTGTTTCAATCCAAGCAGCTGTGCTCATCACAACTCATGAACTCATATTCAATAAAAGTAAATATTTGGCAAAAAACCCCACAAAAAATATAAAAAGTCTCAGATGCAAACAAACAAACCTATAAACAGTTTCTTAACAGGAGTAGGAAACAAATCTCTTAACAACAACAATGTGAACTGCTCGTGACACAATCCCAGACTTCGACATAATGTTTTTGTGTAAAATACTGCACTTTAAAATGAATATGTGGCGTTTTCTTCTCTTACCTGTGTCTATTTTGGTCAATTTACTGTCTATAGGCTGCACTAGAGTATGCAGTATTTTATAATTTGCTTATTTTTAACTATAGAGATTTTATTTTTATTCTATTAAAGTATAGTTGTGCTATGTGCTCCTCATTCCTGCTGCTCTGTAACTTGCAATGAGACTCTGCCACACACAGACACGTGCTGCTTATGATGCAAATGGGAGACAGAGACTATCATGTGACACAGTGCATTCCGTGACCTTCTTCACATATGACCGGTGCTTAACGTTTAGAGCCTCACCGTAAATGACGTCCTGGCGCTTCACAGTGACTCGCTCGTGTTGACGACAGAAGTCCGGACTCACAGCGAGACTCCAGGACTCTGCATCGAGACCCAGCTGGTCCGCCGACAAGTCACTTAACAAAGAAGTGCTCAAGGAGTCTGCAAAAACCAACAAACAATCTCATCACCACATGAACGATAGTGACCACGGTCTGATCAGAAACTGCAGCATAGTTTGTAAGAATTTCCTTTGGGATAATTACAAGAGACATAATGAGCATATTTGAGCTTTTGTAACATTGTTGTGTCTTACCACACTATTGTACTCATTTCATTTCGTACTAAGGTCTGGATTTGCTCAATTGAACTTTGTTAACAGGCTAGCTCCTTTTGCAGATTGAAACCATTGGATCTGAGTTTACTGTGATGTATGTAATTCGCACGAGTGAGTGAGGCATAGCATTTAGCCTAGCTTTAGCCATCTCCTTTGCCACTAACGGAGCTCCTGGGGAGTAGAACCAGAACATCTTGGCCAACAATGACATTTGTTAAACATTCCTCTTGCTCCAGCTTAATTTTCTTGATATTTGGAGCCGAAACAGAACAGATTATTTTACCATCGCATTTACCGCAAAACTACAACCAGCAAATTCTGTGCAAACTCTTGACGTCAGCGACACCGACCTACAACACCTGCCTCCCCCGCTCTCTGATTGGTCGGAGGGGCTTCAATCGAGGAAACTGCAGCCACTAGGATCAGACCCAGACGTACATGTAGGAAATGATATTTGACAGGAGTTTACGGATGGATTAGGCCAGTCCACATTGATCACAAACATGGAGTTGTTTTAAGTTTTGTTTTGTTTAAGCGTTATCCATCCACGCTAAAATCTGAACCTTTCTCTCTAAAAGGTCCTGCCCCATGCTGTGTTCTGGAAATTCTCCACACTGATAATTTTACTTAACAAAACAAATTATATTTAAGTCCACAATGAAATTGAATGTATGGCCACAAAAGAAATTTCCCCACAGTGGGACGAACAAAGGATCTGTTAAACTTAATCTTAAAAGCAGATTAAGATTAAGTTAAAGCAGGTTTTGCTATAAGGAACAACGTATTTGCTCCTGTATTTATCAAATCTCAGCAGAAAATCTACAGCTCCCTCTAGTGGTAGCACAGGAGTACGGCATGCATAGTTTCTACTGAAGACATTGTTTCATATCATAATAACTTAAATGACAAATAGCTTACTGGCCAGATATAATGCATAATATTTTGTCTTTAAAGTGTCTATAATACTTTGTCGTTACCTTGTGTGATGAGGAGCTGGTCAGTGGAAAGGGGAGCCAAAGTTCCTCCTTCATCGACCACGGACGACGTGGCACCAGGAGACAGCACCTCCTCGTCCACCACTGACCGATCGTGCAGCTGTCTGTGGAAAGAACCAGAAAGGAAGAACTTCAACCCATTTGTCCATTCTTCCTTATCCTTTTTTACCCCTATTCTTCCCTTGTGCTCTACATAATTCATTAATAATAAATACAAAGAATGAGCTAAGATAATAGTAATAAAATAGGTACTAAAGAAAAAACGTGAGACTAAAAATAACAAAAAAAGGTAAAATAAATATGTATACATAACAAAGTATCTATAGTAGATTATGAATATTTCTATAGCTGTATATTATTATGTCTCTAGAATGATGTTCCCTTTGAAGTCTGTTACTTTTCATGTAATAATAATTTACTGGTTTGTCAAATGAGGACTGTCTACAGATTGACAGACAGATGCCGTCACTGTATCGGACTGTTGTGGAGAAGCCGGAGCAGCGTCTGCAGTCAGAGCTCCACAAAACTAAATTTACAACTCAGTCTGTATGTTCCCACCCCCACCTAGGGTCGCAAGCTTTGGGTAATGACGAGACGAGAGGGCGAGATCGCAGATATAAGCGGTCGAGTGGAGGAAACTTGTTTTTGTGGTCTTATGTGCCGCACTTTGGACTTCACCTGTTGTTTAAATGTGCTATATAAATAAAGTTTTGGATTGAAAGCGCGGGTACCTGCTGTCGATGGAGATAGACATGCTCTTGGAGAGAGGGGGGAACGTGTCTCTTTTGTCTTTTGCGAGCGGTGAAATTGAGGACGGAGAGAACAGGGACACAGGAGACAAGTCTTTGGAAGAATCTAGAAGAAGAGAAACATCAGTCAAAAGTCTGCACAGTTTTGCAATTCTACTTTAAATAAATTAACACCAGCACTTGAAGTCTAAGAGAAGCTTTATTTGTCCCACGGGAGGGAAATTTCAGTGTTGCATCACCAGTTATAGAACAGTGGGAATGAGGAGCACACAGCACAAGATGAATGAACAATAACTCTATACTTAATTAAATGAAAAATAATATCTCTAACTTTAGCATAAAAAAATAAGCAAGTATTAAATCCCACCTCTATTCTAGTGCTAGAAATATATTGTATGTATGTTAGCAGCATGAGGGTATGGGGCAAATGACTAAGTAAAGAAACAGTTTCTTATTCTAGGAGTTAAAATTATACCAATGCACTTATATAAAAACACATACGGGCCAAAAATGAGAACAAAGTAAAAAAAAGCAGATGATTGCCGTAGTCGGTTAGCAGCTATAGCCAATTTCTCTGTGATTTTTGAGTTAAAGGGAAAAGCAGCAAAAGCAAAAAAAAAGATTCTATATGGAGCGGAGAAGAGGTGAAAGACAGACAGACGACAGATATAAAACTAGCCCAGTGGAATATGAATTTTATTCCAGAGAGACAGGACTTCAAGTTAGAAGAAAAATACCCTAACTCAGGATCTAAAAGTGTCTGAATGACCCAGAGCTGGTCAAGTTAGGAAAAAAAAAATCAGCTAAAAATGTTTTATTTTGGGTATTCTTTAAATCACTGTGGCAGATCAATTTGACCCAAGGATAGCACAATGGGTTTAGTAGTAGTAGATAAGTGGTCAGGGGTCAAAAAACATGCACAGTTTCTACGTTATTTATCAAATTCAGTAGAGTTTTGCATGGATTTGATAGAAATCCCAACAGCAGTCTATACAATAAGTCCATAAATGTCATAAATATCTATATATATCACCGTTCTTACCCCCTCCTGCATGGGCACAGAGCAACCCAGTCGGAAAAAAAAAGGAGAAACCTCACGGAGGCGCATATACAGAGAGGGACGTGCTCTAGAACCAGGACTTGGGCTGTATTTATCTTGTTTCTAAGTACTTCCAATGTTCCCACTTCCCACAGCACTGTGCATTTCCCCACTGTGGCACAACAAAAGATTCACTCACTAATAAACAATTTTTTTAAATTAATATCTCTAAGATTGTGGAGGGAGGCAGCAGAAAGAGCTCAGTATTGATGGATTAGACTCACTCAGCGGGAGGGACAGGGTCTTGCTTTTCATCAGCAATGCATTCTTTTCAGACTGCTTCTGTATCTAAACAAAAGTGAAATGTTAAATCATAGCGGACACAGGAGCACAAACCATTGGACCCCAGTTTTAAATTTAAGACTGCTAAATAAGTCATTCATCATAAGCACACACTTTCTCCATGTCATCACAAAACATGTAGCTCAGAAGAAGCAGGGGTCGTAATTGCAGTAGTAACAATAATAATAGTAGTAATAATAATGGTCTAATAATAGTAATTATAGTACTAATAGCAGCAGCATTAGCAATTGTAGTAGTAGCAGCATTACTTTTATATAGTTAGTAATAAAATCAGCAGTAGTAGTAGTAGTAGCTCTTGTAGATCTAAACAAAGTGTAAACAAACTACTACTGATTGCACCGAGAGCCAAAGTAATTTCTTAGTTTGTGACTTCTTACTTGTTAATCACATGGCAATAAAATAATTCTGATTCTGATCTGTAAACAGGCAGTAGTAGTAGTAGCCAGAGTAATATTAGCAGCAGTAGTAGCAGCAGCAGGACTTGTGGTAATACTATCAGCAGTAGAAGTAGAAGCTTTGATCTAAACAAACTACTAACTATAAACACACATTTGCTTCAGAGCTAAGTTCAGAACAATAACAGCACTTTCCCTGTGTATTTTCTGAATGGTCTAATGTGTGTTTATGTTGAATCCAAATGATAAATGAGGGGTTTCTGCTTACCTTCGCACAGGCCATAACAGACTCCCGGCAGCTACGATGAACCTTCAGGAAGCAGTCTGCACGGGAGAGACAAATACACAACATTAACAACGTTAGCATGACTCCAGAATCAAAGCATAAACAACTCTGGGAAAGCAGGGACCATGACAAGAACCAGGAAGTACCATCACATTAGTCCAGGTCTCAGGTCTCCGCACTGGCTTCATGTGGCTCAGAGAATAGACTTTAAAGGAGCTCTGTTTGATACAAGTCTCTCCATGGGGTGAGACTTGTATCCTCCTGCTGCTGCCCAGAGTCAAGACTAAACATGGGGAGGCAGCCTTACAGATCGCCATCAGTCTTCCAGAAAATGTAAGACAGGCTTGTTCTCTGACAATGATCAAATCCAGGTAAAAACAGTTCTGTTTAGCTGTGCATAAAACTGAAGGATTGTATCTCAACTCTCTTTAATGCACTGTGATGATTCATGATTTCAATGCCTTGTGTATGAACAGTGTCACACTAATAAACTTGCCTTGTCAAAACATCCAGGAAGCGCGTCTGGGAAAATGTGTTTGAGCACCTAAACAGTCGAGACAAGATCCCAAACATACTACTTACTGGAGCAGTGCAGCAGCTCCTTCCCAGACACACACTTGTCACAGGCCACACAGAGCGCGGAGCCGGAGGGCGACATGGGCAGGAACTGGTGTCCGTGAGCCGCTGCCCCTTTGTCTTTGGTCTCCTTCACTTCTTTACTCTTCACCTACAACACAAAGACTTAGACATTAGAGCTGCAAGATGTATTTTGCATTTCAATTGTGATTTGGAAAAAAAATACTTAAGTCATCTGCTATACAGCTAATCTTAAGCCCCCGTTGCCCCCAGACCAGGGCCGGCCACAGGCGAAAATATAACATGGCGCCCCTTGTACACTTGAAGAGGGCATAACAGTGAACAAGTGTGCAGTTAAAGTAGTCGCAATCCTCTTTCAGATCCTTTTTTTTTTAATTACAAAAATGGGAATTTTGGACCAATGTTCAGATTCAGATTAATTTATTTGCCATTTGCAGTAAAACCACATTGGAAAAACTGTGCAAGACTACCCCAGTGTACACCAGACGGCACAGACCAGAGCTCTTGCCACGGCGCCATGCTCTTGAAACGTATTGCAAACTTTACCCCAGTTTTCTTGCAATTTCCACAGTAAAAGTGTGCAGTGAAAAGCTCTTTCAGATAAAAAAAAAAGTTTATAAAGTGCATTTTGACTGGCTTTCCAATTTTACCGTAAGTAACAACTAAAAGTGGCCACTTGCTTTTAATGTGCGGACCCCATTACTGCAGACTTTGAAAAGTTGGGCCACTTTACTGCGTTGAAGGAACATTACAAACATTATATTATTTCTTTTAAATAGGCTTTGCTTTGCATTTAAATTAACATGGGATTCTTTTTGTATTAAGAAATAATAGTACCAACTAGTTATAAAAATAGTTACTTACGAACAGCGCTCTTAGCTCCTCTACTCTGTCCCGATTCCGCCCCGATTCCGCCCCGATTCCACTGGTCCCGTTTAACCAGTACCAGGTACTTTTTAATAACCCTCTTGGCCCTGGTCCTATCCAGGTGTTGTGTTATTGTTAGCCACAGTTACTGGTGGAGCCAAATACAGCAGAAGAAGTCCTGGGAGTGCCCCCTGCCTTCACGAGCTTAAAAGAATCAATAATCACAGCTCAGTTGGGGCACAGAGGACAAACTGTTTTATGTGTTTTCATTTCAGTCAATTACACCCATGTTTTGTCATTCTTTTTTCTGCAATATACTCATTAAATGGAATGGCAAATTTTTCCAACTTATTTGATTCATATTTGATTTTTTTGTTATTTTTCTTCTAAAGTGACACTGAAATACACTAATTTGTACACCATCAAGTTACTAACAAGTTTTCATATAAGATGGCAGCGTGACGTGGTCTGATTAATTCAACATAATCTTTACAAGCATCTTTCAGTTGAGACAAACAAATAGTATTGATGAAAAATAAAACTTCGGTACCCCAGCTTTAATTGCATGGAGTATATTGTACGTGTTTGTGCAGCGCTGTGATAATATTATTGACGGAAACTAAAGTAATCTACACAACTACTTTTTGCAAAACCCTAAGAAACAATATTGAATCTATAGCTGTAGCTCGACAAGTGCGAGCTAGCTTGTTTGTTTTTGTTTCAAACTTAGCGGGGAATTCTCGGGGTGCTGGTTTGTTATTGTCTCCAGCCGTGTGCATCGACCGGCTTCTCCGTGAGTGAAAACAGAATGCACACGTGTTCCGAGGGGGGAGATTTTTTGTGGGAATGCGTTAGGGTTCCTCGAGCTGCGCTGGGGGTCTGTCCATTATGTAAGATCTTTTTTCTTTTCTTTTTCCTGTTGCCACGACATGAAGAGGGAGAATTTTTCCTCCTCCCCAAATAAAGACGCTGTCAATGATGGCACAAAAGGATCCAAGGGGCAAGAATCCACGGTGGCCGAGGAGTGACCCCCGCCCCCTCGTAACCACTAGTTTTTAAAGTGACTAATGAAAGCAGATATTATAGACAAAGGCATGAGTTTGATTTTTATGTTTGAGGCACTTTGGGCAGAGGGTGCTGCAGTAAATGTGGAAAATAAATATAATTGATTTAGACAAATGGCATAATTGTTTTAAAGAATATAATTTTTATTAATTTTGGCTTTTAAAAAAACAGGATCTCGAGACTGTTTACTTTGTCATGTTTTTAGAGTGTGAAATAATTACTCAAGTAGAAAATGGATGGATAAACATGTATAATAGAATAACACTGTAAAAGTCTATAAGAAACATCAAGGCCACGCAATTGAAGAAGCGCATTTGACGAGCTAAAATAAAAATAATAATAATGTATTGGTTTTATACAGCGTTTTTTTGGACACTAAAAGACGCCTCACATGTCATTATTCATTCACTCCAAACACAGTGGTGATAAACTGCTACTGTAGCCACAACTGCCCTAGGGCACAACGACAGAAGCGAGGCAACCAGTCTGTGCCATCGGCCCCCTCCCACCCCCACCAACCATTCACACACACCAGACTCATTCTAATGTGGGTGAAGTGTCTTGACTCAGGACACAAAAACAGTTTTGGCATTTTACAACCGCAGCTGCCCCACTGTAGCACCTGGTGTTCCCAGAGGTCTCCCATCACAGTACTAACCAGGCACTGCCCTCCTTAGCCTCAGATGTCTGACAGGATCTGGCTTTAATATGCAAATATGGCCATACAAAAACAATTTAAAGAGGAAAAAGCATTGCCCTCCATCCAGCCTTCACATCGAGTGGAAGCTTTCATTGGTGCAGCAACCCTCCTCCTCCCCACCACCGCCTCATCAGCCAGGCCAGATGTTTAACCCGTGCTATGCCGGGTCAAATGCATAGGCCACATTTCCCTAAAGGTCAATAAGTATACCTTACAATACACTGTTTCTCACCTTGGTCTTGTTGCGTGTGCTGGACATTCTGCTCTTGAGAAAGCTGAAGGTGCGACTGACTTTGTACTTTTCCGATTCGGATTTAGTCGGAATTATGTACCGGTCCCACTCCTCGTCTTCTATTCTGTTTCCACACCAGATCAAAAACACATGGGTGAATCTTACATGGCAGTAGGTACAATCTGTGGTTATTTCAAGAACCAGAACTTTACACACATGCACAGAATGACAGAGTTGGTTATGTACGAGGTCAAACTAGACTAAAACAAGCTGTTAAAATAGAACCATGCTACAGTGAAACGCGTGGATCTTTTCTGGAACAATCGCTCATGCTCGACACATGCCTGAAGTGACGATAGACTCGAGTGGTTACTATTTATGCTCTGACCTTGGCAAGACACACATTATTAACATATCGACGGTTCACGCCACTGAGTTAAAGAGTTTACAGAGAAAACATACAGGAGAAACCGTTTGCAATCCAGTTCACTGCAAAAAATATATACAAAAACATGAGGCACATTTGCTTGAATGATGCAACAGTCTTGGTTGGAGTTTGTTATGAGTCTGTAAGAACAGTATTTACAGATGGAACAAGCAGCTGTGTGGTTATTATGCAATCAACCTGTACAGTGCCTAGACTTCTTAGAAATTAAAATTATATAAACTTCAGCCTCAGTCCTGGATCCACAGCCTCAGTTCTGGATTTAAAGTCTGAGTCCTGGATCTACCCAGAGGTTTCCCACTTTTTCCCTGTCCCACTAAGGACAGTGATGATTTAAATGAAACAATAACAAAGCAGCACCATTTAATTTATCTTGAGAAATACTTAAAAACACTTTGAAGGGACTATGAATATTTTATTGAGTTGAAAGTCTCACTGTCCTCTACACGCAAGTGAAAATGACTTTGAGAACCATTTAGACAGAAGGGTGGGACTCCTGTTTGTGCCAGAAGTTCCTGACATGGTCCTCCAGGTCTGATTATGATCAGGGAATAAAACCAAACAATGTGCTTGTTCCGTTGGCAAATATTAACAGTGAAAACATACTCAAACCAGGATACATTTTGCTTAATTCAAGGCATTTTTCACATATTTCTTGTTTGTTTTTGCAGAATCGTTCAAACATACAGTAAACACAGCATTATCATGAGATGCAGTTAATGGTGAGTGATAATAACGGGGTTAGAAGGTTAGAGACAGAGGCTGAAGCTGCTGGAGCGACACATACTCTTTGAGGAACTCTGAGAGGGTGAGGTGTTGGATAGACGCGCTGCTCTCCTCCTCGGCTGACTGGGCCCGCTTACGGAAACCCAGTGTCCTGCGTGACATGACACAGCTCAGACCACGGAGACCACATGGTGTCCACACGGTAACCACACAGAGACCACACGGAGACCAAATGGAGACCACATGGAGACCACATGGAGACCAAACGGTAACCGCACGGAGACCACACAGAAACCACACAGAAACCACACGGAGACCACAGGGAGACCCCATGGAGACCACACGGAGACCACACGGAGACTACACAGAGACCACACGGAGACTACACAGAGACCACAGGGAGACCACAGGGAGACCACAGGGAGACCCCATGGAGACCCCATGGAGACCACACGGAGACCACACGGAGACCACACGGAGATCACAGGGAGACCCCATGGAGACCCCATGGAGACCCCATGGAGACCCCATGGAGACCCCATGGAGACCACACGGAGACCACACGGAGACCACACGGAGACCCCATGGAGACCACACGGAGACCACAGGGAGACCCCATGGAGACCACATAGAGACCACACGGAGACCAAACAGTAACAACATGGAGACCAAACGGTAACCATACTAAGACCACACAAAGACCACAGGGAGACCACATGGAGACCCCATGGAGACCACATGGAGACCACATGGAGACCACATGGAGACCAGAAGGACACCAAACGGAGACCACACGATGACCGCATGGAGACCACACAGTAACCGCATGGTAACTGTGCGGAGACCAGGCGGAGACCACAGGAAGACCGCATGGAGATCAGAATGGAGACCGCATGGACACCAATCCGAGATCCCACGGAGACCACATGGAAACTGCATGGTAACCACGCGGAGACCACATGGAGACCACAGAGACTACATAGAGACCACATGGTAACACAACGGAGACCATACGGTAACCACATGGAAACCACAAGGCAGCCACATGGAAACAACAGAGACCACGCAGTAACTACATGGAAACCACACGGACTCACAACAGAGAATAAAGACAGATTTTTATCGTTTCCATCATGTTTGTGTGCAGTAAAACATGGTACAGTCGTGAGGCAGCAGTTTGAATACAAAGCATTAGCGTAGCTCGTTAGACATGAAATGGAATGAATATTACGTGGTCCAGTAATGTTTTGTTTCACTCTAAAATTGAAATGAAAAACTAACAACACAAATAAAGTATATCTCATCTCTAACACAAGGTTTTTCAAAGGGCAGTACTGAACCTCCAACCATGGGCACAAACGCAGCGCTTTAAATAAATGTATAAATTCTATCGGACGTGGCTTCGCTCTTACCTTTTCTCCCTGGGTGTTTCCGTCAGGCTGAACGCCCTCTGCTCTGAAATATCAAAGAAATCAAAAGGGTTGAAGAAGTATCCATAAAATCGTAAAAGAGAAAAAGCCTATTCAGAAAGCCAAAAGTATGAACACCCTCTTCCTCCAAAAGACACAAAGCAAAAACACCAGAGTTCAATGAATAAAGCCCATAATGAAGGAAGATAATAAGAATATACAACGGGTTTTCAGGCAAAGTGTAAACGGTATAAAGCAAAGGTGTCCAAACTATTGCCTTCAGACCTGCTGGTAAATTGGGACCCGAGCACTTTTAATTCAAACAGGAGGCTAATTATAATGATCCTTTAATAAATCAGGAAAGTCCCAGTGAGATTCCTGACCCCAGAGAGAGAAAAGCTCTCTCGGTAGGGGAAACTGGAGCACCCGGAGGAAACTTACACAGGCACAGGGAGAACATGCAAACTCAATAAATGGACTTTAAAGATTCATAAAGTCATTCAGCCCCTGTTAGACATTGGTAGAGACAAATAGACTTAAAAATAGATATAAAACGGCTGTGTCATACTGGTTTGACATTGGTGGATGCGGGTTTTCATTCCAACTAAGCAGGAGCACACCATTTTAGTTCGCCATTTATTTTTGCCTATTTTGTTACCCGTTTTACCTACTTTGTCATCTGAATAAATAATGATTTTAGTGACCACTTTAACATCTTGGTTTTCTTTGTTACCTCCTCACACACCCCTGTCATAAATAATTGAAATGGCTTTTCCAGATATAAGTTTGGACACCTCTGGCTTTGAACACCACCTTCATTGGTCCAACACCAACTTAACGAAAGACAAGCTCAAAGACAAGGCGACACAATATGTTAAGAATTAGTTGATTTTCAGAGGTTATTGTGTCATTTTTGGAATTTTACACCGAATTGTGCAGCTCTTGAGACTTGTTCTTTACTTGTACTTACTAACTTGGTTGAGACGAGATAAAGATTTAGACAGAGACAAAGCCTGTAGCAGAGAACGACCACTGCTGCCATCTACGCACAGAACACATGTATGAGTGTGTCTGTATGTGTGTGTGTGCGTATGTGTCCATGTGTGTGTGTGTTTGTGTCCATGTGTGTGTATATGTGTGAAACTACCCTCTCCGCTTCAGGACGGAGCAAATGGGTCGTATTATTCACACCTCGAACACAGAGGGTGGTGGTGTGTAGAAGGAGGGAGGGAGGGGGAGGAAGGGGGTGGGAGGGGGAGAGGGGGTGAGACTGGGGTCACACACCTTCTGTCGGGTCGGAGATGGCTGCGTCTCTGTTTAGCAGCGGCCGTGAGGGTTTGGCTTTGGGGGAGGAGTAGGAGTACGATCGCAGACGGACTTCAGCCTCTGGGCCCTGAACACAACACCAGCTTATCATCAATAAGTATTTTTGCAAAACACTTTTAAAAAACTAGTGTCTGCTCCTGCTCAAAATTACTTCTTATTGTTATAGACGCATGTAAACTTGTGCGCTGTGCTAGTACCCAAAACATTTGAAAGGTTCCCAGTCCTAAGAATAACACAAAAATGAGCAGCCGGTCTGATTCTATACTTGTTAAAACTTAATTAATTTTCTACCCCTCTATTTGTCTGCCACTCAATGCTCATAGCACCAGTCCCTTGTTCTTTCAGCGGGGGCTTCAGGCAACGTGGGGTTAAGTGTCTTGCCCAAGGACACAATGACAGCAGACTTCAGTGGGAGCAGCTTGAGTAGGTCTTGTGTAATTTTTTAATATTTCTTGTGACCTAAATGTTTGTTTTTAAAGTCCTGTGGGGTTTCAATGATATGGGTTGTGGGGCGCTTTGTGTTGCCTTGTGTAGGAAAAGCACTCGACAAATAAAAGTTGATGGATTGATTGTTTTTTTTTACAGTAGCTATTCTCCCTGGGGTGTACTCAATGACACAAACCTATATGTACACACAAAAAATGTGATTAAACAAAAATACAGAAATGTTATAACAAACATACACCGTAACCATATTCACACACAACACAATTTTCTATCAATATCGGAGTATTAGGCAACTTATATTTAAACATCTACATCAAAACAGTACCTTTTTGCCCTCTAAACATGGCCGACTGTCCAAACAACTCTTTCATTTTTCTGTCTGAAAACGCTGGTCTAAAAACGTGACAGAGGCCAACAAAGAATGCATGTGAAATCCAGTGATAGAACCATAGACTTATTCATGGTTTGAAAGTGAGGTACCCTAGCTTTAACAGCCCCAGCATTAGTGGCTCTGGTTCTCCCGGTTGCCGTACCTACCTGTTTGCGATCGGCGTCTGGCGATGTGTCGAAGGAGTCCCGCTCTTCTCCGGAGCTGGAGCGGAGACTGGCCTGCTTCCTCAAGGCGGCCGTGGGGTAGGAATGTCCCAGGATATCCTCTTCTTCACTATCGCACTCCAGACTCGGGCTACGGGAGAAGAGACAGTCATGAATAAAGTGTCCGATGGGACTTTTTGAGCTCTGCAGAAACAGCCCTGTATTCTGTGGGGGGAGGGATATAGAAATCTAGGCACAGAGGCGACTCGATTGTGTTGGGCTTCCGGTCACTTCCTGCCTACCTTAAGCCAGGAATACTCTTTTGGTCAATCTAAAAAAAAAAAAAAACCTTTGAACGATACAAGTTTGAAGCCTGGGTTTCAAAAAGTAGCAATATGTAAGATTTTCATGTCAAGTAATCATTAAATGGCCCTAATCTGTCAAAAGGTATTAATAAAACCTGCTTTTTTCGAATTCTTCTTGAACTGACAACAGTAGTTCAGCCGAAAACTTTAGCGGTAACTTTTTGCAGTAAACAAATTAATATTTCAAGATTATTTTACATTTCTTAATCGTATGGGGAGTGACTTGGAAGGGGGTGGTAGCAACAGGTAGCTTCCGGGCTATAGGTTGGGGACCAGAGATGTTTTAGTCTTCTTAGTCTGTTTTTAGTCTATTTTGACATGTGAACAGTTCGTAAATAACCCTCATCGCCAGTCGTACCTCAGATCCCGTGTTCGGTCCGACAAACTGAACCCTCTGTAGTTGATTCTTGGAGAAACTTTGTGTGACGTCTGTTTCTGCGCCGCGTCGAACAAGTGGAAGGCGGATCCGAGCGGCGAGGAGGAAAACACTGGAGAGGAGGCGGAAGGAGAAGACTTTCTGAGGCTGCTCTCGTGGGCTTCGGCTGGAGGCGAGGAGGAGGAGGAGCCGGTCTGAGCGTGGGAGGCGGCGGTGAAGAAAGAGTCCCAACCTGAAGTGCCCTCCTCGTGGTGGTCTGTGTCCATGTCTTCCACCTGCAAACGTATTATTGATTTAAAATTAATGTGTGTGTGTGTGTGTGTGCAGCCGTGTATGTGTGTGTGTGTGCGTGTGTATAGGAATGTAGATCTGTGTATGTATGTGTGGTGGGAGGGGCCGATGGCACATACTGGTTGCCCCACTTCTGTCAGTGTGCCCCAGGACAGATGTGGCTACAGTGGCAGTTTATCACCACCGTGGATGGAGTGAATGAATAATGAGGTGTGAAGAGTCTTTGAGTGTCCAAAATGCGCTATATAAAACTGAGGTGTAATTATTATTATCACTGTCCAAGCAGGTACTAAAAAAGTATGCGGTACCAGAGCAGGGCAGGCTGGATGGGGTAATGTAGGGCAGGGTAGGGTAAGTAAGTAAGTAATCTTTATGAGTCACAAAGCGGTTTACAATTGTTATTATTTTTTTATTTTTTTGGGCACTTGTCTTCTCACTCCACACAGAGCGGGGTCGCCGAACAGGAGGCGCATGCTAGACCTATTGTACATATTTTTAGTGGTAGGAGAAACCGGAGTACCTGGAGGAAACCTACGCAGACACGGGGAGAACATGCAAACTCCACTCAGAAAGGCCCTGGCCCGACTGGGATTCGAACCCAGGACCTTCTTTCTGAGAGGCGCGAGTGCTATCCACTCAGCCACCGTGCCGCCATGTAGACTAGAGTAAAGCAGAGCTGGTGGAAACCGGGTTATTGAGGCTTGGCTTGATCAGGACTACCGGAGCACTTAGAGGAAACCTACGCAGACATGGGGAGAACATGCAAACTCCACTCATAAAGGCCCTGTTCCAACCACAACACACACACAGAAACACAGAAATCTAGTGCACTATTTTGTTTTTGCGTCCACTGTTCAATCCCAATTTAAAAAAATATAAATTTTGGAAGCGTTGGGAAATCCCACTTCCCTTGAACCCACCAGCTTCCTGTTTGAGAAGTCGTCTTTGCCGTGGATCATGGCGGCGAGCCGAGCAGCTGCCGACAGCGTTGGGGACGAGGCCTCGTTCACGGACCGGCTTTTCTCTACGGACACAGAGGAAAGCTACAGTCACAGAGGGCAGCGGCCACGTTCCAATCCAATACATGGGTTTCCATAGCAACGCAAAACACAGGAAGTGACCATCGCATCCTGGCCACGTGTCATTGTTCAGAAACAGGATTCGACACGTGCTTCTCTCCTGAATGCAACATCAGTAACAAACAGTCACTGAGTAGGAAAGGGCAAGGCAAGTTTATTTTTATAGCACAATTCATACACAAGGAAGCTCAACAAAACAAACATACAAGGCGTCAATAATCATCAATAATCACAGTAAAATAAAAAGAGTGAAGATGCAGTCCTTCAGTTGGTGCAGCCAAACAGAACTGCTTAACCTGTATTTGAACATTGTCATAGAAAAAACCTGTCTCACATTTTCAGGAACACTTTTCCAAGAAACTGAGTTGAGTCCTCCTGTGGACTCACCACCTGCAGAGGGTCGGTGAGGGGCTGGTGCTATGAGACTTGGGTGGCATCTCTGATTGCCACCCCCCTGACCCAGAAATGGATTAAAGGGTAGAAAATGGATGGATGGATGGACTTTTCCAAGATATAGCTGCATTAATCTGACACGCTTCAAAAAAAGTAGATGTAGTGTCCCTCATTTTGATTGTTCTCCATTTTAGAATCCCCCATTTTGTAAAGGAGACATATGCAAAATTTTCCCTGATCAAAAACAGACCTGGAGTTTTTTTTAGATCCATCCACGCTAATATCAGACCACAAAATACTGCCTTTATCTAATGGGATAAAGTCTCGATCATAGTATGAAATGAAATGAGTATGATGGGGTGGTAAGACCAGGCTAACACTATCGTAACACAATAAAGTTGCAAACCTTCATTGGGTATTGAGGAGAGCGACGATCCAGGACATCTAAGGAAATTTATCAAAAGTGCTCATCTAGCTCTCTATGTGTTTGTTATTATTGCATTTCTTGTGTTTTACCCGTTTTAAGCCTCTGATCTGGCAACTTTCTAAATCCCCCCGAGACGACTGCTGTTGTGATTTAGGGCTACACAAAAAATACACTGAATTGAACGTATTCAAAAAAGTCTCACGCCAACGTTTCATCACCCTTTCCCAGTCACATGAGCTCGGCTAAGACTGCGGCTCTGTGCCCATTCCCAAAAACACCCTGCTTTAATACAACACATGGAAAAAAGGCAAAGTAACAAGTACACACAGGAGCATTGAGAGGTGCCACAGTCGGACCTCTGTGAGCTCTGGTTCAGCTGCAGAACAGAGAGGGACAGCTCTTAAAACGCCCCTTCACTAGAGGCACATGGCTTTTCCAAAACATAGGTTTGTGAGAAGGAAAACATCTGCGAAGAAGGTAGCGTTGAGAGAGGGCAAAAGTCTCCATGTATAGATAACTAATACTAAAGGGTATGTACGAAGGGGATTAAAGTTGGGATGAAAAATAGCTAGAAAAACTGCGATCTCAACTCGATAATCACGATTATTGCCACCCGCATTTAAATCAAGGAGTCATTTGGATGAGTTTTTGTCATGTCAGTATTGTGTGTGTGTGTGTGTATTTTTTTGTTGCAATATACAGTCATTAGATACGTTGTTATTATTAAAAAGCTTTATTTCAAACACATCAGAGTCGGAGTAGTCTCAGACGCAAGACGTGAAAAACAAGAAGTATAGAAAAAACTGACAAAGGGAAAAAATGTGCATCCAAAAAAGTTTTACATGTGTGTGTTTGTTTAAGGATTGGGGAGGGTCAGGTGTCAGCTGTGTCTATTTGACAGTTTCACAACATTATACATTCACTCCTTACGCTATGGTGACACACACCGACAGCAAAACACAGGTGAAGTGTCTTGTCTACATTTTTGTGTTCTACAGCCGTCCCACTGTGGCACCTGGTGTTCCCAGAGGTCCCCCATCACAGTACTAACCAGGCCCTGTCCTGCTTAGTTTCTGAGATCTGGACAACATCAACTTCCAACTTCTACCACTAAATGGAGGCAGGTTGTAAAGCAGGACTATAGCAGGTCTAAAGCAGATCTAAAGCAGGACTAAACCAGGTCTAAAGAAGGTCTACAGAAGGACTAAAGCAGGTCTAGAGCTGCTTTACAGTTAAAGCAGGTCAAAAGCAGCACTAAAGCAGGTCTAGGGCAGGACTAAAGCAGGTCTAAAGCAGCTCTAAAGCAGGACTGAAGTAGGTCTAAGGCAGGTCTAAGGCAGGTCTAAAGCAGGCCTAAGGCAGGGCTAAAACAGGTCAAAAGCATACACACACACACACACACACACACACACACACACACACACACACACAAACACAAAGATGAATTGTGGAAAAACAGAAACTCGTCTTGGCAGAACAGAGTATGAAAAGTCTCTGAAATCCCACCTCGTCTCCAGCTTTCAGACTAATGTAAGATTCCTGATGGTGTTTGCTGTCTGGATCTCTGTCCCACTTTTTTGCCGATGTTAGCGACACACCTCTATGTGCAGAAGTGGGATCAGTCTAAGCGCTGGAATACATAATGACTGTGAACCTAAAGCGCTGCGTGGGAACAAAGGGGCTGCGGTGTTTGCACAAAACACGAAAACAATCTTTATTTTTCTTGTGGTTTTGAAGCCATTATGTTCCCCTCCTCTGGTTTGTGCTCACGGTGACAGGGCTGAGTATTCTTCCAGCTTTCGGTAAACACTCACACGGATCCACTGCTGGCCTGAAAACCCTTTGAGACTTTACTCAATCAACCTAAATACAAAATATAATCCTGCTCTTTGTGACGTTTATGAGATTCAAACCACTCAGTGTATTCTATTGTTGTTCTGATTTGAGGTTTGGCTGCTTAGAATTTATGTTTTCCACTTTTTATCCCTGCCCAATAATACTTAGAGCACAATCATGTAAAAGAAACAACAACAAGATGTCATGGAAAGGCAGCGGCTCTACTCGGAGCTCTCCATAAATATGAACTGTCAACCTCCGCAGAACTAATTTTGACCACATTAAATCAATCTTTCAGTGTTTTTGTAAAGTAATAATAATGAGGTTTTATATGGAGCTTCAGAGCCTTATTCATTCAGACACATAAAACTACTACTGTAGCCACACCTGCCCTGGGGCACAATGCCAGAAGCGAGACAACCAGTATGTGTCAACAACCCCTCTGACCACCACCAGCCATTCACACACACACCAGATTCATTCAAATGTGGGTGAAGTGTCTTGCTTAAGGATATAACAACAGTTTGGCATGTTACAGCCGCAGTCGCCCCCCACTGTGGCACCTGGTGTTCCCACAGGTCTCCCATCACAGTACTAACCAGGCCCGGCCCTACTTAACTTCAGAGGTCTGTCAGGATCTGGCTTTCACTTATTAGTGTAGGAGTTCAAATGGTTAGTATGAGAATGTACTGTGATTATATACGTTGTTTCTATCTGGTTTTGTTAAGACCTTTGAGTTGCTTTGTGTATGAACTGTGCTATACAAAAAAAACTTGCCATCAACCTGCAACCCTCACGCCTCTCCTTTTTCACTTCTGGGTCCTTAAAAACGGATCAAAAGATGTGACAGAGCTCAAAAATACATGAGAACTAGAAATAGAACCGTTATCCTTCAAATCAATTCAATTCAAATAACTTTATTAATCCGTGAGGAACTACATTTGCAGACAGAGCACAGGTGGGGATACATAAAAACACAGAAACACAAGATATTAAAAAACAGTAATCTCACCACATCAATCCAAACCTCAGCCGACTCTCATCTTTCCAATGTGTTTTTTCATTCATCAAAACATCGCAATCCGCGTTTGTTATGTCACCGTACAAACTCACAGCGTTCAACAGCCAACCGTTATTTACTCTGGGATCATGTCTTGTGCGTGTGTTTCAGATGCACCGCCGGGTCAAACGCTGGACAGGGCCATAACCGCTGTTTGAAAGCGGGTAGAGTTTCATATATATAAACCTCAGAGAACCTGACAGGCTGCAGAAATAGTGCGGCTTACGAGCGGAGGCCAAATCCACAGCTGGCCTCAGTGGGCACCGCGCTCGCACACGACTGACCCCGAAGACGAACAGATGTGCAATAATAAACCGCCACTTGTGAGAAATGTATTATTAGAGACGGAGAAAGAGAGATTTATCAGTGGCCGCTGCTTCTGCCATGAGACAGTTTGAATGTTTGTGTCATGGTTAAAAAATGAGGGCCTTAAAAGTTCATTGACTTTTGAAAAATCTATGTGAAAAGCTCTGTCTCCATGGTCTAGTGCCATATGAACCAACTGTGACTCCGAGGAGCACAGGGACTGGCCTCCTGCTGGTGCCCAGAGTCAGGACTAAACTCTTTACCTCTCTTTCTGACTGTTGCACTGAGCCAAAACAATTTCCAAGTCTGTGACTTCCTGTTACTTACTTGGCAATAAAAAATATTCTGATTCTGATTCTAAACATGGAGAGGCAGCATTTCAGATTCATGCAGCTGAAATCAGGAACAGTGAGACAGGCTTCTATTCAATGTTTTAATCCAGGTTAAAAACAGTTCTGTTTTTAACTGTGCAAAAACTGAGGATTTTTTTTTATGCACTGTGATTATTTATGATGATGGCTGATTGTTTTGTTTAGCACTTTCAGTTGCTTTGAGTCTGAAATGTTCTATACAAATAAACGGGTCTCTTGACCTCGGGTACGGCTTGCGCACACATTTGTTTGGGATAAAAACATCAAAAACTACCATAAATGGAACAATGTAATACAATCCATGTAACTCGTCCATCGCTCTAAAAACAGGTTGGTTTCTGTCACTGGAGTGACCACACTCCCTCCAATCAGCTCATAGCGTATAGAGTCACAGAGAGACACACAGAGCTCTTTCTCACACACATGCAAAGTATATTGTGTTTTTTAATAAGATGAAGACAGCATTTTACTTTGTAAAAACAAAGACAAAAGTGCTGCAGCTTTGATAAAAATGTATCCAGGATACTCTACATTCACCATTTATGGACATTT